CACACAAGCTAAGAAATGTACGTTTTTGTTATTGAAAATGGCAAGAAACAATGATTTACCACTTGACTGCGTATTTAAAGCTTTCGATTTAATGATTTTACCCATTATGTTATATGGCTCTGAATGTTGGGGACATGTTAAAATAGATATACTTGAAAATCTACATACCAAGTTTTTAAAATTAGCCTCTGGTTTCAGAATGTCCACACGGAATTATTTCTTATATGGTGAATTTGGAAGATTTCCAATCAGCATCCATGTTTCTAAAAGAATTATTAGTTATTGGTATAAACTCAACACGCCCCTGTCTCACTTCAAGTTATCCTCGGTACTGTACAATTTTATGTCTTTAGATAGTGTGTTAAATAATCATTCTTATTCTTGGCTTAAGTTTGTTGAAAATACCCTTAACTCATGTGGGCTAAGTAATGTTTATATGTTCCCAGGTAATTTTAACAGAACATGGCTTCTTAATAAAGTAGAAACTACACTCAAAGATCACTTTTACCAAGTGTGGAGGAATGCAATGGAAGTAAGTACCAAGGGACAATATTATATTACCTATTGAGACAGGGCGTTGGTATAATACTCCAAGGGAATTTAGAACTTGTAAATTGTGTGACTCTCCGACAATTGCAGACGAGTTTCATTATATATTTCGTTGTCCTGCTTTTGATGAAAATAGAAAAAGATTTATTTCAACAAAACTAACCAAATTTTCAAATATGGCATCTTATAGACGGTTGTTTACATCATCAGATTTCACTGTTTTAAGAAACCTAGCAAAGTTTATAAATGTTATCTTCTCTGTAATATCAAAACTTAGATAATAGACATGCTTATTATATCTACCACTTTTTACCTACAATATATTGTTTTAGTCCGCCGCCATTTTGACTGCTTGTATATAATGATTGACATGTAAAATGTACTCTAATACCACCATGCGTGATTCTCCGGAGAATAAAGTGAAGTTAAGTGAGAGTGTGTGGAAGATGACACCAGCTCTGGTCGATCCACCACACACACCACAAAAGGAAACATTGATGCTGTTCACAACATAGAAAGAATCCTCCATGAACATCTTCATGTGTCAAAGGTTTGTGCCGGACGCGTATACTATACAAATAATTACTCTTGACGAGGTAATACGCGAACACATGGACCCGAGGACCGCCAAGAGTAATCATTCCTTTTATCATACCGAAATTCACTTTAAAGTTTATAAATTCTTTCAACCGTCCTCTGTTTCATTACAGTAACTTAGCTGCGAACCGCGAAATGGTCGTACCAGACGCCATCTTGTTTTCTAACGGACGAGTCGATATTCATCACGTGACAGGTGTTATATGTGCTGATGTATGTTTGAATATGGGTGTATACATTTATCTGTTGATCAGTATATTAGGTACAATTAGACTTGACTTGAGATAAGGGGCTTTCAGTTGAGTGAATTGCCTGTTGTGTAATTGAATGTACAGCTTGTGACCTGATTGATTCAAGCGAGTATAGCTTTTGTGTTTCAGTTGAACGTAGGTAGCTTATCGGCAAAGCATTTTAAACACTTGTAATTGTTGGGTAATGAATTATTCTTAGTCTAGAATTAATAAACTCTTCTCTTCTTAACTGCAGTTAGATTGTTGTGTAATCCATTTTAATTGTGCGAGTGGTTTTGAGGTTTTATACCCCTTTGCCTCACCATGACTCGTAACACAGGTCAATACTGATCATGTGACGAGAGAATTTTCGAGGTCGAGGTCAGTGTCAGTTACATTATTTTGGGGGTCTACATTGAAATGTATTGTTTCATCACGTGGTACGGTGTCAACCGATCTCGAGGGATACATCACACACATATGTCCCGAGGGATCGGTGGACAACGGATTTATCTAACTGACATTTATTCATATAGACCCAGAATATATGTCCGAAGTTTCACCGAGAGTAAAGCCCTTTGCTTCAACCATTTTGACAGCTAGTTGACGACGCAAACGAACCGAATTACCCCCCCTTTACCCAATGCATTCAGGTAAACATTGGTTCATTTCAGCTCAACGATATTTATGCGAGATAAGTAAGTTACAAAAAGTGTTTTCCGATTGATTTTTCACAGCGGGTACATGAGAGGGCACCATTGAAAATAACTGCCCCTTCCTTAACCATTCAGAAGCTAGCATTTTAATGTTTAATGTAAGGTGAGATAATGAATGCTATGGGATGAAATGAAGCCTACGGGCCTCCTTCTCTAATGCCCTGTTAACCAGATATAATGGCAATAATCTTCATGTTAGGTTAGTGACAAATGATAAGACCTGGATCCACCTCTGTGATCCTGAGAGCAACAATAATCCATGGAGTGGAAATCAAGACGTTTAAATAAAGCGACAAAACCCTTTCCCGAAATCGGTGCTAAAGCAGAGTCGATTGTTCTACTCCGACTATATCACGGGCATGTGTTTATGAATCACTATCAAATAGTGATGATACCAGGTGTTCGCGAAAAGGTGAGCGTATCCTGCCCCACCGGTGGCACCCGTCACAAACACATCCAAAGGCATTCCAATTTTTAACCTGAAAAAACACGTGAGCATATGGTACAAGTCAAAATAGGGAATTACATAATTGCTCGACATGAAGGGAAAGTTGACTATTGGAAAGTTGAAGTCATTTCCCTTGTCATGCAGTCTTGTGGAGAGTGTTTTGTCACTCTGAATCTTTATGCATAGCTCTAAATATGAAACAGATGAGTCGGTCTCACTGGTCTCCTTTGTTTCCAGCTCAGCTGTGTAAATCAGTGGAAGGGAATTAGCTATATGTTGTTATTGAACGATATCAGATCATCGATATACCTGAAGCTTAAGTTAAACTTCTTGGCTAAATCACCTTGTGTTGAGTTTGCCAGTCCGAGCAGAAATTCCGATTCATATGCAAAAGAAACAGATCCGCAAGAAGGGTTGGTTGGTTGGTTTGTTGTTTTACGCCGCAATATTCCAGCTATATGACGGCGGTCTGTAAATAATCGAGTTTGACCCAGACAATAAAGTGATTAATATCATGAGCATCAATCAACGCAATTGGGATCGATGACATACATCAACCATGTCAGCGAGCCTGATCACCCGGTCCCGTTAGTCGCCTCTTACGACAAGCACAGTCGCCTTTTACGGCTAGTATGGGTTGCTGAAGACCTATTCTACCCCGGATCTTCACGGGTCTATAGAGTTTATATTGATACTGACATATATTAAGGAAGCGTCATATAAGAATTTTTTTATTTCTTTCACAGAGAAGCACTGATCAGGGGGGCTCAATTGGGGCCCATGGGGATGCCTACTTCATGCCTAAATGTCTTCTCCCGAAAGTTTGCATAAATGTTATCAATGAGGAAATCAAGCATTTCACATAGTTTTCTCTGTAAACATCAGATGGCATTTGCTTTCACTTTTGACACATTGTCTTGAACATCTCAATATAGAACCGTAACTGTATCTGTGGTCAAAACGTTTTATAACAAAAGCCCCATGCATCAAAGAATGAAGTTTTTTCCTTAAGTTTGTCATGTGGGATAGTGGTTCACATGTTAAAGTAATCAAATGTTTTGACAGAATGGAACTTGGTTCTTTTCTGAGATTGAAAAAAGCCAAGCAAATCCCTTGAGTTTTTGAGAATCCATATGGTATTAATTCCACGTGTCTCAAATACTTTCTGTGAATATAAAGAAAGCCCTTCTTTGATTGTATTAAGGATTATGATTAGTCTTTGAGACAAGGATTTGGTGGTACATTTGCTGGACCCAGCAATATATCTCTCTTTGTTCGGATTTTTATGGAGCTTTGGAATCCAGTACAAAATAGGAATGAACATGTCTTCAGGTTTTAGAGTCAAGTCAAAAGTTGAGAGTACTGATGCATGGTTTTGGCAGATTTCTTCCTCAGTTAACATACCTTATATACGGCATTATTTGATGTGTCATTTATATCAAGTTCTTTGATCAACAATTAATGTAGTGATGCGCACATATAATGGTTATGTTATTTGAGGCCTTGTCAACGGGAAGAACTACAAGCTTATCATGTAGGGCAGCAAGAGTTTGGATGACACTTGACAGGCCATGGGCCAGAATAGGTTTATTCCAATTCCGTTTACTCGGTTTAGGTCTGTGCATTCCACCAATGACAACATCACGCACTGACTTAACCCACCCACCCTGGAAGACATTCAACAGGTTCCTCTTCTCTTTTGCCCCATTTTTGGCATATGCTTCGACTGCGTCCATAAAGATTCTAAAGTTATGATCCCAAGTTGTAGGAGGTTGCTCAAGCAAGCAGATCCACTATTTGTGGGCGGGTTATGCCCTCTTTCTTTTAGAAAGCAACTTTAAAGCATATTGCTCCAATTCCCACCAGCAATGTTCAAATGGCTGCAGTACGGGAATGTAGAGTTGGAGCATTTGCCCCACCCGTCTTATTCACCAGACTTATTCACCAGACTTATTCACCAGATCTGTCCCTTAGTGACAACTATTTGTTTCTAATTTGAGAAAACCCAACACCACTTGCATTGTCAGAGATTTAACCAAGACCACGAATCGGTTGTTGCCGAGAAGGGTTACTTGACACAGCAGGATTTCACCTTCTACAAAACAGGGATAACGGACCTGACCAGGGATGGAGCAAGTGTGTTCAACTGCAAGGGCACTCTGTTGAAAAATAATGAAAGCTCAAGACAATAATTCAGTTCTATGTAAGCTAAGCTCAAAATCGTTTGATACCGTATCGTATATAGGTCAGTTAAATATCTCTGCCAGAGTTTCCAGCGCATTGAACTCTTCTTATGCTGTACTCATTTTAAAAATGAATATGCTCATTTTTTAGATGCTGTCATGTTGGTATATTTTTCGAATTCGACAGTGAACCTAACACATCCCTACTGTCCAAACAATCCTAATCCTCACCGACACAAGATGCACGAAAAATGTATGAAATAAAGGAGGCAATGGCTGAATATATACTTTTTATTATTCATACTATTAGTAATACGCAAAATACAACTTCTACAAATCATATATGTCTTGCAAATAGTGTGTGTTTGTTACCACACGCCGCACAGCTGATTTTGTTAAAACAAAAAAAAATAATTTGATAAGTATGTACATCACTTTGCAAGTCAAATTGCGGGGTTTGGGGATGTCAGTATTTATTTCGGCCAAAACACCTCTTCTAAACATTAAAGACGAGACTCGAATTTTTGATGACATTTATGAAGGGTTTGAATCCGATTTAAGGTTATCATATATGTTACGTTTGTTTAAGATATTTTGACCTTGACACCCTGCCCATGCCGTATCAAAGTTAAACACTGTAAACATCATTTCTTCAGGAACCAAAGAGTCTGAATCTCAATGCTAATTGAAATAGTTTTATTGGTTTGAAACTGACTGTGGCAGTCGTACTGAAAACATGTAGTCTGGACATAACACAGATATTTTCTTCAACTATTAATCTTAAACTGAATGCCGAGGATTTGGTGAATAAGATACGTGAATTTGGTCTTCGTTTTATAAATAGGTTGACTGTTATTGACGTAGATGTAATTGCAACAGAATGTGATTGTTTATTGATTCTTGAAGCAGCAGAGTACATGAAACAAAGCGTTAGTTATGCCTCAAGCTATGTTGCATGAAGACGAGGCATTTTACGAGACGCTGTATAAATATAATTCTCACGTTTAGAAATTGCCATGACTTTTTTCTCATACTGTTTTGTTTTGCTTTCATTCAGAATAAAGTATAGGTATTAATATTCAACATTCATTATTTCACTAAAACGGTGGAGACAGATTATCTAAGGTGCAGTTTGTCAGGGAGGGTAGACACCTATAGTTGTCAGAATCAATACTTCGTGGGTATATATATATATCGTTCATTGTGGATGTGTGCCTCTTGCGTACAGCTGTTTTCGCATTCTGTTTTTCGTCTCATCCCGTTCAAGTGTGTCTCTAGCAGCGAGCAGGATGTTCTCCAGGGCATGTAGGAACAGGATACTGCTGTTGGTGTTGGTGGCGTTTTCAACTGTGTAGTTCTTCACCACGCTGATACAGGTTTGAGGTAACCCTGTCTCCGTAGAAGCAAACCTCACCGCAGCCCGAACCTCCTCCGAGTTAAACACGTATGGAATATTGTCGGAATCCTTCAACAGTGGTTCCACCGCATCGATGTGTGTCAGGATCACATGGACTGACAGAACTGAAAAGAAACGTTGTTATGTAAATACTTCATCTTGAAAGATAAGCGCCGTTTTGAACATGCAACTTATTGTTTTGCTTCATGGAGCATTACCTAAAACGTTTATGAAATGAACTATCCCTTTCAAACATATAATTCGTCAACACCAGAAAATAACCAGTATCGATAATCCGCCGAATCAGATTTCATCGGGCGTGAAGGGAAAATAGTCGTAAAATTATATGAATGGATCACTGAAAATCAGCGTTGACACTTAGTGTTCGCGAAAAGGGTGTGCATGTCCCATCCTATCGGTAGCGCCGCCATTCAATTTGCATGAAAAGTAAGTGTTTGTTTGTTGCTTGACGCCGCACAGCGGTACTATAAACTCATTTTGATTAGGTATATGTTGTTACAAGTGATCAGAGATATATTATAATTTGAGTAAAATATATTATGACCATTACAATCAATAGAATTGATTTTGCCGATATCATGTCAATGTAACATACATGCATACACCAGAATACTACAGTAATCAGCAGAATATACGTAGTAGGAAAATTCAGTTTGAAACGAAAATGCAGCATGTCCAGTCTGCAACAATACACGCGTGCTGTATTGTTCTGCAAGATCTGGACTAGGGTATACATTCTTTACAATACACGTGTAATAGTCAGGAAATTATATAAACTATATTTAAAAAACAATGGATGTGATGATGACATTGAGCTGGAAAAACACTCTTGTCAATCAAGGAGATTAAGTTATGAAACCAAGTTTATTATAATTTGTAAGCATAAAGTGCATACTTGAATATTGTTGTACATATTTAAACGTCACATGACAGATTGTTTCATAAATCACTTCCATATTTTTTTAATGAAATATTATCATATCATTTTACGTATCATGTCATTTCACAAATCAACAACTAATCAATGTCAGGTACACATATAGTCAAATAAGGTACGGTATAAAGAGGAAATGTGTTTGTCAAATTTGTAACTTGATATATTCCTGAATACCGCAGCTGAAAGTAGTAAAGTAATATTTTATTCCGAGTTAGATATTACTTTTATATGTTCAGGAAAATACAGTATTTAATCCGTACATACGCAACCATTTAATTAAATAAGGTATGGTTACCCCCTCGTGAATGTAGCGTTCTCAGCACACCAATCTGTCGCTTTACATCATCGCCTACAGCAACTCCTGCTTTAAGGACAAGAACTACGCATGACGCCTTGACCCTCTCCTGTGGCGGGAGGATCTGTGAACTATCCATAGCCTCAAGCGTTGGTTTCACCTGAACACGAAAACAATAGACATTCTTCACACTGACACACAATGAAAATACATGAATACGTAAATATATTTTTTTCCACGCTTAGTTTTCACGATTCTTGATATGACAAACAATGTTTTGTGGTTATGTTGTAAAACTACATCTGTCCACGCGTGGAACACGATGACCTGGTTGATTGTGTGGCATCCTGACGAATTGAATAGTTGTTTACAAGCGTCTATGTTGGCATATCATTGTTGCTCTGATGTTAATCGGGGGCACGGGTGGCCCAGTCGTCTAAGGCGCCGCGATTCGCTGTGCAGAATTGCGTCCCTTGGGCACGCCAGAAACCTATGATTGTGGGTTCGAATCCCGGTTCGCCCCGATTATGTTTCTAGGTTTGTCAGCACCATACCCGTGCTCGTGGGTTTCACCGAAGTGGTAAACGTCTGAGACCTGCATCACTTCGGGCTTTCCTCCCACATTAAGCTGACACGCCGTGATATAACTGAAATACTGTTAAAAGCGGCGTTAAAAACCCAACTCACTCACTGATGTTAATCCCCATCAACTCACTCTTTATGTAGGTGACAAACGTTGCCAAAGTACTTACTTCTGCATAGAAAGGAACCTGTCCTGTGACAATCTTCTCAATACTCTCGTCTGTGATCGCGTCACTGTTGAACAAGCCTGGCATGTCAATTACCCATAAATACGGCTGGCAAGTGCATTTATCTTGACAATATCTACGGCAGTAACCGTCACTGTTCAGCTGCAATACATACACATATATGTCATTACACAGTTATCATTAGTAGTGAATCTGATTACATATTTCCTTCTGTCTGGTATACAGGTCCTAAACCACCAATTCGTACTTGGTTGTCACAATGTGCATGCTTACACTGTCTTCTCACATGCTTGGCTATAGGTGTCTCACTTTAAATGTTGTTCTCCTGATATCACAACAGCGTGGCACAATATAGCATCAAATGCAATATATGTATATTTGAATGCAATATTATGAATATTATAAATACCTCTGGGTACACGTACAGCACGTATATGTATATATCATGTTGATATCTTTGACTTATTATTAAACAGCAGGTGTACACACACACGGCGTTAAACAAACAAACAAACATGTGATGTTTGTAATGTTTTTTTTAGCCATTTTGAACTTTTTAATAAGTTTTAGTCAATCTGAACAATGAACACACTTTTCAGTCAATTTGTAAAAGTACAGACATATTTAGGCATTTAGTAAATTTGTATAATGAAATCAGAACTTTGACATTTAGATTATAACATTCAACAACTCACAGCTTTAGTGTAGCTGCCATGTGTGTTAATTCCCACAGGAAAATAATTGGAGACTTTCCTTTCCCGTCTGATGGAAGTTCGAATTCCATTGCCAAAAGACGATTTACCAAATCCAGTCTGACCAAACAGAATCACCACATGCCCGTCTCTGGTTGTGACTTCGGCTATGCGACGGCGAAAGTCATTTTCTCCCTGAAATGAAACACTTCCTGGGATAAGCCAAACACATAGGCCCTGGCGATTGTAAACACAAAGATGAACATTGCAGTCTCATTGAAGGGAAAATCAGTTTGTTCAGATGACTATGTTAACTTTTCGATGATTGGGTCTATTGTTTCGCGTCAAACTCCTGTTTTTACTTAATATTTCCACAAGCATCAACTGGTTTTTCTTTCACAAGCACCATATGGTGATCGCTAACTGATGATTGACATATGGCATTTCAATATTTTTTCAACGTTCTTTTGACTTCTGATTAGCAAAAATACCTCTGGTGTCCAGTTCAAAGTGACGTCTGCCCCCCATTTCTCTGTCGGTGGCTGAAGCACGACAACAATACTGAATGTTATTATTATTTTCTTTATTTAAAAAACAACAACTCTGCAGTAATGTCAGTGTTCTTTCTATACAAGTCAACGATAAAATGAGTTCGGACGTTACAAGTGTCTGGAGTACATGTAACAAGGAGAGAACAATTTAACCGTTTAGACGTAAGATGAGCTTGCCAGCTACTTACAGGAGTGGGGACCCTTTCCCTGGATGATTTTCCTCCCATGACTCCTGGAAGATAAAGAGTCCTCGGCCTGATCATAACTGAATGAATTAAATGGGTTTTTGAGAAGGGTCGAAGCAATTATCTTCATGGTACAGTGACATTATAATGAGTCAATGTGTCATATCTGAAGCTTTTCAGAAGTCACCCATCCCACATCCACCTCAATTCAAGACGTGTCCCATCCATCGTGCTACAAATCCCACCACATCAATTTCACTACAGCAGGACTCACTACAATACGAGACCCACCCAAGTCACACCACCACGAGACCCACCCAATGCACTACATTTCGAGACCCACCCAAGTCACACCACCACGAGAACCACCCAATGCACTACAGTACGAGACCCACCCAAGTCACACCACCACGAGACCCACCCAATGCACTACAGTACGAGACCCACCCAACTCACTACAGTAGGTGTCACACCCAACTCGCTACAGCAGGAGACCCATCCAATGCACTACAGTACGAGTCCAACCCAAATCACTACAGCGCGAGTCCAATACAACTCACTAGAGTACGAGACCCTCCCAACCCACTACAATACGAGACCCTACCAATGCACTACAGTACGAGACCTATCCAATGCACTACAGTACGAGACCAAACCAACTCACTACAGTGCGAGTGCCACCAAGCTCACTACAGTACGAGACCAACTCAACTCACAACAGTATGAGTCACATCCAACTCACTACATTTCGAGACCCAACCAACTCACTACAGTACGAGACCCAACCAACTCACTACAGTACGAGATCCACCCAACTCACTACGGTGCGAGAAACACGCAACTCACTACAGTACTAGACCCACCCAACTCACTACAGCAGGTGTCACACCCAACTCACTTCAGTACGAGACCCTCCCAACTCAGCATAGTACGAGACCCACCCAACTCACTACAGTACGAGACCCACCCAACTCACTACAGTACGAGACCCACTACACTGGATGTGACTCATACAGCAGGTGTCCCACCCACTATCTACAGGACGAGACCAACTCAACTCACAACAGTATGAGTCACATCCAACTCACTACAGTACGAGACATAACCAAATCACTACAGTACGAGACGCAACCAACTCACTACAGTACGAGACCCACCCAACTCACTAGAGTACGAGACCCACCCAACTCACTACAGTGCGAGAAACACGCAACTCACTACAGTACTAGACCCACCCGACTCACTACAGCAGGTGTCACACCCAACTCACTTCAGTACGAGACCCATCCAACTCACTACAGTCCGAGACCCAACCAACTCACTACAGTACGAGACCCACAAAACTCACTGCAGTACGAGACCCACCCAACTCACTACAGTGCGAGAAACACGCAACTCACTACAGTACTAGACCCACTCAACTCACAACGGTATGAGTCACACCTAACTCACTACAGTACGAGACCAAACCAAATCACTACAGTGCGAGACCCACCCAACTCACTACAGCAGGTGTCCCACCCACTAACTACAGTACGAGACCAACTCAACTCACAACAGTATGAGTCACATCCAACTCTCTACAGTACGAGACCCAACCAACTCACTACAGTATGAGACCCACCCAACTTACTACAGTACGAGACCCACCCAACTCACTACAGTATGAGACCCACCCAACTTACTACAGTACGAGACCCACCCAACTCACTACAGTACGAGACCCACCCAACTAACTACAGTGCGAGAAACACGCAACTCACTACAGTACTAGACCCACCCAACTCACTTCAGTACAAGACCCTCCCAACTCACTATAGTACGAGGCCCTCTCAACTCACTATAGTACGAGACCCACCCAACTCACTACAGTCCGAGACCCAACCAACTCACTACAGTACGAGACCCACCCAACTCACTACAGTACGAGACCAACCCAACTCACTACACTGCGAGAAACACGCAACTCACTACAGTACGAGACCCACCCAACTCACTACAGCAGGTGTCACACCCAACTCACTTCAGTACGAGACCCTCCCAACTCACTATAGTACGAGACCCAACCAACTCACTACATTACGAGACCCACCCAACTCTCTACAGCAGGTGACAGTATGAGACCCAACCAACTCACTACAGTACGAGACCCACCCAACTCACTTCAGTACGAGACACACCCAACTCACTACAACAGGTGTCCCACCCACACACTACAGTACGAGACCCACTCAACTCACAACATTATGAGTCAAACCCAACTCACTACTGTACGAGACCCAACCAAGTCACTACAGTATAAGTCACACCCAACCAACTACAGTACGAGACCCAACCAACTCACTACAGTACGAGACCCACCCAACTCACTACAGCAGGTGACCCACCCAACTGACTACAGTACGAGACCCACTCAACTCACAACAGTATGAATCACACCAAACTCACTACAGTACGAGACCCAACCAACTCACTACAGTACGAGAACCAACCAACTCACTATAGTACGAGACCCAACCAACTCACTACAGTACGAGACCGACCCAACTCACTACAGAACGAGACCCACCCAACTCACTACAGTACGAGACCCACCCAACTCACTACAGCAGGTGTCACACCGAGCTCACTACAGTACGAGACCCTCCCAACTCATTACAGTACGGGACCCACCCAACTCACTACAGTACGAGACCCTCCCAACTCACTACAGTAAGGGACCCACCCAACTCACTACAGCACAAGACCCTCCCAACTCACTACAGTCCAAGACCCAACCGACTCACTACAGTACGAGACCCTCCCAACTCACTACAGTACGAGACCCACCGAACTCACTACAGCAGGTGTCACACCGAGCTCACTACTGTACGGGACCCACCCAACTCACTACAGTAAGGGACCCACCCAACTCACTTCAGTACGAGACCCTCCCCACTCACTATAGTACGAGACCCACCCAACTCACTACAGTCCGAGACCCTCCCAACTCACTAGAGTCCAAGACCCAACCGACTCACTACAGTACGAGACCCTCCCAACTCACTGCAGTCCGAGACCCAACCAACTCACTACAGTACGAAACCCACCCAACTCACTACACCAGGTGACACACCCAACTCACTACAGTACGAGACCCAACCAACTCACTACTGTACGAGACCCACCCAACTCACTACAGCAGGTGTCCCACCCAACTCACCACAGTACGAGACCCACTCAACTCACAACAGTATGAGTCACACCCAACTCACTTCAGCAGGTGTCCCACCCACTCAATACAGTACGAGACCCACTCAACTCACAACAGTATGAGTCACACCCAACTCACTACAGTACGAGACCCAAGAAACTCACTACAGTGCGAGAAACACGCAACTCACTACAGTACTAGACCCACCCAACTTACTACAGCAGGTGTCACACCCAACTCACTTCAGTACGAGACCCTCCCCACTCACTATAGTACGAGACCCACCCAACTCACTACAGTCCGAGACCCTCCCAACTCACTAGAGTCCAAGACCCAACCGACTCACTACAGTACGAGACCCTCCCAACTCACTACAGCAGGTGACAGTATGAGACCCACCCAACTCACTACAGTATGAGACACACCCAACTCACTACAACAGGTGTCCCACGCACTCACTACAGTACGAGACCCACTCGACTCACAACAGTATGAGTCACACGCAACTCACTACAGTACGAGACCCACCGAACTCACTACAGCAGGTGTCACACCCAACTCACTTCAGTACGAGACCCTCCCAACTCACTATAGTACGAGACCCAACCAACTCACTACATTACGAGACCCACCCAACTCACTACAGCAGGTGACAGTATGACACCCACCCAACTCACTACAGTACGAGACCCACTCAACTCACAACAGTATGTATCACACCCAACTCACTACAGTACGAGACCCAACCAAGTCACTACAGTATAAGTCACACCCAACCAACTACAGTACGATACCCAACCAACTCACTACAGTACGAGACCAAACCAACTCACTACAGCAGGTGACCCACCCAACTCACTACAGTACGAGACCCACTCAACTCACAACAGTATGAATCACACCAAACTCACTACAGTACGAGACCCAACCAACTCACTACAGTACGAGACCCAACCAACTCACTACAGTACGAGACCCAACCAACTCACTACAGTGCGAGACCCAACCAACTCACTACAGTACGAGACCCACCCAACTCACTACAGTACGAGACCCACCCAACTCACTACAGCAGGTGTCACACCCAACTCAATACAGTACGAGACCCTCACAACTCATTACAGTACGGGACCCACCCAACTCACTACAGTACGAGACCCTCCCAACTCACTACAGTACGGGACCCACCCAACTCACTACAGTACGGGACCCACCCAACTCACTACAGTACGAGACCCACCCAACTCACTACAGTACGAGACCAAACCAACTCACTACAGTATAAGTCACAACCAACTCACTACTCTACGAAACCCAACCAATTCGCTACAGTATAAGTCACACCCAACTCACTTCAGCAGGGGTCCCATCCACTCACTACAGTGCGAGACCCACTCAACTCACAACAGTATGAGTCACACCCAACTCACTACAGTACGAGACCAAACCAACTCACTACAGTATAAGTGACAACCAACTCACTACTCTACGAAACCCAACCAACTCACAACAGTATGAGTCACACCCAACTCACTACAGTACGAGACCAAACCAACTCACTAAAGTGCGAGACCCACCCAACTCACAACAGCAGGTGTCCCACCCACTCACTACAGTACGAGACCCAACTAACTCACTACAGTATAAGTCACAACCAACTCACTTCAGCAGGTGTCCCATCCACTCACTACAGTACGAGACCCACTCAACTCACAACAGCAGGTGTCCCATCCACTCACTACAGTACGAGACCCACCAAACTCACTACAGTACGAGACCAAACCAACTTACTACAGTATAAGTCACAACCAACTCACTACTCTACTAAACCCAACCAATTTGCTACAGTATAAGTCACACCCAACTCACTTCAGCAGGTGTCCCACCCACTCACTACAGTACGAGACCCAACCAACTCACTACAGTATAAGTCACAACCAACTCACTTCAGCAGGTGTCCCATCCACTCACTACAGTACGAGACCCACTCAAGTCACAACAGCAGGTGTCCCATCCACTCTCTACAGTACGAGACCCACTCAACTCACAACAGCAGGTGTCCCATCCACTCTCTACAGTACGAGACCCACCCAACTCACTACAGTACGAGACCAAACCAACTTACTACAGTATAAGTCACAACCAACTCACTACTCTACTAAACCCAACCAATTCGCTACAGTATAAGTCACACCCAACTCACTTCAGCAGGTGTCCCATCCACTCTCTACAGTACGAGACCCACTCAACTCACAACAGTATGAGTCACACCCAACTCACTACAGTACGAGACCAAACCAACTCACTACAGTATAAGTCACAACCAACTCACTACTCTACGAAACCCAACCAATTCGCTACAGTATAAGTCACGCCAAATTTACTGCAGCAGGTGTCCCATCCACTACTACAGTGCAAGACCCAACCAACTCACAACAGCAGGTGTCCCGCCCACTCACTACAGTACGAGACCCACTCAACTCACAACAGTATGAGTCACACCCAACTCACTACAGTACGAGACCAAACGAACTCACTACAGTATAAGTCACAACCAACTCACTACTCTACGAAACCCAACCAATTCGCTACAGTATAAGTCACGCCAAATTCACTTCAGCAGGTGTCCCATCCACTACTACAGTGCAAGACCCAACCAACTCACAACAGCAGGTGTCCCGCCCACTCACTACAGTACGAGACCCAACCAACTCACAACAGTATAAGTCACAACCAACTCACTACTGTACGAAGCCCAACCAATTCACTACAGTATAAGTCACACCCAACTCACTTCAGCAGGTGTCCCATCCACTCACTACAGTACGAGACCCACTCAACTCACAACAGCAGGTGTCCCATCCACTCACTACAGTACGAGACCCACTCAACTCACAACAGTATGAGTCACACCCAACTCACTACAGTACGAGACCAAACCAACTCACTACAGTACAAGTGACAACCAACTCACTACTCTACGAAACCCAACCAACTCACAATAGTATGAGTCACACCCAACTCACTACAGTACGAGACCAAACCAACTCACTAAAGTGCGAGACCCACCCAACTCACAACAGCAGGTGTCCCACCCACTCACTACAGTACGAGACCCAACCAACTCACTACAATACGAGATCCAACCAATTCACTACAGTATAAGTCACACCCAACTCACTACGGTACGAAACCCAACCAATTCACTACAGTATAAGTCACACCCAACTCACTTCAGCAGGTGTCCCACCCAACTCACTACAGTACGAGACCCACTCAACTCACAACGGTATGAGTCACACCCAACTCACTACAGTACGAGACCTAACCAATACACTACAGTATAAGTCACACCAAACTCACTTCAGCAGGTGTCCCACACAACTCACTACAGTACGAGAACCACTCAAGTCACAAAGGTATGATTCACACCCAACTCACTACAGTACGAGAACCACCGAACTCACTACAGTGCGAGTCCCACCCAAATCACTACAGTACGAGTCTCACCCAACTCACAACAGTATGAGTCACACACAACTCACTACAATACGAGACCCAACCAATTCATTGTTGTATAAGTCACACCCAACTCACTACTGTACGAAACCAAACCAATTCACTACAGTATAAGTCACACCCAACTCACTTCAGCAGGTGTCCCACCCACTAACTACAGTACGAGACCCACTCAACTCACAACAGTATTAGTCACACTCAACTCACTACAGTACGAGACCCAACCAACTCACTACAACAGGTGTCCGACCCACTCACTACTGTACGAAACCCTACCAATTCACTACAGTATAAGTCACACTCAACTCACTTCAGCAGGTGCCCCGTCCAACTCACTACAGTACGAGACCCAACCAATTCACTACAGTATGAGTCACACCCAACTCTCTACAGTACGAGACCCAACCAATTCACTACAGTATAAGTCACAACCAACTCACTACAGTACGAGACCCAACCAATTCACTACAGTATAAGTCATACCCAACTCTCTACAGTACGAGACCCAACCAATTCACTACAGTATGAGTCACACCCAACTCACTACTGTACGACATCCAACCAATTCACTACAGTATAAGTCACAACCAACTCACTTCAGTACGAGACCCAACCAATTCACTACTGTATAAGTCACACCCAACTCACTACTGTACGAACTCCAACCAATTCACAAGAGTATGAGTCACACCAAACTCACTACAGTACGAGACCCAACCAATTCACTACAGCACGAGAACCACCCAACTCACTACAGTGAGAGTCTCACCCAACTCACTACAGTACGAGACCCATCGAACTCGAAACAGCATGAGTCACACCCAACTCTCTACAGTACGAGACCAAACCAATTCACTGCTGTATAAGCCATAGTTGCAAACATCATAAGTGATGGGGTGGGGTGAGGGTTTAACGTCGTATTCAAGATTATATCACTAACAGCAGCGTAAATGCACATATGTGTGTGTGTGTGTGTGTGTGTGTGTGTGTGTGTGTGTGTGTGTGTGTGTGTGTGTGTGTGCGTGTGCGTGCGTGCGATTGTACTTGTCCAGAATTAACAGTGCTCGATCACTGAGATACCAAGCCGCATTTTAACATCGATACCAAACTCAAATGCATTATACTGACTCGAGTTAATGCCAGTTGTAGACAGGGTAACAATAGTGTACCATCTTAACGCCTGTCAGTATGGCGAGCCGGGGGATCAAACTACCGACCTCCCGCTGTCCGGGCTGAACGTGAGAGGATGATGACATCACATATATTGAATGTTTATCCATGTCCATGTATGGGCAAATTAGTTAAATTTATCATTGAAAACTTAATAATTGATCATAACTTTCCCTGCCTGGTTTGTTATTGTTTTCTGCGTAAAATATCACGACACTGGACTAAAACATTTAAAACTGGTAACTTAATACACATTTGAAGCTGTCCATTTTAACGACAATAGTTTATACTTTTTTCTCCTGCCAGCTTTTCTAACTAATATGACCTTACTTATATCAATATTATTTCTGCTGTTGTATGTCATAATTAAGGCACCCGTGAAAATAATGTTTGTACCACTTACTTGTAGCTGTCGCGTATCCTCTGCTGTGGGAGATATATGTGCTCTGTGCCTAGGTCCAAGTGCATTTTAACACGCATTATATTGCTTGCATGAAACCGAGGCTGATAACTCAATATTTTACCTGCTCATGCGCAGTTTATATTTGACGAGTGGAGAAGACGGACGTTTCACCAAAGGTAGCTGTAAACAGGTTAGTTTTCATACTAGACATGTTTTAATATGTTTCCTACATCTACCGTTCAGATTGCAAAGCGCAGCCGTTTGTCAGATGGAGTTTGTGTTTAGTCAAGCCTGATCATGTTCATCACACAAAACTATTCAACAGGTTTACTATTTTCTAGGAGTATGAACCTAGGTTTTTTTCAGATTGTTTAAGACAGTTGACCTCCCATCGGGTTCGCGTTACTGTTGTTTATTTTACAATGTCATAATATATGCTGAACATCAAACTATGTTCCGAGTTGCATATTCGATGATTTTGTAAAATGTTTTACGAAAATGTATTTACACAAAACGGAATTTCTCCAACACCAACCTCGTTAACAATATGCCTCAATTACCAGGATGTCAAATGTTGCAGCCAGTCCAGCGACATACCAGAGCATGGGAACGTATGGAAGAAGCAACATGGGTAAGTTGGAATACGTGTGTTTAGTATTGTTGCACGTATTACTTTCATTAAAGACTTAAGGATGATGATGACCCTTTTGCCTCATTGGATGCATAATGTAAGAAATGATCGCTTGTTAGACATCGTTGTGGAAGTTATCATATGTGTTCATTTAAACGACAAGAAGATTTATAAAAAAATTACAGTAAGGTCTATTGGACTTGATACAATGAACAATGCTATTTGTATAGTGTGGCTAAATATGTAAAAATGTGTGAAATATTTGAACTAGAGCAATGATGTAGATTAAAAATAGAAAATACATAGTAACAAAAGTATAAATAGTAAACATTCACCCTGGTTTCGAACTTATCATGCATATTTTTATTTCGAAGTTCGAATAAATAAGTCCGCCTTTTTCACTTCTTTTAGCTGTCCTGGTGTACTTGTCACATCAGAAGTTCAAAACGTGCAGGTGTAACAAGGACTAAAGGCTAGGCTGGGCATTTCAACATGTCTGATACTATTCATACCTGTATAATTTACATTTTCAGTGCCCCAAAGAGGCACTAAATATACCCAATCCCCTCAGCAAGCTATGTGATTACAATATATGAGCGATTTAATTACAACCACAGTTTCTGCTAGAAGTTCAGTGTCACACACGAGTCCTCACCAAAACCAAAGTAGTTTTACTTCTGTGTTCGGGAATTAAGGTCCTGGTGTCCAAGTCAGCACACATGTCCCATCATAAGGTTGATGACAAGCAATTCCCGTCCCAGTCAGAGTAATATTGAATGATAGTAACTAATTACTATAGATAGATATCACCTTTTTGCCGTAACAACATCGATAGTTGCAACACATGCCTCCTATAACGAGAGGCCAATGTAACATTCAGCATTTATCTTGTAGAAAACATACTGAGAGCAAATACTATCATCATCCCGAGAAGCAGTAACGCCGGACATCTAGAAGATGAATTCGTCCAAAATGTGATACAATACAGAGCGATGGGATTGAAGTTTAAAGAGGATTTCCCCGCCATCGTCATATATCAAGCTTCATCACGTATTAAAGATGAAGAGGAACTCATTGTTGACAAATTACGGGGTAGGTGATTATATTCAAATATATCGAGTTTGAGTACACGTGCACCAATGACAAGGAGAATAACACAATACTGAGTACACATACTTGGAGAAAGAGTTGTCATCTTTATTTAAAAACAGTCTAAATATATAATGACTATGATAATTTGTTCATGTTAGAATGCTGATTGTGTTATTTCACAGACTTTGAGTCTTATTCGAGAACTACAAACTGTTTATAAAGTTGATCACAAATATAGATTCTGTTATATTTCTCCCTCAGGTTTGCCTTCAGCAATTCTTATCATTGCATCAGTCGGAAAAGATTCTGAAGTAAGCATCGACCTTCCAAGCGACTTGAATTCTACCGTCAAACAAACATTGCGTCTGTTTATCAAAAATGGACACATTCTCCCCAATGATATGGACAACGAACACACGTTTCACTGTGTGCTGATGCATTGCTGTCAACCGGAGTCTGTCTGGTGGACGTATTTGACAGACCATTGGAAGAAAATCGCCATTGCTGGCGGTGTCATGTGTTTGCTTATTATAATAGTGGCACTTATGATACGCTTTGCTTAAAAGAAATATTGCTTTGGGAACGATCAGCTGATGTTCTGAGGTGAGGGGGACTGGTATTTCTTTAGATAAATTTATTCTAGCTCGAATCGCCTTCATTATGTGCACTGGACATGTCGTAAAATGTCCTGTAAAATGTCCTGTCTCCTCCTCGAATGGCGGATTCCTTAACTGACACAGCCCCTGTAATGCGACTGTGAACTTATTGTCTTGACGGAGCAAATGTCAATCAAATTTATGTAGATGTAAATTCGTTTTAAAATCGCCTATCAAGGATAACCCTGGAAACTACATATGACTGTAGTCATATTTGAATAACAAAATATACAATAACAAAACAACATCTATCATCCTGGACAATTTTCACGCAGAAGCGTTACGAAGAGTATGTGGTGCAGTTCCTGGAAAATGTTATGATAGAATTTACTGTGAACTGAATCAACTTCCTTAAGTGAAGGAAGAAATCGCTGTACACAGCCTTCTCAAAAATGTTTAACCATGATAAAGGGACAAAATATAATCGAACAATGATCTTCAGCATGACGAGCGAAGGCTTTAACCCTTTATCTTGATGGGGCAGTATTAATAGATGCACGTTGTTACTAACCCATTTTGTCTTCTGAAAATAAATAGATAAAATGAATTTATGTTGTTTGTTTGTTGTTTAACGCCGCACTCAGCAATATTCAAGCTACATGACGGCGGCCTGCAAATAACCGAGTCTGGACCAGACAATACAGTGATTGACATCATGAGCATCCACACAATTGGGATATGATGATATGCATCAACCAAGTCAGCGAGCCTGACCACCCGATCACGTTAGTCACCTCTTACGACAAGCATTGTCGCCTTTTACGGCAAGCATGGCAACCTATTCTACCCCGGATCTTCACGGGTATATTTATGTCTGTAATGATTCTAATGTATTGGTGACGTGTTTGTGTAATGGCTTGAATAAATCAGGTGAGCCACGAGGGACATTCTTTGTGTGCGTGCAATTTTTTATGGATTCATCTAGATAGCTTGCAGCATATAGACATTCCAACTGCAACATTACCCACTGTTCTCCAGGTACACTTGTTTACATTTAGAAACATGACACGAAGCCTTAATCTATGACTAATGCATGAAGAGCCGGAGTCAATGCATAAAACGCCGCCAGACTCGTTCCTGGGGATTGTCGATATCACACAATGGAACACTTGCACATCATTTGTATTATTTTTAACAAAATCAGTAAACGCACTATTGTGTCACTGGATTGTCTGGTCCAGCGATCAGTTGAATGTCAGGTTTGTTTACAGGCCGCAGGACAGAAGTTCTGCTATGCAGCGTCAGGTAATAATTACTTACATTTTAAGGCAAATTGTATGAATGTACATACATACAACTCTTGCAACACATAATCCTGTAGGGTTGGAGAAATAATAGTCTAACACAAAAGAAGGGATGGTGTCTTTTCTAGTCGCCTGTGCAACATCTCTTCCGGTATACCTGTCACTTTAGAGAAATAGCTGATCTATATGGAAGCATATTTGTGCCACTATCTAAAAAACATATCATCTACGTAATATTTCAGTGTTAAGCAGATGAAGTTGTTACACGGCGTTATTTGTCATCAAATTACATATTTGGATTTATATCCATGTTTGAACGAACGTATTGGTCATACAAAGTTATGGAGAGTCATTCATTATAATGAATTGATGGCACAATGTTTCGATTTTGTACAGGTGAATTGGTTAATTGAAGTCAAAATGGGGCGTAGTTTGTTATAAAAATTAGAAAGTGTTATTCAAATCCAGTACAAGTGAATTGGTTACTTAAAGTAGATATGGAACGTCATTCATTATCAAAATACATAGGATGTGTTATATTCCAAGTTTGCACAGATGAATTGTCATTCCAAGCCTGCATGAAGCATCGTTATAAAAACACACAGGGTGATATTTCTCAAGTGTTGTACATTTGAATTAACCATATAAGGATTTGATAGTTTACATTGCTTATACTTTCATAAAGCATCGTGACAAAATGCGGCCGCCTAACACATGAATACCTGCCATATATATATGTGTGTGTCATTTTGAAACCGATGCGACCAATCTATACCCAAATAAGGCATTAGTTATACACGCATGCCACCTCTTTGTAGGGTAGCGTTGCGTGGTCATACTATCAATTTTCCAGGAAAGCATTCGTTCCCCGAGAATCGCTAGACTTGTCTGGACTTTCAAACTTAGTCGAACTTTGTGGCTCTTGATATAAATATAACAACAATAAGGCGTCATCTTAACCAGTCGTGGCCAACTCGTGCAATGCAGGGACAAGGCGAGACACGTGGCCGCTTCGAAGTTTCCATATTGGCGTATGAACACAAGAACAACTTTAAACAACGATAACTCTTATTCTAATCGCTTCTTGTAGTGAAATGTTGGCGTTTCTGCAGATCTCGCTTATTTATTTTGTGACTGAATTTGTACTTTCATGGACAGCGTTAACAAATAGTATGCACATTTTGTATGAATTTTTTAACATGGGGAAAATGGACAACGTTTTACAAATAATTTATCACGTTACATGCGACATATTAAGGACTGGATGTAGTGAGAAATTGTGTAATAAGGGGATACTACAAACTAACGGATCATGTTCCAACATCTTAAACCTGCCAAGGCTAAAATTGGTAACACGCCTTGGACCATAACCCAGGACCAGCAGCTCTTATTGTGCTGGTCAGATAGAGTTAGACAGACACATTTAAGGCGTTAATACCTTTATCTGTATTTACGGTTATGTCTGTCACCCACCCTTATTAAATCACGCGTACCACGTATACTTTCGTGGCACAACAGCAACAATTGTTCAACTAATCTTCTTCATGCTAAACTTCACTCACACAATTAAAATCGATGCATCCGTCAAACTAAATTATGTACTTCTGTCGAGATAGCTTCTCTAAGGTTCGCAATAACAACTTTATCGCTTTCATAATCAGAAAATAATATTAGATATTGTAGCTAGGTTAGGACGACAGTCAGTCACACATCCGTCTGTGGTTGACGAATAAACTCTCTGTTTATTTACTCAGGTAAGAAATGTTACTCTCTTGTTCTATCTTAACTCTTATCTATACGCTGTTACCCTTGGCAAATTTGCCAGTTCGTGTGATACTTTTGAGTATACTTTAGATATTCTCGTTGTAATTCTGCTGTGGATAGATTGTGTCAGTTCTGTGTAATTTCATTAGGGGTTTTATTTTGGGATATGTATTGTGACTAACATAGCATGTATCTTGTGTGAATGCGCACACGGGTAAGATATTAGTTAGGGCGTGTCGGGTATAGTATCTTCAATTATATCATCAATTGTTGTATGTTGTATAATAATCATCCTGATATGTATAATCCAGTATGTATCACTAGTTGTCAATTTTTTCTATATCATGTTCATCTTATGTCCTTCGTATATATGTACTTCTATATTTGATTGTAAACATTATCCAGTAATTGATTACAAGCATTCTCTAATAATTCATTGTAAGCATTCTATCGTTGACTGATGATATAAATGACTCTTGCGTGTATGATAAACCAAACCATGATTTAGTCATGAATCTGTAATTGAGGAATCTATATTTTTTCAAGCAACCTGTATTTATCTGTTCAGTTATCTCTTGTTACTGTAATAAAGGTATGTAACCCGCATGTATGGGTAACCTGGAGAACCAGATAATCACTCACATACATAATTATAGCAATTAGATCCGTTTTAAACACTGTCCTAATTTTGATATTCATATGACATCTACACAAATCCACCCGTCAATATGTCAATGAAGCAGGCTAAACATTATTGTTAAAGCACTAGCTATGGCTAAGGAAAAGTGAATTATTTTCAATACTCGGGATTTTATTGATCGAAATACACATATCCTGATCCTTGGCTTGCGCCGTTTCGACTCATGGCGATCATCGAGAAGGGGACGAGCCTTGTTGTATAGGTCACGGAAACATGCGCGTGGTTACGAATGCCGTTAAACATGTCCTCCACATATAAGGCAGTTGTGTTCGGCCCTAGCAACATCTATCAAGGAAATTAGAGCAGTCGCTCCCCGAGATTTATACGTTGCAAGAGTTGACATGCACGTGTACACACTTCAAGGAGATTCTTACGCGACTTTTGTGTTAAAATAAAGCAATTAGTCACCCGACCCTTGAAGAAGGTAGACCGAGGGTTTCCTTTCAAGGAAGATTTTAGTGATTACCTCGACCCTTGTCGTGACTCAGGCGGAGAGGCATGTGAGTGATAAGGAGAGGTGTCACAAGGTCCACATTCGCTTGGGTCCAAAATCCAAGGAAACTTGGTGAGACTGGCAGCTCTGTCAATTTCCAGATACATTTCGTCGCCTGAGAACCACTTTTGACCCAAAATGATGTATTTGCATTTTCTTCCCAAATGGGTGCTATTCTAACATTGTTGTAAATTTCATGAAGCCCCTCTTCCTGGAAAGTAGTTTTTCAATGATTCTACGTCCAAAAAATCATAAGTTACTTAGAACCAGCCTGGTCTATGCCCATGTCAATGTCCATGTGTCCAATCAAGTTCTTGACACAGATCATGTGACAAGGAGATAGGAACGCATAGTTCGATTCCAGAGACCATATTATATGGTCTCTGATAGTTCCAAGTCATTTGGAGATAGATTTGGTTATCATTTATCAACTGTAGAATGTGAACATTGAGAATGATTTTTGTGATCTGTCAGCTAAAATACTGAATTATAAGGTGATGACTTCTTTACAATAAGCTGTCTAAGTATGTCATCTCTCTATGGATGAAAACTTTGGTCAAGAATAATCAGAATACGCAAATTGAATTTACTAATGGAGATAGAACTGTATCGATCTGAAAACAAAATGTCCTAACTAAACTGAGGGCCAAAAGAAACGTTACCAACATTAACTGATTTGCCACTTTGAAACAAAGATGCCAACCTGTTCAAAAACAGTAAAGAACACATCTCACGAATACAGCCTTCATGTTCTCTGTCGTTCTTTGCGCGTGCTTTGCGGATTTTGGGAGATATTGGTGTTTGTCAGCAAATTTTTAAAACATTCTTTCCCAAATTATCGTGCAATTTCCGGGTATAAATTACGCACGGATCTGTTCCCTATCATTGGTTGCGATGATTAACACCAACGAACATGCCAAGACTGACCGCTGTCCAGAGAGAGAGAGCCACAGGTATGCTGCAGGTGTGACCGACACGGAGAGCGGTTGCCATTAACATGAACTGCTCCAAGATGACCATTACAGGACTGGTCGCACGTCTCCCACAGACTGGCAGAAACGCAGACAGAGCACGGAGTGGCAGACCAAACGTCACGACCCCGCAGGATGACCGCTTTTTACGGGTACTTCATCTGAGAAACAGATTTCTTACTGTGACGGCATCAGCTGCCAACAGCTTAGGACATCCGGTCAGCAGACAAACAGTGACCAGACGACTATGACATTATGGTCTCCGGGCTTTTCGCCCTTTCAAGGGCATGACCTTGACCCGTCAACATCGACGTGCCAGATTGACGTGGTGCAGGCAACCCAGCGATTGCAACAAAGGGAATGGCGGCGAGAGCTGTTTAGTGACGAGAGCAACTTCCAACTCTTCAAACCTGATGGGCGGACGCGAGTTTATCGACGACGTGGTGAACGTACGGCTCCTTGTTGTGTCCAGGAGGTGGAACCTTACGGGGGCGGAAGTGTGATGGTCTGCGGCGGCATTTGCGGGGACGAGAAGACTGAACTTGTCATAATCGAAGGCAATCTGACAGCACAACGCTACATTGACAATATCTTACGGCCAGTGGTTCTTCCTTTCATCCAGCGTCAACAACGGACGGTGTTCCAACAAGATAACGCCACACCCCATAAAGCCCGTATTACTAGAGACTTCCTCAATGCCAACAACGTGACTGTCCTGCCGTGGCCAGCTCGATCACCAGATCTGTCACCCATAGAACATCTGCGGGACCAGCTGGGGCATCGTTTTCGGAAACGAGACAAGCGTTGATCGTTGACCTCCGTGAGGAATGGAATCGGATACCTGCAGTCGATGTGAGGACGCTTGTCTACTCAGTTCGGCGCCGCATTCGAAGATGCATTGCCGCTCATGGAGGTCATATCCCGTATTGAACGGTCTGGGCCGTCGTCACCTTAAAGTTGTAACCAATGTTGTTGATCGAATACTGGACGAATGACCCCTTGTCAAAAAATGTCACTGTTGGAGGTCAAGGACTTTGTTGTTGAATTAGTAAATTTGCATTTTACTGTTCTGAATGATGAATTTCTACAATACAATTGTTATTGCTGCTTCAAAATGTGTTGGTCATATTTTATCCTAGAAATATCGTTGGTAACGTTTCTTTTGGCCGTCAGTTTTATACTCTTACATAAATATAACATTTATCTGTAATAGATGGATAAATACTTTTGATTAAAAAAATTATCAATTATTTTGTATTTGTTTGTTTCATGTAAAATAAATGCATGTTGTTTTTTCAATTAATATTATACAGCACTTCAAATTTTATAAAATATCATTTACTCAAAACTTATCAAAGTGGAGATAGGACATTATGGTTCACAGGTGACGATTTGTACATTGACTGTAGAGGAAGAAATATCTTTACACCTGCGCATTTTGTTCACTGTTCCTAAGACGACAGGTTTTTATTTTTATCACTCGCCACGATGCGGGGCGGGGGAAATAGGAACTAAGTTCTTCCGTCCGTCCGCTTCTCAAAGTGGACACATTTTCTAAACAATTATTTCAGTTTGAGAAATGAAATTTTACACACTGATGTTACTGGTCATGATCTCAAATGAGCTCGAAAATTGTTGTCGTAAATTAATTATTTACAGAGATTTTGATTTTTAACTGAGAGCATACTGCGTGAAATGGGGAAAGGTGTTCGCAGAAACTACTGACGTTACACGAATTGAAAGTTTACATGCTTATCTAAAAGATACTTGTCAAGATTGACTTCGGAGAATGGTACCGTAAATTACTTTTTTTACGGAGTTACGGCCCTTGATCCGTGTTATTTTACATTGTGCATATTTGGGACACGTTTTCTCAGAAACAATTGAATTTAGCTGAGGGTAGCCGCCAGAAGTCAAGTCCCTCGACCTTGTGCATCTGAACATTTACACGATGTTGTATGATGCTATGTTTTAGCTGACGACGGAATTCGGATTACCAACTTTGCATATTTGCGACTTCACATTGGTGAATACAGAAACAACAAACAAAGCAATAAATTGTTTCATGGACCTCCGAAAATCTGCTCCGATTGCTGCTGTTGGTGGGTGACAGTGGGTTGGATGCCTCCTTCTGTGTACCGACTACAGATGCAAGATGTTGTTTCCACAGCACTGAACGCCATTTTCCGGAAATATAGATATGAAAGGAAACTAAGTCTTGTTCTCGCTGCAGAGATGCAGGGGATGTGATAAACGCTTGCTTTATAGCGCCTTTTTATAGATATTGAGTTTGGAGCTGAGCCGTTCATTTCATGTAATAGTGCACAGCCCTGTCTATGTTTCGATGAGGGTCCCACTATACGTAGAAACAAAGGGATCGTTCTTGGCTATTTAAGCATTAACGTCAATACATTTTGGACAGATATGTCTGTGGGTACTTTGAGGTTATTTTTTTTACAGAAATCCGTCGAGCCGAAATTGGAAATTGCACAATGAGTAGAGTATAATACAACCATAATACAAACATACCTTGATCAGAATACATCTTGGGTGTACTATTTCACTGTTGAATGGATGAAATTGTCACCTAAGATGGTATGGAGCGTTATTTGTGATCGATTTAAATATATTATATTGTATATTATGTCCATGTTTGTACGAATGAATCGGCCATTCAAAGTCAGTAGGGAACATCATTCGTTATTGAAATACATATATGGTATAATATTCCTCATATGTACGGCTGAACTACGTTTTGCTTTTTATTGTCAATATTTAACGTCAATCAATTTCAAAATGCATAGGATGCATTATACCCTAAGTTTTGCACAGATGAAGTGATAATTCCAAGTCAGCATTGAGTATTAATAGTTGTAAAAACATATAGGGTGTTTCAAAAATTGTACAATGAATTAACCATTAAGGTTAAATAAATAAAAAACATTGTGCTTCTGACTGTTGAAAAATGGTTATTTACAGCCACAGAGAATACATTGGTGCAATGTGTGTTTCTTAAAAATATATATTTAGTCTCATAGTTGCAATAAAACAAATATCTGGTTCCAGAGGTGCACATGTGGCTGAAAATATAAAAAAATATCTTGTTTCCATACACACTGAATTCTTACTGGTTTAACTGATTGTTTCAATTTAGAAGTCGACACATAACAATATCAGGGAGACGAGCTAAACGGGATATGAAACGGGATATTTGAAAACATGTAACACAAACGGAACCTCTGCAGAAAAGCATGATCTGTTGACAAAACAAAATCATGCAATTGATGATGTAAACCAGGGTATAGAAAAACGCGTGTTGTAGGGATTCGGTATGCATTGTTTCTGCTTGTCTTGACAAGTGCAACACGGAAAAACATCAAATTTCAATCATTATTTGAAGTTTGGAGATGCCCAGCCTACCTGAAATGACTTGAGATGCCATCTATATTTCTATTATCAGAGCAATAACCTGTTCCGATTTGTACGTTCAATGGTGTTGTAAAGCGCTTTCCACAAATCTATTTACACAGATTATATTATCATCTATAATAATCATAATAGTCATCGTATAATATGCTTCAATTACCAGTATGTCCAAGGTTGCAGCCAGCCCAGCCACATACAGGAGCATGGGGACGCATGGAAGGAGCGACATGGGTAAGTTGGAATACGTGTGTTTAGTATAGTCGAACCGTAAACACGTTACTCCCATTGAGTACAGATAAATGATTAAGCACAGGAACAAACCATGATAATGACCCCATAGGCCACTTCATGCTGGATTTAGGAAATGATCGGTTTAAAAACATCGTTATGGAAGGTATCAGATGTATTCAGCACAAAACACCGTGTGATAATGACCCCTTTGCCACACTGGATGCACGATGAGAGAAATGACACATGTTTAATTATGGCTATGGAAGTTGTCCGATGTGTGCATAAAACGACTGTAAGACCTGTATACTAAGATCTATTGGACTCACAAGTATATTTGTATAGTGTAAAATGACTCAAAATAGGTCATGAAGCGTTTTTCTAATATTTGAACAAGAGCATATATATATATATATATATATACATATATATATATATATACATATCAATGTCCCGCATATTTACAGGCTATAAACAGTGAGAAATATTGGTAAGGTTACCACATGAGACTATGTGGCAAGGCAGCGTCAAACTGATCCGAAACAACAACAACAGCAAGAATACAGGAGCAACATCTACTAACAAAATGGCTATGTTCATATTGACTATGTTGTCTATTGTGATGGCACTAAGTGTGTTGACCTGGAATGTGCTTGGTGTGTCTCATCAGACCGAACATATCAACTCTATTTTACCGGACTATGTCGATATCATTGCTGAATAAGAAAACTGGCTAAAACATGATAATGTAAAGCAAAAGGTTAAAGAAGCATGTCTTGTTAAATGGGACAAAGCTTCCAATATGGAGATCTCTTCGTACAAGGTCTGTCTTGATACACTGCTAAACAATGCAGAGACTTGTTTATCAATAGATAAACGCGATGATATTGAATCATTTAATACGGGGATCAGTAAATGTATAATTGATGCCAGTAAGACAGTCTATACCAGTAGGTAGTTTCAAGGCTAATCTGAAGCCTTACTGGAAACAGGGTGGGCTACACCTAGACCATTATAACATGCGAGTTGCAAGGCGGAGATGGTTATCCGAGGAAAAAACCAAGGGGGGATAATGTCCATTCTTAAGCATCATCCAAGCAGGTTAAGCGAGAATTCCGACGTCGTCACAGAAAGTCAAAGGAGGCCTTTTCAAAGAAATTTTGATTGGAATTAGAAAAAACTTGTGATACTGATGTGAATACGTTTTATAAATCTGTAAGAAAACTACGTAAACAGAAGATCGGAGTTGAAAAACTTACATATGATGACCGTAATGTAACAACTCCCACTGACATATGTCAGCTTTGGGGTAGGTACTATGCGGATCTAGCAAAACCATATGACTCCGACCAGTTCGATCAAGACTTTAAAGATGGTATTGACTATGAAATTGAGAAATTAGCCTCCAGTAATGAATCTAACTCATGTGTTGATAATGTACTATGTGCTGAAATATCGGTTCAGGAAGTGATTAGATATGTACAGACACTGAAGAGGAACACATCACCTGGTCCTGACAATATTAAAAATGAACATGTGATGTTTGGTGGTGAGCTGCTAGTAGGGAAGTTAGCACTGTTATTTAATGCTATTCTTAAACTTCAGTACACACCTGCAGCCTATAGACACGGGGTAATTATACCTATCTATAAGGGTAAAAAGGATAAATCAAACCCTGTAAATTATAGAGGTATTACGCTAACATCTTGCCTTAGTAAGCTTTTTGAGAAAATTCTCTCAGAAAGATTAGAAACGTGGACATCCCGAAATGCCTGTAATTTTCCCGTATATTGCAGTTTAGCTTTAGGAAGAAAGACGGTGCTGTTATGTCGCTATTTAACCTCATCGAATGTGTACAAAGTTATGTTAACAGGTGATCATGTATCTACACAGCATTTCTAGATAACGAGAAAGCTTTTGATCGAATATGGCACTCGGGTCTCTTTGTAAAACTCTATCATCTTGGTATTAGAGGTAAAATGTGGTCTCTGTTACATCACTGTTATACTTCCATGTATGCGTGTGTTCAGTATAAGGGCGAACAATCTGATGCATTTGCTGTTAGATAAGGTTATAGGTCTGGGTAGAGTTATCTCAGCTTTGCTTTTTCTTGTGTACATAAATGACCTCATAACTGAGCTTTGGCAGTTAGATACAGGAATATGTATATATAATGTTAGTTTACCATGAGTGTTACTTGCTGATGATACTACTCTTATCAGTTACAGCCCTAAAGGTCTGCAAACAGCCTTAGATACAGTTGTTAATTACGCATCCAAATGGCGATTAACTTATAATGCATCGAAAAGTAAAATTGTTGTGTTTCATAAAAAGAAGCAATTATTGTGAACGTATGCTTATCCCTTTGGGGACTATGATATGCCTTTGTTTGATAATGTAAAATATGCGGGTGTTGTTCTACAAAGTAATCTTTCTTTCAAATTATATATTGAAGAGAGCTGCAAGGCGTACTAATAATTCTCTCCTCTCTGTTGGTCTAAATAGTAGTGACTTACATTCGTATGCAAGTATTGAGATATGGAAAAGAATGATCTTAACAACAAGCTTTTATTGATGTGAATTACTACCTCCTCTGCATGGTAAAGATCTTGAATTAGCTGAAAGCACCCAGCGTTACTTTGCAAGGATTGTACAAGGTTTTGACCAACGTTCCCCCACTGATGCCACTATTGCTAATCTAGGACTTTGGAGCATGGTTGGCTATATAGATAAATGTAGACTACAGCTGCTGGGGCGTCTCTGCAACAACTCATGTGTCTCAATTTGTAAAACTGTTTTCAATCAATTTCACTCTATTACTTTCATAACAATAATTTACACAGTTTATGTGGAGTGTTGCTTTCAACAGCCAAGAAATATAAGCTACTCCATCATGTATTTCACTACGTTCGCACAGGGGAATTCCCCGCGAAGATTAAGTGGATAAAGATTGTGTTAAATAAAATAACTACCCACGAGGAAGAAGTATGGAAATATAACTATCATGTAGAGCAGACCTATCTCGATATTCTAAAATTAACACAACACTTACATGTACTCCTCATGTGTTATACAGCATTGTAATGTTATATCCAGAAATGAGAGAAGAAATACAGTATATAATAAGGATTGGATCCAAAATATCAAAAGAATGTACAAAATGTAATACTTTTGCTCATGATTATTATCACCATGTCATCTTAAACTGTGAATGTCTACTTTCAGATAGAGATGTATTCTTTTTCACTCTAATTGATAATCTTGATGTTAAACATATGTAAAAATAGAGATGATGGAAGACCATGATATGTTAGCATTCTTTCTTGGTGCAGATAACAATGACATTGATGAAATAACGAGGCATTTCACTATCATTGAAATCTTAAAGTATTTATATCAAATTAAACATATCCTAAACAACGTGTGGTAACCTTACCAATATTTCTCACTGTTTATAGCCTGTTAATATGCGGGACATTGATATATATATATATATATATATATATATATATATATATATATATATATATATATATATATATATGTTTGATTATTGTGTTATTTAATTATTTAATTACCTAATCTTGATGCTTTGAGAATCTTCGGATTTATGTGAAATAAATAAATACATTTATTCATTCATTCATTCTATAATAATCATAATAATCATCGTATAATATGCTTCAATTACAAGCCAGCCCAGCCACATACAAGAGCATGGGGACGTATGGAAGTTGGAATACGTGTGTTTAGTAAAGTTGAACCGTAAACGCTTTACTCCCATTGAGTACTTATAAATGATTAAGAACAGGAACAAACCATGATAATGACCCCATAGGTCCACTTCATGCTTGATTTAGGAAACGATCGGTTTAAAAACGTCGCTTTGGAAGGTATCAGATGTTTTCAGCACAAAACACCGTGTGATAATGACCCCTTTGCCACACTGGTTGCACGATGAGAGAAATGACACATGTTTAATTATGGCTATGGAAGTTGTCCGATGTGTGCATATAAACGACTGTAAGACCTGTATACTAAGATCTATTGGACTCACAAGTATATTTGTATAGTGTGGCTAAAATGACTCAAAATAGGTCATGAAGCGTTTTTCTAATATTTGAACAAGAGCAATTGGCCCGAAGAGGCAGCACCGCCGTCCCCCCCAAACGTATGCCTCCTATAACGAGAGGCCAATGTAACATTCAGCATTTATCTTGCAGAAAACATACTGAGAGCAAATACTATCATCATCCCGAGAAGCAGTAACTCCGAAAGTCTAGAAGATGAATTCTTCCAAAATGTGATGCGATATAGAGCGAAGGGATCAAAGTTAAAAAAGGATTTCCCCCACCTCGTCATATTTCAAGTTTCATCTCGCATTAAGGATGAAGAGGAACTCATTGTGAACACTTTAATGGGTACATGATTCTATTGAAATATATCGAACACGTGCACTGATAACGGCATATGTCATACGTAGTCAAGAGGAATGAAACAGTATTGAGTGAGGGATTCATCTTTTCGGAAATAAGTTGACATATTTATTTGAACAGCCTAAATCTTTGACATACAGAAGTAGCTATGAAACGTCGTGACAAAGATTTAAAGAAGTTACCCTCCTTAAAAAGTCTCATGTCTTCAGGTTCTTCCAACTTCAAAATGCCTATCAAGCACTTCAGCCTAAATATAAAATGACTAGGATGGGTTGTTACTGTTAGAAAAATGAATGTGTTATTTCATACATGTTGACTGCTCTTGGAGAAAACACCAACCTGTATACAAGGTTAATTATACATATATGATCTATCATATTTCTCCCTTAGGTTTGCCTTCAGCAATTCTTATCATTGCGTCAGTCGGAAAAGATTCTGAAGTAAGCATCGACCTTCCAAGCAACGTGAAATCTACCGTCAAACAAACTTTGCGTCTGTTTTTAAAAAATGGACACATTGTCTTCAATGACAGCGAAAACAAATGCATGTTTCACCGTGTGCTGTTGCATTGCTGTCAAAAGGAGCCTAAATGGCGGAGATATTTGAAGAAAATCGCCTTTGTTGGCGACATGTGTTTAATAATTGTAACGGTGCCATTCTTAATTGTATGGTTTGGTTTTAAATTAATGCGGAGAGTTATTGTATAATTTACTGTGAACTAAACCGTATCCCTTAAGATAGAGAAGATATCGCTTTACATACCCAAAATGTTTAACCATTTCCTACCTGAAAATATTTTTTTATTCCATTTTTCATCATATTTTACATTTCAATATCATACATAGAGTGTGCATGGATTTGTTGTGACATTATTGGCATGTTTGTAGCATTGACAGATCATATATCGTAGTTATACAGGGTTTCTAAATAATACATGTAGAGAACACCAGAAGGCATGCAAACTTTCATAATAACAATTTGAATATGCAATACATTTTGTATTTTCATAATATCGAAGTATTTCTTTTTGAATTAGTAAAAGGAGTGGTTTGACTTTTTTCTATTAAATGTGTACAGCATAGATTTTGTTACCATAATTCCTTCATTGAGTGAATTGTTATTCTTCTCTTTAAATCCAAACAGTATGTGTTCATTTTTAAAATTAACTCTGCCTTCTGTATAGTTTCCAAGCCAATCTGAAAGTTTCGTCAATATATCAGCAGCATAGTGACAATAACATAATACATGAGTAATTGTTTTCAGAAAGTAAATGTTCAATACATAATGAGCAAACTGGCGATTCAACATATCCAAATTTAAATAAATAACAGTTAGTACTCAAAATATTATGTATAACTTTAAACTGAAACCATCCTAATTCAGAACTTTGTGTACATGTTTTTGCCATAAGGTTAAAGTTTGTCCACTCTGTATCTGTATACTGTTTTTCAAGGAAATCTTCCCATTTACTGCAGCACTTATGTTTTATAAATTTAGGGTTTAATAGGGCTTCATAAAATACCTAGCTTCCCGGTTTATTGTTTATTTTTTATACATTATATGGCAGTATAGGTCTTTGGCAAACTTTAGCACAATGTATTATATTGTTATTCTGTAAATACCTGACTATTGATAGTTTTACTCCTTGATGGGTCAAAAAGTCTGTCTTCAAACTGTATTTTTGTACAAATTCGTCAAAATCATATAATTTCCCTGTGTCATGAATGAAGTCATTTATATATGGTATACCCTTTTGATGCCATTGTGGAAAATAAATAGACTTACCATCAATTTTGATTTCATTATTATACCAGACAGATTTGCACATCATATCCTCGCCAGATTGTTTAACATTATCACAACAATTCAAGCACACTGACCACCATAACAAAACTTCCTTCCAAAAGTTATTGTTGATGTTTGGAATAATCTTTTCGTTAATATAGGCAGCATCAGCCAGGTAAATTACATTCGCGCTAGCAACATTTAAAAAAGAAAGAAAGCTGTCCATGTGGAATTACCATGAACCAGTCTCTTAATCCAGCTTAATTTTTGTGCGTCGATTACCATTTCCACCACTTGGACACTGATGCCGCCATATTTAGGATGTAATGACATAATTTTCCTTTTAACTCTGTCAGGTTAAGATCTCCAGATGAAGTGAAAACATTTTGACTGAAACTTTTCTTTTACAATTTTGGGTGGGCTTGTTATACTGCAAAACAGGTGATTGAGTTTGGGTAACAACAATGATTTTAGTACAACATTTCTACCCATAGGTGTCAGGGTTCTCTTTTCCCACATTTTCCTTTCCTTTCTATCTTATCAAACTTGTTTGTATAGTTGTTATGAGAATCCATTATACATGTATATTTACTATACGTATATGTAGAATATATTAAATGTACTTTGTTATCATGAAATGTATATTCCTACCTTTTCATATATTATGTTGCTTGTGTACAGATTGCCAGTGATCAACACTGACCAATTACACACTTCACTTCACATTGTCTATATGTAAGCCCTGGTAAGCCCACAGCCAAGTTAAGGCTGATGTTATGCAATTGTGGCTTGGCTATTGCTCAACGGGTAGACAAAGTGGTCAGTTCCCAGGTCGGGTTGGAGGTGTTAACTGACATGCCATGTCGGCAAGATTTTAAACTTTAATTGTGTATGCCATGTCGGCAATTTGTGAACTATGGTGTATTATGGATTACACGAAACATTCACTGGATCTTGTTTGGAAATGATGTGATTTTTCATCATAAAGTAAGACTGTTTATATTGTGATTGATACTTGCTTTTGCTGTTTGTAAATAATATGAATCTTGATTAGACTGCCAGTATTAAATTATTTTTAAATTGTTGTGTGATCTCTCCTTGTTATGTATGGAAACGGTTTAGTGGATCCACACGTAACAATAGTCTAAATTGACCATATTTTCCAAATCAACATCAAAATCTATGCCTATTAGCTTAAAGTGAGATTGTGATCAGTCAAAATTCCAATCCTCACATAACTTATATCTTGATCTTTTCTTTGACCCTATCCATATCAACTTGTTTTTTTCAGCATTAACTTTTAATCCCGAAAACTGGGCATTTCTTTTAAATGATCATTGTGGTATAGAAGCTCTTTTCAGATTCATCTAAACTTAATGTAGCATCATCTGCATATTGTGCAAGCAGAGATTTAATATTACCCTTCTGTATACCTTTTATTTTATTATTTCTTGTCATTATTGCTAAAATTTCGGCACCTAAAAAAATAATGTCCAACTCACATTACCAACGTAGTAGTAACAAGTAACAACTCCTTATGCATTCAGGACAGTATCAATTTACAAAATAGCAATTGTCGTACAAAATGTTATGCAAAATCGTTTATTCCAGACAGAATTAAACTTTGGAATGCATTACCATGACGAATCTGCCCGTTTTCTGCGGATACCAACACGAAAATACATTTCATTACTTCTTCACATGCACAAAGTATGATATTATCAGAAATAGCATGTACCATTTTACCCATAGGTGTAATTTGAAACTGTTTAAGCCGTAATTATTCCAGCATATTTAAGTGGCCTTTTAAAAGCTGTAGTTACAATAAAAAAAAATTGAAATGGATTTTGACCTTTATTCTTATAATTCGACGTTTGCTACAGATGCCGGCACATTTATTAAGCAATTGGTTAAAACTACTGGTCTCTTTACCTAAACGTTGCATTGTAAGAAGTTGAAATTTATAAGCCAACCCTATCTTCATGGTAATGCTTCCTTACACGTAAAAAAACAAATTGAAATTCAAATATGAAAATTAGTACATGACTATATCATAAAAAAACAAAGCCATTCGAAATAGCTTCTTGACATTAATATTTAATTAAGAAGCTGCCTGGCAGTGACAAACAACCCTAATCAGATGGGTTTTTTTAATAATATGTCTACTGGTGTTTCTACAATATATTTTGCCGATTTGCACTCCACATATTTTAAATTGTTTTGTTGCTGGAGTGAGTGAGTGATTTTACGTCATTTTTCGCAACATTCACGCAATATCACAGCGGGGAACACCATAAATTGGCTTCATAGTTTGTGGGGAATCATTGGGGAATCCAATCCGGGTGTTCGGCTTCACGAGCGAACGCTTTAACCAGTAGGCTACCCCACAGCTCCTTTTCGTTGATAGAGCAGTGTTAATCGAAGTATGTTGTGCTTCTTTACCAACCCATTTTCTCTTCAGAAAATAAATATTTAAAACCGAATTCATGTTTGTTAATATGTGTCGGTCTTCTACAAACGGCTTTTGTAATGTTTCTAATATACCGATGACGCGCTTGCGTAATGGTTTGAATAAATCATATGAGCCACGAAGGACATTTTGTATATTTGCACATTTGTATGTTCCATTCTCAATAGCTTGTGACAGATAGACTGCAGGCTTTCACATTACTTCCCTGTTTCCGAGCTACACGTGTTTGTTTAGAAACATAATATGAAACCTTAACTTATGACTATGGCATGAATTATAAAGGGCCTGGATAAACATCATTAGACTCCTATACAATACTACGGGGCTGTTGGGTAAACTTGGCTGTCGGAAATTTGATAAGACTTTGGGAATGTCACCATGACAATTGCACGGCTATGGATATGACAACAGACAAACAGTTGATTTCGCACATGGTTCATATCTGTTGTTATTGACCCTGACAACAGCTGGTCGGCCATCTTAATACAAACACTTTGTTGTTGGCAACATAGATATGTAATGAAATTAACAATTTACCTATATTTTGTGTTATTTTATTTTATTCTGTATAAAGACATGTCAAGGTTGAAAGTCAAACAAATCAGTCATTATTAACGAAGTCAGAGGTTATGTAAAACTGACCCGGAACTACTGTCAATTATTCGAGAAAATATTGTCATCAAAGTCGACAATTCTATGTTGGAAGATACTTCTTGTTAGCGTCAGTCTGGATAATCATTTCCAGGTAATCTTGGTCTGTGACTAAAACAAGCTTGCATCTATATATATATACTAGTAGAATTTCTATATTCCGTAGATGATAGCAAGGACTTCCTTTTCTAATTGTGTGTGCTTGTGTGATCTTGATGCAAATTCCTTGATCTATCACATTGGATATAATATTTCAGTGTTGAACAGGCGAGGCCCGGAATTTTAGCTCCGTTTAGGGCAGTTTGTTTACTGTTCAGGATGTACACGGCCGGCCATACTATAAATCTTCTGGGACAGCAGAGCAGTCCCTCCCCAGATGTATATGATGTAATACTGAGACAACATTTGGCATGTACGTACACACTGTTTATATCAGTAGAAATATCAGTAGAAATGCAGGATTACTCATTAACAGGATAGCGTATCCATCAAATTACAGGTCATGGAGGTAGAAAGGGGGCACGGGTGGCCCAGCCGTCTAAGGCGCCGAGATTCGCTGTGCAGAGTTGCGTTCCTTGATCACGCCAGAAACCTATGATTGTGGGTTCGAATCCCGCTTCGCCCCGATTATGTTTCTAGGTTTGTCAGCACCATACCCGTGCTCGCGGGTTTCACCGAAGTGGTAAACGTCTGAGATCTGCATCCCTTCGGGCTTTCCTCCCACATGCGCTGACACGCCGTGATATAACTGGAATACTGTTAAAAGCGGCGTTAAACCAAATTCACTCACTCACTCATGAAGGTAGAACAACGGATGCCAATGGGTTTTCATATAAGTTAGTGCTATAGTCGTGTCCTCACGTGGAACGCCATCAATGCGTATGCCGTTGACGCGATAAAGCAAAGTAGTTGTCGACCCTTTAGAAAGTGGTCAACACAATAATACATATATAAACCAATATGATGTCGCCATGGAAAGTTGATCCAAGACTCAGATGAGTTTAAAGAGCGGCGTGATCACCTGACTGAAAGGGCTAAATTTGACGTTTCAAGGGACAACGTGACGACAAAAAAAGATTGAAAGGATTCCTCATGTAATATAGAACATTGGAAACCATAAGGCTTCACTCCATGTGTTGCGTGTGGTTCCAAACCCTTGTAATTACCTTTATGGTGGTACGAGCAATTATATGACAAAACGTCAGCAGTAATCTGTGAATATTGACACGTTTCTTGCCTGGTCTCAGGGCATCTGTTGAACTTCCGACTTTGTTTCTCGAAGCTGTAACTTCCGCTGATAGGGTCACTCTCGATCTGGGTACCATCGAAATGTCGAAAACCCAGGGTACATTTCGATGGTACCCAGATCGAGAGTGACCCTATAGGCGTAACTTCCTAATCAACCATCCGAATCAATACTTCTTTGCATTATCAGATTGCTCATATGAAACCCATTATGCAACAATAGCTTGCAGTGCTGATCTCATCAGAAAGTTCTTTAAGATGTTCTGTAGAAAACCCCATAGGAACGTGTTGACTTCTTGTAGGCACCGTTGTTGTTTGATGTCTCTCGTGAGATATCACCTCCTTGTTGGGGAAAAGGGAGAAAATCATTAGATCATTGGATTTGGTAAAGCGCGCATGGAATATCATTCAAGCTTGCTTTACAAACGATTTTAGTATTAAGAGATGGACGTAATTTTAGCACAGAAGTTATCATTCATACTCTAAATTACGCAGTAATACAGGGGAATAAGTCTAATCTCTAGACTACCCCACCGTCCTATTCTTGGGGTAGGAGAGAATGAATAATTTTCATCTAAGGCTGCAAAGACAAATATATTTACAAAAAATAAAACTCTGAGCAAACATTTTTTAGAGAAAAGTCTTGCAACAATATATGTTTTGTGGCGGCCAATTTCATTTATTTCAAGATTTTAGTTCAAACATTTGTAATGTTGCTGTCATTACTTATTGCTGTCGTATTATCCGACAGTTGAACCCAAACTGCAGAAATAGACGACAGCCGTGCTAGCCGTGGCTTTTCAATAAATGCTAACGTTAACAGTGAAAGCAAATTCATACTGCTCTTGTGTAAAAACATATTTCACAAATTTACATGTACAGACAAATTAAGTAGGAATTATTTTAAACGATTTCCCAGAACAAGCTTTTCTCCAATATGGATTTTGAAATAAGCGGTTCTAAATGGTCAATCAGACTTCTGTTTATCTTCCCGCCTCGGAAGTGAAGTAACCAAATGAATTTTCATTAAAAATATTAACTTAAAGTAATTTCTTTATTTTGCTCGATCAAAGGTTACTTTTAGTAATTACCTAACAAATGTTATGACATTTTCTTCATTTCGAGAAATGTTTACAAAGAGAGACATAAATGACAAGTATCTGGTGGATAAAGTTCTGACGAAAGCAATGTAACGCCTCTCTACTCTGCATCAGGATGAACAGAAATGTGTCCCTATTTTCAGACATGAGTTAAACATAGTGAAAGAAAGTGAATACGAATAATTCCCATGAACTAGCCAACCACACCGTACCAGTTCAACAATAATAACAGGCAATATAGCGGAGGTCCCCCGGTCGTTTTAGACCTAACGGCAGTGGAACCAATCTACTACCGGTGAGGTGAAATTATGTTTATGTGACCTTACATTAAAACACTAGATTCTGATTGGTTGTGGAGCGGGAAATTATTTTACATGTACTCCGTTCATGTACCCTGCTGAGAAATCAATCGCAACACAACTTAGGTAACTTGCGTGTCTCGCATAAGTATCGTTGAGCTGAAATGAGCAGATGTTTATTCCCCACTAATGCATTAGGTAAAAGGAAGTAACTCGTTTCGTCTGCGTCGTCTGCTTGCTGTTAAGATGACTGAATCAAAGCGTTTTACCTCGGTGAAGCTTCGTACATATATTCCGGGTCTGGATGAGTGAATGCCGTCAGATGAATTCGTTGTCAACCGCTCCCTCGGGGCATATGTGATGTACCTAACGCCTCGGGGTACACAAAGGGTACATCACACCATATACAACATGACAGCAACAGCTCGGGGTATATAGGCTCACACTAAGGGTGCATCACACCATATCGTTTGACAATTTAATATATTAACATCGCGTTCAAGATTATTTCACTTATGTAGCATTGTACAGGACGGACTCCTGCAGGTGTTATCGTCCTAGATCAACGACATAGCATTCTGCAGTTGAACATACCCGACTCAAACACATTATATTGACTCCGAACCGGTCAGTTCTAGTCTGAGCGCTCTTAATACCGAACACCAGGCAGGGTAACAACAAGTTACATTTTTTTACCGTCTTTCACAATGACACTACCAAGGGATCGAACTACTGACCTTCTGCTCTCCGGGCAGACGCTCTACCCATTACATCACTGAGCCGGTAGCTCCTTTAAGAAAGAGCAAACATTGACGATTTTTATTGCAACAATACTGAGCGGATATCGTTTGTTTGTTGATTAACGCAGCACTAAGTAATATTCCAGCTATATGACGTTGGTCTGTTAATAATCGAGTCTGGACTAGACAATCCAGTGATTGACATCATGAGCATCGATCTACGCAATTGTGATACGATGACATGTATCAACCAAGTCAGCAAGCCTGACCACCCGATCCCGTCAGTCGCCTCTTACGACAAGCTTAGTCGCCTTTTACAGCAAGCATGGGTTGCTGAAGACCTACCTCGGATCTTCATGGGTTTGACGGATATCGGAAGATATTGAGGCTGGTGTATTTTTATGCTGTATTGAGTCGGATATATTGTTTACGCGTGACATATGTTAGTAATGACCTGTGTGCCGTAATTTGGTCATCTTCAGTCAAGTGGTTCGCTGATAACTGACTTCGACTCTGAGGTACCCGATCTCTTAGCATTGAAATGGAGAAAACTGAGTTTAGAGCAGTCAATAATTTTATTTACCCTCGAGTGTCCATCACCAACGTTTACATGCTGTTTATGGTAAGCTGCCCCACCAAATGCCACAATTTCAGCGTGTGTGAAAGAATGTGTAAGATGACACAACCCTGGTCCATCACCACAAAAGACAACATTGATGCAGTCCAGAATGTACTGAATAATAGTCAACATAGAAACTATCTTCCTTGAACAACTTCATATGTCAAAAGTTCGTGCCCGAGGGGTTTATGGAATGCATTTGGATGAAATGAAGCCTACGGCCTCCAACTCTAATAGCCTGTTAACAAGATAAAACCGCAATAACTTCATGTGAGGTTAGTGACAGGTGATAAGGCCTGGATCCATCACTGTGTTCCTGAGAGCAAACAATAATCCACGAAGTGGAAACCATGAAGTTTTAAAGAAGCAGATCCACTAAGTGAGGAAGGGTTATGCCGAAATTCGTTTGGAAACCAACTTCAAAGCTTAATGCTCCAGTTGAAACCAGTAATGTTGAAATGGCTGCTGTACGGGAATGTGGATACGTACACTTGCCTCATCCACCTTATTCGACAGATCTTTTCCCCCTCTTACTGCCATTTGTGTTCAATTTGATAAAATCAAACAACACTTGCATTGTCAGAGATTACAGAGAAACACAAGACATACAAGGACAGGTTGTCTTTCTGTATGTTGAACAGCACTGGAAACTTCCAAACCTATATTGTATCCGATATTGAGGTTAACAATGTTGTTAGACATGCATATGAACTTGCTTCTTCAGATATGATCAAAGAAGTTGGAAGTTATTTGCCTAAGGTTATTATAAACAGCTGCACAAAATCAAACAAATTGAAATGGTTCCCATCTGCTCAGGATCTTGGAAACATTAGTAATGTTCTGGCATCTTAACTGGAGAAATTTCTAAATTATGCCATAACAGTTAACGCAGCAACCCACACATCTAAATCATGTCGACTTCGGGCAGCAACGGTGTGTGGAAACTTCCAAAGCATGTGTTGATATGCATGACACTCTCCAAACCTGTTCAGAAGTGAGGGATTGATTACATTGCTCAACCGAATGCGCCATTGTGAGAACTATTCATTTTCACTGCAGCTAACCACAGCGCTGGCACAGGCTATTGAGGAAACATTAACTGTATTGTCAATACATATTCGGCCACCATCAGTGTTTCATTCTGAATTTGATAATTTGACAACAACCTTAGTGGAATGGGTTCAGTTCATACTACACGAAAAAGAAGGCAAACCAGAGGATCATGGTGGCACCCGTGTAGACATCCCTTAACACTATCAATCAACGTTCGTTGATCCTCAATCTAGCAGAATATCTGCTATGTCACCCAGCGAGATTGTCCACAAATTTTGGGTAAAAAAGCAGACATATCCTGATGGTGAATAAAACTACCACGGAGCAGATATGCGACACATATTGTGGGCTCTGATACGGATGAAGAGTTGTTTGTCACACCAGGAAGAGCCTGGGTGGACAGGTTTCACATTTTTGACTGGTGACGCTCCTGAGATTTATAACAATCGATTTCTATCTAGTTATTGGCAGTTCAATCACCAATTATAAGTGTGTCCAAGCTATGGTGAAAACGCCACAACCGAACCCAGACAGTGCTACATCATCACCACATTTTAGTTGTGTATGTATGAAAGCATATCCCCTCGACTGGAACAAACAAACTAAGTACGAGAAGCACATTATCCTAATTGGAACATTCCATCTAGTTTGTGCATATATGGAAATGAAAGCAAAGAAAATGAATTGGTCAGGTCTCGCTGATATGTTGCTGGAAACTGACTCGGGTTCCATCGCAGGTGTTCTGTGAGGGAAACATTAAAACGCAGCCATGCACTGCCAGAAAGTCTTGTTGGAGTGCCTTGGGCGACTTATAATGACTCAGTATGTAGAAAGTCCGCGTGAAACTGTCTTCGTTATCTGAGCAATCAAAGCAAGTGATGGATAATATGCTGCACACCCCATCTTTAGAGGCCTAAGGATTACATGAAAGGACTTCAGCAATATCGCGATGACATTATGGCATGGTTTCAAGGAGAGACTGCTCAACTGTGGTCATACATGGGTCATTTATGGCTTGTACTATCACTGATACACGCAGTGAAACAACGATTTACACGTGTTTGTGCATTGTCTTCCTCTCATGGCTGACGTGTTTGGTGGCCAAAATTATGCGAGGTACCTCACATACTTCTCCACATTCATAGCCAAAATCGAGACATCTCATCCAGGAGAAGAGAGGTGCTATCAGCAATGACCGACCCTTCATTCGTGGCAACAGGTGTGAAGTCAACAAGACTTTGGAAGAGACTTCCATGTGACACGCCAAGTCTCGTGGTGGTGCTGGTGGAAGTGGTGCTGGTGTTTCAGGCGTGTTGACCAACCATGATACTTATTAACTTTGGATTAGAACCTCTCTTACCATATCGCAGTGTGTCAACGTCACTCTCAATATGCCTGATATGTTGTCAGGCAGCGTAGGGGAACCAAACACCATGATGTCCGGCCTGCTGAGGTACTGAAAAGTGAAAACAATTAAACCGAACAAAAGAAGCCATTGAAAGTTTCCTGAACCCATTCAGTCAACAGTAAGGATTATCGGGACAAGCGGCATCCGACATGTGAAAAAAGATGTTCTCTGAGCAGAACTGGCGGAGTAGATGTTGAAACCCGATTGGAAAGTGGCAAAATTTTTTTGAGCCAGTGAAACCTTTGAATCTCAAAACTTTAGGAGACATGGACAAGAAGGTCAGGGTCACAACCACCGCAAACAAAGTGGTACAGTACAAACAGGGAGGGTACATCGCTTTTCAGTTGTTTATCACGTTCCAAACTCAAGGAATACAACTGGGTCTGAAGGAACTGCTGAACTATCCTTTGACTCCTGTGTCATTATCGGGACTGCATACTGAAAAGTGAAAGGCCTTCCAACCACCTGACCCAGTATCTCGAGGATGTGGATGTCCCTCCTGCCAATGAATTTCTTGTGATTCATGATGGCAATGCTTCTTTCTACTACTTGAAGGACATTCCCAGTAACTTCAGCAAGATTTGCCAGAAAGTGTTTCATATAATGTCGAAAACGATGATGTTGTGTTCACCACAGACAACTATGTTGCCAACTCTGGCCAAGCCATGGAGCGATAAAGGAGAGGATTTGGAGAGAAACTCGTCAAAGGAGAGAACACGAGAAAATCTTCTGACTAGAAACAAATAATAGTTCATCACTCTTCTCACTCGACTCCACGGTTGGCCTAAGTTCCATGGCTGGTACAGCTGGTAATGTGAACTCATTTTTCGGAATTTTGTGACTTAAACTATACAGCACTCTTACTTATCCTTAAATGTTCATAGTTCTATAATCCTAATAATAGCAATAATTAATTATCTGAACGAATTGAGTATAGGAATGTTTAACATATTTATCAATGTTACACTGCAATTACACAAATCATTGTCAATAATAAGTTGTAAGTTGCGGGGAGGCCTAGGCAATAGCCTATAGAATCAATACTTCTTGTGTTCGAATCTCGGATTCGATCTGATTGTTTTCCTCAATGATTCATTCAAAAGGTAACCATCTTCGACACTGGTCACCCCAACACTAAAATACTGTTCAAAGCTAAAACAGACCCATATGAAAGTGGGAAAACTTAAATATGGTATTGGTGTGTTTTTCTCATTCATCGTGGTTCTGTGTTCTTTGTGTATAACGTTGTTCGCATTCTGTTTTTCGTCTCATCCCGTTCAAGTGTGTCTCTAGCAGCGAGCAGGATGTTCTCCAGGGCATGTAGGTACAGGATACTGCTGTTGGTGTTGGTGGCGTTTTCAACTGTGTAGTTCTTCACCACGCTGATACATGTTTGAGGTAACCCTGTCTCCGTAGAAGCAAACCTCACCGCAGCCCGAACCTCCTCCGAGTTAAACACGTATGGAATATTGTCGGAATCCTTCAACAGTGGTTCCACCGCATCGATGTGTGTCAGGATCACATGGACTGACAGAACTGAAAAGAAACGTTGTTATGTAAATACTTCATCTTAAAACATCAGCGCCGTTTTGAACATGCAACTTATTGTTTTGCTTCATATTGTATTACCTAAAACATTATGAAATGAACTATCCCAAAATCATCAACACCAGAAAATAACTTGTATCGATAATCCGCCGAATCAGGTTTCATCGGGCGTGAAGGCAAAAAAGTCGTAAAATTATATGAATGCATCAATGAAAAGTTTTCTCGTAAAGGGTAAGCATGTTCTGCCCCACCAGTAGTCTGTTTGTTTCCTGTTTGACACCGCACAACAGTACTACAAACACATTTTGACTGAGTATATGTTGTTTTAAGTAAACAAAAGTATTTTAAATGAAGTAAAACATATCATGAGCATTTCAGTGAATAGAATGATACGTTGACGATACGATATTATAACAACTAATATACGTGTATGCGCCACACTACAACAGTTACCATTATATCAGTAGAACAAAAATTCAGTTGCAAATGTAACAGTACAAACGCAATAGTCAGTATACTAATTTACAGAGATTCTAAATGAATGTAAACTATAATATAAATAGTGTATGTGATGATGAAAAAAACACTTGTCAATCGAGATGATTGAAACAAAATTTGTTAAATTTGTAAGCATAAAGTGTGTACTTGAATATTGTTGTAGATATATAAGGTATGGTTACCCCCTCGTGAATGTAGCGTTCTCAGCACACCAATCTGTCGCTTTACATCATCGCCTACAGCAACTCCTGCTTTAAGGACAAGAACTACGCATGACGCCTTGACCCTCTCCTCTGGCGGGAGGATCTGTGAACTATCCATAGCCTCAAGCGTTGGTTTCACCTGGACACGAAAACAATAGACATTCTTCACACTTTCCCAGCCAACAGAATGAAAATATACCTCTATAAATAGATATATTTTGCCATTAGAACATTTTTAAGATTCTTCATATGTGGTCACAGATCCCCTTAAGCATACAACATGTACAGTTTAGATCACTGACAAACAATGTTTTGTGGTTATGTTGTAAAACTACATCTGTCCACGCGTGTAACACGATGACCTGGTTGATTGTGTGGCATACTGACGAGATGAATAGTTGTTTACAAGCGTCTATGTTGGCATATCATTGTTGCTCTGATGTTAATCCCCATCAACTCACTCTTTATGTAGGTGACAAACGTTCCCAAAGTACTTACTTCTGCATAGAAAGGAACCTGTCCTGTGATAATCTTCTCAATACTCTCGTCTGTGATCGCGTCACTGTTGAATAATCCTGGCATGTCAATTACCCAAAAATACGGCTGGCAAGTGCACTTTTCTTGACAATATCTACGGCAGTAATCGTCACTGTTCAGCTGCAATACATACACATATGTTAATATACAGTTTTCATTAGAGAGAGAGAGAGAGAGAGAGAGAGAGAGAGAGAGAGAGAGAGAGAGAGAGAGAGAGAAAGAGAGAGGGTGGGTGGGTTGGGTTATCACGCGAGTGTGTTTGACGATAGTGGAATTATTGTATTAGGATTGTACGTTGTATTTTGCGAACCTTGCCTAGCTATATACATAGTGTTTAATCCTAGTGCAGGATATTTACAATCCCCAAACACACAAGCGTGATAACTTGTAACTTATAATATCATTCTTCAATTCTATGCTCGAATACACTTCCCAACTCTCACAAACATTACCGAAACATTGCAACTTTTCATGGAATGTGCGCTTTTATAAATATCAGAAGGTAAGTGACGTGTCCATCGGTTAATTCTGACTCGATCGCCGAATGACAAGGGCGACGCCATGTTTGTTTGTAAACACTGAAAGTAGTTCCTACTTGACCTTTGATATTTGCATCTCTATCCGCATATGACCCAAACGGATATCGTTGTTATCCGTTGGCTTCATTCTGTCAAGAAACCTCCCTATTACACATTTTTATGCTGAATTTCTGCTACCAGTGACTGGAAATATTAAAAGAAAACGAAAAATTGAAGTCGGAACTTTGACATTTTGATTATAACATTCAACAACTCACAGCTTTAGTGTAGCTGCCATGTGTGTTAATTCCCACAGGAAAATAATTGGAGACTTTCCTGTCCCGTCTGATGGAAGTTCGAATTCCATTGCCAAAAGACGATTTACCAAATCCAGTCTGACCAAACAGAATCACCACAAGCCCGTCTCTGGTTGTGACTTCGGCTATGCGACGGCGAAAGTCATCTTCTCCCTGAAATGAAACACTTCCTGGGATAAGCCAAACACATAGGCCCTGGGGATAGCAGACAATACAGTCGAACGAACGTGGACGAACAGCTAGACATTTGATTGAATATTTCCACAAGCATCAACTGGTTTTTCGTTCACAACAACCATATGATGATCACTAACTGATGATTGACATATGTCTTGACAACAGTATATTCTCTGTACCTCTAATTCGCAAAACATACTTCTGGTGTCCAGGACAAAGCCACATCTGCTCCCCATTTCTCAGTCGGTGGCTGAAACATGACAACATTACTGAATGTTATTATTGTTTTCTTTAATTACAAAAACAACAAATTTGTAGTGATGTCAGTGTCCTATCTATGATAGAGTGAGTTCTGAAGTTCTGGAGTACATGTTACAAAGAGGCAGAACGCTTTACCAATGAAGATGTAAGATAAACTCGCCAGCTACTTACAGGAGTGGGAACCCTTTCCTTAGTCTGCCACGGTCCCATGTTTACTGGAAGAAAAACAGTATATCTGATCATGACCGAATTATTCTTTCAAAGGTCAACGATCATAATGATACAGTAGCAATGATAATGAGTCAATGTGTCACATCTGAAGCTTTCCAGAAGTCACACATGTCACTCCAACCTCAATATAACCCATGTCACATCCATGGCACTAAAGCAGGTTTCACACCTGTCCTACAACGACACGTAGTACATCTATTTTACTACAGTAGGACTCGAATACTTGAGAAGATCGAGTGTAAAATCTGTCTTGCTACGCCACGCGTTACATCTCTCTTACAACAGCGCGTTCAACTCGACTCATTACAGTACAAGTCACACACAACTCATTTCAAAACCCTTTACATCCAAATCACTACAGAACGAGTTTAATCCAACTCACTACAGCACAAGTCCCATCCAACTCACTACAGTACCAGTCCCACCCACGTCACTACAGCACAAGTCCCATCCACGTCACTACAGTACCAGTCCAATCCACGTCACTACAGTACCAGTTCCATCCACGTCACTACAGCACCAGTCCCTTCCAACTCACTACAGTACCAGTCCCATCTAACTCACTACAGTACCAGTCCCATCCAACTCACTACAGTACAAGTACCATCCACGTCACTACAGCACCAGTCCCATCCACGTCACTACAGTACCAGTCCCATCCAACTCACTACAGTACCAGTCCCATCCAACTCACTACAGTACCAGTCCCAGCCAACTCACTACAGTACCAGTCCTATCCAACTCACTACAGTACCAGTCCTATCCAACTCACTACAGTACCAGGCCCACCCAACTCACTACAGTACCAGTCCCACCCACGTCACTACAGTACCAGTCCCATCCACGTCACTACAGTACCAGTCCAATCCACGTCACTACAGTACCAGTTCCATCCACGTCACTACAGCACCAGTCCCTTCCAACTCACTACAGTACCAGTCCAACCCAACTCACTACAGTACCAGTCCCACCCAACTCACTACAGTACCAGTCTCATCCACGTCACTACAGTACCAGTCCCATCCAACTCACTACAGTACCAGTCCCACCCAACTCACTACAGTACCAGTCCTATCCAACTCACTACAGCACCAGTCCTATCCAACTCACTACAGTACCAGTCCCATCCACGTCACTACAGTACCAGTCCCATCCACGTCACTACAGTACCAGTCCCATCCAACTCACTACAGTACCAGTCCCAGTCAACTCACTAGAGTACCAGTCCTATCCAACTCACTACAGTACCAGTCCTATCCAACTCACTACAGTACAAGTCCCACCCAACTCACTACAGTACCAGTCCCATCCACGTCACTACAGTACCAGTCCCATCCACGTCACTACAGTACCAGTTCCATCCACGTCACTACAGCACCAGTCCCTTCCAACTCACTACAGTACCAGTCCCACCCAACTCACTACAGTACCAGTCCCACCCATCTCACTACAGTACCAGTCCCATCCACGTCACTACAGTACCAGTCCCATCCACGTCACTACAGTACCAGTCCCAGCCAACTCACTACAGTACCAGTCCTATCCAACTCACTACAGTACCAGTCCCACCCAACTCACTACAGTACCAGTCCTATCCAACTCACTACAGTACCAGTCCCATCCACGTCACTACAGTACCAGTCCCATCCACGTCACTACAGTACCAGTCCCATCCACGTCACTACAGTACAAGTCCCACCCAACTCACTACAGTACAAGTCCCATCCAACTCACTACAGTACAAGTCCCACCCAACTCACTACAGTACAAGTCCCATCCAACTCACTACAGTACCAGTCCCATCCAACTCACTACAGTACCAGTCCCAGCCAACTCACTACAGTACCAGTCCTATCCAACTCACTACAGTACCAGTCCCAGCCAACTCACTACAGTACCAGTCCCATCCACGTCACTACAGTACCAGTCCCATCCAACTCACTACAGTACCAGTCCCAGCCAACTCACTACAGTACCAGTCCTATCCAACTCACTACAGTACCAGTCCTATCCAACTCACTACAGTACCAGGCCCACCCAACTCACTACAGTACCAGTCCCACCCACGTCACTACAGTACCAGTCCCATCCACGTCACTACAGTACCAGTCCAATCCACGTCACTACAGTACCAGTTCCATCCACGTCACTACAGCACCAGTCCCTTCCAACTCACTACAGTACCAGTCCAACCCAACTCACTACAGTACCAGTCCCACCCAACTCACTACAGTACCAGTCCTATCCAACTCACTACAGCACCAGTCCTATCCAACTCACTACAGTACCAGTCCCATCCACGTCACTACAGTACCAGTCCCATCCACGTCACTACAGTACCAGTCCCATCCAACTCACTACAGTACCAGTCCCAGCCAACTCACTACAGTACCAGTCCTATCCAACTCACTACAGTACAAGTACCATCCAACTCACTACAGTACCAGTCCCATCCAACTCACTACAGTACCAATCCCATCCACGTCACTACAGTACCAGTCCCATCCAACTCTCTACAGTACCAGCCACATCCAACTCACTACAGTACCAGTCCCATCCACGTCACTACAGTACCAGTCCCATCCACGTCACTACAGTACCAGTCCCATCCACGTCACTACAGTACCAGTCCCACCCAACTCACTACAGTACCAGTCCCATCGAACTCACTACAGTACCAGTCCCAACAGTACCAGTCCAATCCACGTCACAACAGCACCAGTCCCGCCAAACTCACTACAGTACCAGTCCCATCCAACTCACTACAGTACCAGTCCCAACAGTACCAGTCCAATCCACGTCACAACAGCACCAGTCCCGCCAAACTCACTACAGTACCAGTCCCATCCAACTCACTACAGTACCAGTCCCAACAGTACCAGTCCAATCCACGTCACAACAGCACCAGTCCCGCCAAACTCACTACAGGCTCTCGGTTTTAATTTAAAAAAATGATATCTTGTTTTATAGCTGTAGCTGAGAAAAATATCTAATCTCGATACAAAATGGTCAACATCCATCTTGTTACTTCTCAGCATGTTTCTATGCTGACATCTACAGCCTTCTGAAGTATGTATAATATAATACATCCGATATAAACCTCTGTCGTTGTCTATCGTTGAACACTCTCCGTCGCTTTCCATCCTGTGCGATGTTTATAATATATCCGATATATACACACACGTCTTTCATTCTGAATGTTTCTTATGTTTATATTAAGTACGATGCACGCACACACACACGCACACACACAACCTTTCATTCTGAGTGATGTATGTTTTATGTGTGATGTACACACTTCCCCGTATTTCACAATGATATACATGTATATAACATATCCGATACACACCACCACACCCACAGATATGTCGAATTGCTGTATATGATATATTTGGCACTTGTATACCGTATACAACCTAAAGCTATCGTTTTGCTCGAAAAGAATTTTATTCAGAACAGTGTAATTATATGAAGCGGCATTCATTCTGTACAATCCAGACGCTTTATTAATATAAAACAATTTCATCTGATGTACTTTTCGTCTAAATTCTGTCGTGCGGTACCATTAAACCCTATTTAAAGAAACAGAAATAGCCTGTTTAAATGCAGAGGCAAGTGAAATAATTGTTTTGAAAAATTATATAAATAAGATTTATCATATAGTCATAGCGACTGATATATGACTACCATTGTCTGCAGTACATTTAATTGCAAAGGCTCATCACCCTGGAGCCATGACATCTTTATGCCTTGAAACACTTAATTGCTGTTATTTATAAGATGCTAATCCTATTTGTTAATCCCCATTTTTGTGTACATCGACCGTCTACGATCCTGAACAAGATGTGCAAGTATGTCACTGATGATTTACTGTTTACATTTATATTTATTACTTACTAAATGTCAGGTGACCTTGGCTATATAAGCCTTGGTCCAGAGGGGAGAAAAGAAAGGTCTTACCCTTAGCCGATAAAGCAGCTAAACTATCCCTCAAAATCCCAGAAATAAGCTTAAACTTACCCATCTCAAAATCAGAAATTAAAAGTGTAAACAAGCAAAAAATCACAAAAAATGGCATAACCTATATCTAAACTCAAATAGCCAAATAAAAAAAGTGCTCAGCAAACCACTAACCAAACCAAAAATTCTCCATCCATCCAAAAAAATCGACAGAGTAATCACTTAACTCCAAACAGGACACACCAACCTAAATAACCACCTAATTTTTTTTTAAAAACACACTACAGGTAACTGCCCACACTGCAAACAACCAGAAACCCCAGAACACGCACTCATCCACTGCACACACTACCTAACACATCGAACCGCATTACAAACCACCCTCAATCTAAACAAGGCTCTAACTCTAGAAGCAATACTAAACCCACAAAATAAACTAGAAAACTTCAAGGCCTTAGGCGTATTCTTAATAAAAACGGAACTAATAAAACGCATCTAAAAACACAATAACCTACCAAATCAAAATCACATAAACAAACAAACATCCACCATACCCAGCTCCCTTAGTTCTCCTCCCCAATCCCATCGGCATCTATTCCAAATCTCAAAATTCCCAAATTCTATATAAGCAACCCCTAAAACCCCCCTCTTGGGTTGCACAGACCACTTTCGCCCCTTTCGGAAACACATTAAATGGCCTGGCCGGGCCCGTGTGCGAAATACGCATCAGTTGGAAAGCGCACGTTAAATCTCCAAAGTAAGTAAGTAAGTAAGTGAGGAGAAAAAGAAAGGTCTTACCCTTAGCCTAGCTAGGGTTAGGCTGGGTGCTCCGGGGCACCTTGACAACAACCACTACCACCATGTGCTGATCTGGCACACAGTGCCTTTGTATGTTTATATCTACATGTATAAAGTAAAACTGTATACACCGCAAGCCATCGTCTCCAAGTTGTCACTTCCTACTGAGAACCATACGTCGGCCCCTTGCATATACGCAAATATGCAAATTATTCATTAATGAATGTCAGACCAACGCGTTGTTAATTTGGTTGAGCTATCGGTTATGACAGACTTCTTAGTCTGTCCTTTCCTGTAGCTCTTTGCAGCATGGCATATGGTTCACAAAACTGTAGAAAGTGACAGTCTTTTATTAAAAGGATATATACTACCTTCCTGAAGGCCAATCACCAAGAACGAAGAAACGGCCTGTAACAAGATTGAAGAAAGAACAAGAACCTCTCTGATCAAGAACAAGTTCTCCGATCCCAAACCTTCCCTGCTCGAATATCTTAGCAACACTGCTAAGTCTTCCCCTTCAAGATGTCATTCCTGCACATGACCTAAGAAAAGAAGTATACACGCGTATACCACAGAGATCCGACCACAGCCATCTTCATGCAGACCCTGCACAATACAGAAACCGCCTCACGGGCACCTGCAAGATGGACACTGTGTACAAGATATCTCATTGGGACTTACTAATTTGTGTTTACTTACATGGACGCATTCCAGGATATATATTGTGTGACTGTTGATAAGTGCAACCAGGTATGTTTGATCAAAGCCAGTATATTTATGCCAAAAGGAGTCTTTCCAAAATTCAGTTTTGCATATGTGCACTATACTCCAAATCACATCTTTAGTCAAGCTAGATCTTTGAAATTATTGTGTAGGGAATCTTTGAAATGTCCCCAGGCCACGCCAGATATATAGATACAACTAGGGCCCAGACAAACCTAAGCTGTAGGGTTATCGAGTTACACCTTTAAGCTAGACTCGTAATTTAAAAAAATCTAAACGACAAAATTTGTCATTTGTTACATGTTATTAATGTGCACAATTTGGTACAAAATTGAATGTATTGTCTAGGACTTTGAATTCAGATTAGGGATATTCTTGGGTAAGCCAACCCCACACATATGTTTATTGTATGTCAGTATTAACTAATTAACTGCACAGCGGTATTCAGCATTTCAGAATTTTGATGTCGGAATTAAGGATTATTATTTTCCTTGGGCATAGCACCCATAACATATGGGCAAGCTCCGTTAAAGACACGGGAAGAGCACCCATTGTACTTAAAAGGGCAAACGTACCCACAAGTACCGTTTGAGTCGCGCGGTAAAGTTAGACTCCTGGTTTCAAATTTCTTTATGCAAAATATTTGTTGAGATGTTTCATTTGTGCTTTTTATGACATTACTCATTATCATTATTCGGTACAGAGTCGCACCTCCAAGCCAGACTCCTGAATTCAAAGAACCTTTGGTGATATATTTATTGAATCTGTGCAAAGTTGTATTACCTCGTAGTGAAATTGCACATTGCAAAGAATACTTGGTTGATGTAACAAATGTTATATTTGTTATATCGTTGTGTGTTCAATACTTGGTTAGTTTTCAAACTGGCACTAAATCAAACTGGCTAGATGATAACTTTCATACCGTCATTGGATAGGTATTTGTGCACACGTATTTCAACAATATCCTGAACTCATCTAACTGATTATGTTAACATTTTGCACTGTTGTTTTCGTTGGTGAAAACGTGTCACACATATCAATTTGGACTCATGTAAGCTTGGGGTCCAAGCTTCACGGAACGGAGGGAAGTTGTCATAGCGACTGATTTATGACTACCATTGTCTGCAGTACATTTGACTCCAAGGGCAAATTACCCTGTAGCCATGTCTCCACAACTTAATTGTCATTACGTTTTAGGCGCTCATCCCCGTTGTTAATCCTCACCAACATTTCATTGTATATTGACTGTCAGTCAGCCTGGACTACCAAATCACTTCCCTTTAACTACTGCTTTTTATAGTATGACATTTATTGCCCTAATTGATCATCCCATGAACTGTGTTGGTTCATCACGTCCATATGTCCAATGTCCAAAGCAATGTCATTGTCTCTTTGTCTGTCCATTGTTGTTCATTACTATATATGTGTTACCATTACACAGTTACTACGGTGTAAGTCAGGCTTGGTATTCCGAGTGCTGGCATAGGGACGACCTCGAGCAGGATGTGCTGCTCGTAGGAAACGCCCTGAGGTGAGCTGGAGCTCCGCTCATCTCTTGTATTGCCTGAGCTGGAAGGTCCGCTCATTGCTGTGTTTGTGTTGTCAGAGCAGGTATTCCGCTCATTGTGCAATTGTTGTTTATTGTTTACATGTTATGCATAAAGCGTTCCGGGATAGTGATGTCGATTTTGTCCTTTATTCCCCCAAGAGCTAATTCCCCGTCAACACAAGCCCGTTGACAATATCTATTCATATGTGGTTTATAAGGATTGGCTTCAGCACAGTGATATTAAATACATTAGTGACGATAAAATGTTTTGTATTTCTAAACATATGGTGGGATTGGAGGAGACCGCACCTTCAATTGAGCCACGAACAACAGATTTTGAAGAATTGTTTACAGTTTCAAACAAACAAAAACTACTTCATATGCCGCTATACCGGGCCTCGAAAAGCGATAAAGTTCTGTTCTGTTCTGCGCAAAATACTCGCCGCACCATGGCACGGCCACCTCAAGGCAACATACCTCACCACAAAGCCCTTACAATACACGAGTTCAACCACGCTTTAAACAGCAAAACTATGCCGTCTACCCCTGGCAGACAATGAAACCTACATTGCCTCAACTTCACTTCAATTCATTATTGACTTTAAGCTTCACAGCTATCTCACATTACACAAAAAAAACAACTTCTATTGAAACATACTCTGTGACAACGGGAGCATACCAATAACATGGAAATAAACTTAATGCGTAAACGTAAATGTAAATTACTTAACACACAGCATACCAAAAAGGCGGGGAATATCGACAACATTGTCATATTCATCAATGCACATTAATTCAAATTGCGAAAATTCAATGTCAACATCACCCATGTCAGGATTAATCAACATTAATCCCAAAACATATATCAAAATAAGTGTTTTTCAACATTCTTTCCCTCTTCTGCTGATACATATCGATACAATATACGAATTTTATATAAAAAGGGTACTATCTCGAAGCAACGTTCTCTGGTATTTTACATTTTTACTATATTGATTTACTTTATACAGTTTTTGTTGATCTCGCGGATTGTGCAACTTCGGTGGGCTTTCGACAACGTGTAGAATTTCCCAAAAAGGTATGTCATGAACATTTACAAAGTTAGGTGAGGTATGAAATCCCCAGAGTTCCATACAACATGAGAGATGGGATGAGGTGGGGTGAGGTCAAATGGGTTTAAGGTCGCATCCAAGATTGTTTCACTAACAATGCGACATTAAGCCACGTGTGTTTGTGTCTTCTTGTATTAATCCGGACTTATGCCGGTTTAAATAGTGCTATCCCACTGAGATACCATGCCACATTTTAACATGGCTCTCCGACTCAGACACATTATCCCGACTCGATGCGGCCAGTCCTTGCTATATCTCATTGATGGCGGTTGAAGCCAGCGTAACAGCAAGTACCATTTTTAACGTGTTTGAGTATGGCGGGACCAGAAGATCGAACCACCGACCTCCCGCTGTCCGGGTACAATACGAGAGGAGGATGACATCAAATATATATAATCGAACAAATATGGAAAATAAGTTAAATTCATGATTGAAAAAAACATTTCCCTGTTGACTTGTTATTGTTTTCTGTGTAACATACCATAACCCTGACCTGAAAAGTGCACATCTAAATACTGGTAACTTCATAATTTGAAGATGCCCATTTGTATAGAAAATAGTTAATACTTTTTTAGTCAAAGGCTGACAGTTTTTCTATATAGTACGACCTTAGTTATATCAATATTATTTCTGCTTGCTGTATCTCGTAATAATAGCATTCGTGGAAATAATGTTACTACTACTACTTACTTATAGCTGTTCTCTGCTGTGGGAGATGTGTGTGCTCTATCCCCCGTTCCCAGTGTACATGTCACATGCATGAAAACGAGGCCGATAACAAAATTCATATATACCAGCTCATGCGCAGTTTATATTTAACGAACTGGGGAGGCGGACGTTTCACCAAGGGTAGCTGCAAACAGGTTAGTTCTCATGAACATGAAACATTGTAAGATGAAACCTTGTACATGTGGTGGGCGGTGTGTGTGTGTTAGTGTGTGTGATTGTGTGTGTGTTAGTGTGTGTGTTAGTGTGTGTGTGTTAGTGTGTGTGTGTGATTGTGTGTGTGTTTTAGTGTGTGTGTGTCCGATTGTGTGTGTGTTTGATTGTGTGTTAGTGTGTGTGATTGTGTGTGTGTGTGTGTGTGATTGTGTGTGTGTTAGTGTTAGTGTGTGTGATTGTGTGTGTGTGATTGTGTGTGTGTGTGTGTGATTGTGTGTGTGTGTGTGTGTGTGTGTGTGTGTGCGTGTGTGTGCGTGTGCGTGTGTAGTCAAACCTTGTAAACGTGTGTATATACGTCAACGAACTCAATCTACTATAATCATACCTATGTGGTATGCACTTTAGATGCATATTTCATCGATAATATTTAGTAGGCTTGTGTGGGAACCTTTACCTGAAGTCATTTTTCAACGTCTTTTGGCATGGGGCTTAATGAGGTTATGTTTTCTGTGATTGATCCAACTTGGACCTAACATAAATGTAAATGTTCTTGAAGACAATAAGGTCAATTATGTAATGATGTATTAATATTGACATAGATCTTATATTCAACACACAAAGATATTCAACAGGTTTGCTGGGAATATGTAGATAGGTTTTTGAGAACTGTCGTACTGTCGTGTTGACATTACTGTTATGTACTTACAAAGCAATAATACATGCTTCAATATGTGCTGAGCAGCAAACGAATGTACATGTATCACCTGACTACACTTTTCAATTGTCATTTATGTTTCCATTATCAGGGCAATAACCTATTCCGATCTGTATATTCAATAACATTGTGTAACGTTTGACACAAATGTATGTACACAAAACAGGACTTCTTCAACATCAACGTCCTTAAAAATATGTTGCCAGTATGTCCAAGGTTGCAGCCAGCCCAGCCACATACAGGAGCATGGGGACGCATGGAAGGAGCGACTTGGGTAAGTTGGAATACGTGTGTTTAGTATAGTCGAACCTAAACACGTTACTCCCATTGAGTACAGATAAATGATTAAGTACAGGAACAAACCATGATAATGTTTGATTCACTTCATGCCCGATTTAGGAAATGATCGATTTTTAAACATCGTTAAGGAAGTTATCAGATGTATTCATATAAACGACTATAGGACCTGGTTCATTTTACTGTGAGATCTGTCGGACATATAACAATGATTTTTGCATAGTGTGGCTAAAGTGTGTCAAAACAGCTGATTTTAGATGTTTATGGAAAGTGTTTTTTCTAATATTTCAACAAGAGCAATTTTTCTATCCAAACTGACTTTCTTAGATGTAGATAAAAACAACAACAAGAAAAGTGTGGGCAAATTCACCTTCTGTCTCGGATTTACAATATATATTTTTTCTCTCTTGAAGTTTGAAAGAATAAATCGGCCTTGTGAATTTGTCACCTTAGAAGTTCAAACGTATAGAGATAATACGGAAATAGGCTAGATATCCGCCATTTCAACGTGTCTGATACTTTTCATACCAATGAATTAAAATTAACTCATAGTCTGTATCTTTATTATTTGACGTTTTCAGTGGCCTTAAGAGGCACTAGACACGCCTGCCCTCTAAGCTAACTCTGTGATGATAGTAAAAGAACAATACGTCTTTGATTGCAGCCACAGCTTCTGACAGATGCAAGTAGTTTTACTTCCTGTGCTCGGGAAGTATTGTCCTGGTGTCGAGTCACCACACATTTTTCATCAAAGGTTGATGCTAAGCAATACCCTTCCCAGAGTAATAGAGAATGATAGGAATTAATGAAATAATGTCACCCTTTTGCTGTAACAGCATCCTATAGTTGCAACACATGCCTCCTATAACGAGAGGCCAATGTAACATTCAGCATTTATCTTGCAGAGAACAAACTGAGAACAAATACTATCATCATCCCGAGAAGCAGTAACGCCGGACATCTAGAAGATGAATTCGTCCAAAATGTGATACGATACAGAGCGATGGGATCAAAGTTAAAAGAGGATTTCCCCTTCCTCGTCATATATCAAGCTTCATCACGTATTAAAGATGAAGAGGAACTCATTGTTGACACATTACGGGGTACAGATTTTCAGAAAGAGTTGACATATTTATTTCAAAACATTGTCCTTGTTCTTGCGTTATTACAAACATTTTGACTTCTATTCGAGAGAACTACAAACTGTTTATAAAGTAGATCACAAATATAGATTCTGTTATATTTCTCCCTCAGGTTTGCCTTCAGCAATTCTTATCATTGCATCAGTCGGAAAAGATTCTGAAGTAGGCATCGACCTTCCAAGCGACTTGGAATCTACCGTCAAACCAAAATTAAGACTGTTCATCAAAAATGGACACATTCTCCCCAATGATATGGACAATGAATATATGTTTCACCGCGTGTTGTTGCATTGCTGTCATCAGGAGCCTGACTGGCGGGAGTATTTTAAAGAACACTGGAAGATAATCCCCCTTGTTTGCATTGTTGTGTGTTTGATAATTGTAGTGGTGTCACTTATTGTACGCTTTGCTTAAATATGGTTGTTTTGGAACCTCCATTTCACATTCTGAAGTGAGGGGGCTGGTATTTCTAGATCATTTCGTTCCAGCTTAAAGCACATTCCGTATGTCCTGTCCCCTCCAGGAATATTCAACTGTAAATTCCTGAATTTATATCCTTTAAATTCCTTTGTAACAATCGCCTCCCAAAGATAACCCTGGAAACTATGTATATGGTGTTTACCCTACTATTCGAATACTGTAGTTATATTTGTATAACTGTACAAAACAACAATGTGTCATCCTGGAAAATGTAGAAGCGTTACGGAAGAGTATATGGTGCAGTTCCTGGAACACGTTATGATAGAATTTACTATGAACTAATCCAACTTCCTCAAGTGAGAGAAGAAATCGCTTTATATTGCCAACCTCCAAAATGTTGAAGCCTATATTACCCGATTATTTATGCAAACTTTTATCGCCAACAGTCGCAGAACCAAATCGTTATACATTGCTGGATGATATTAGTTTCTTACCTTAAACTATGTCTTGAAAAGACAAAAATCCATTAGAATTCACAGTGATGCGGAAACTTAAGTGCCCAATTCAGTCAACTGACTGTAAAATCTGATCGTGTTAACAGTGAACCGCAAAGTGGTTTTGAAAACTAAACCAATTTCCTTAAATGAAATTCGTTTGAGGGAGTCGATTTAAATTGCCAACCGTTTCCAAAATGTTGCACCATCTCCTTCCTGCACCACCGAAAGTGCACTTCATTACTTCTTCACTGTGCTCATTATGATATTGTTAGGAATACAATGCATGTACAATTTTACTCATGGATATACTTAGAAATTGTAAACTATTTCAGCGGTAATGTTTCTAACATTAGTATGTATATTTAAGTGGCATTTCAGAAGCTGTAGTAACGATGAAGACAGAGTTCACATGGATTTCAACTTTTTGCTTACAGTGCGAGGTTACAGTGCATATGCTATTACCTTTATCAAGCAGGTGGATAAAGCAACCAGCCTCTTTACCGAAAAGTCGCATTGTGAGAAAGTGAAATCCGCAAGTCAACTAGGTCTTCATGTTAATACTTCCTAATGGTGTTTATACATTATGTTATTTGCCAATTCGCATTCTGTAACCAGGTTTGCTAATTGTTTTGTTGTTGGAGTGACTGAGTATGATTTTACGCCGCGTTCAGCTATATTCCAGGAATATCACGGCTGGGAACAGCAGAAATGGGCTTCACATATTGTGGGTAAGCGTACCCAGGTCCTCGGCGTGACGAGCGAAGCGATCGTTTTAACCACTAGGCTACCCAACTCACTTTCAGTTGATGGAGCAGAATTAATAGCAGCATGACGTGCTTGTTTACCAACCCAGTTCTCCTTCTAAAACCGATGTGATGTAATGTTTCTATTATACTGAAGACTGGCAATGTGTTTGTTTGTCTGATGGTTGGAATAAATCATGTAAGGCACGAAGGACACTGTATGCGTGCCCATTTTAGGTCTAATCAAGATAGCTTGCAACAGATAGACAATAAACTACAACATTACCCACTGTTTCCCCAAGCTACGCTTATTTAGTTTTAGAAACATGACACGAAACTTTAACCGGTAACTGAATACCTCACCTATTACAAATGCATGTGCTGGGATAAATAAACCATCAATAGACTCGTTCCCGGTGACTTGTATCCAACAATGGGGAAGTCAGTCACATCTGGGTGGCTGAAGTCGGATTGCACTTCAGGAATGTCACCATGACATGTATCATGTGTTCGATCATAGACAAAGAATTGATTTCGCGCACGCTGCCGACCCGTTGTTATGACAACAGCTGTAGACACTTTGTATTCAGGACACAGGAAACATGGACATTTAATGAACTAGCTAATGCCTTTATTTTGTGTCATTAATATCATATTATTATTAGATGTTTTATTGCACACACACACACACACACACACACACACACACACACACACACACACACACACACACACACACACACACACACACACACACACACACACACACACACACACAATCACACACACACACACACAATCACACAATCACACACACAATCACTCACACACACACAAACACACAATCACACACACAATCACACAATCACACACAAACACACAAACACACTAACACACACACACCGCCCACCACATGTACAATGTCGAAACTGGAAACTCCGATCACTAAATGTATGTATGTATGGGCTGGAAGCTCCGATCACTACATGTATATATGACCTGCAAACTCCGCTCACTAAATGTATGTATGAGCTGGAAACTCCATTCACACACACACACACACACACACACACACACACACACACACACACACACACACACACACACACACACACACACACACACACACACACACACACACACACACACACACACACACACACAATCACACACACAATCACACACAATCACACACACAATCACAATCACACACACACACACACAATCAAAAACACACAATCACACACGATCACACAATCACACACAAACACACTAACACTAACACACACACTAACACACACACACACACCGCCCACCACATGTACAATGTCGAACCTGGAAACTCCGATCACTACATGTATGTATGAGCTGGAAACTCCGCTCACTACATGTATGTATGTATGAGCTGGAAACTCCGCTCACTACATGTATGTATGAGCTGGAAACTCCGCTCACTACATGTATGTATGAGCTGGAAACTCCGATCACTACATGTATGTATGAGCTGGAAACTCCGCTCACTACATGTATGTATGAGCTGGAAACTCCGATCGCTACATGTATGTATGAGCTGGAAACTCCGATCACTACATGTTTGTATGTATGAGCTGGAAACTCCGCTCACTACATGTATGTATGAGCTGGAAACTCCGCTCACTACATGTATGTATGAGCTGGAAACTCCGCTCACTACATGTATGTATGAGCTGGAAACTCCGATCACTACATGTATGTATGAGCTGGAAACTCCGATCACTACATGTATGTATGAGCTGGAAACTCCGATCACTACATGTATGTATGTATGAGCTGGAAACTCAGATCACTTCACGTATGTATGAGCTGGAAACTCCGATCACTACACGTATGTATGAGCTGGAAACTCCGATCACTACATGTATGTATGTATGTATGAGCTGGAAACTCCGCTCACTACATGTATGTATGTATGAGCTGGAAACTCAGATCACTTCACGTATGTATGAGCTGGAAACTCCGATCACATCACATATGTTTCGGAACTCTGCTCACCCCATGTATGTCTGAGCTCGAAATTCAGCTCACTAACTATTGGTTGGTGTTTTGTGGACGAATACAGTTCCAGCCGTTGCAACTGGTAACTCAAAAGAGTACCCTATGCTGGTCTTAAGACTCGACAAATGCGTCTCCGGTTGTAACGACGTGAGTATCCATTCTGGTCGTAAGACTCGACAAATGCGTCTCCGGTTGTAACGACGTGAGTATCCATTCTGGTCGTAAGACTCGACAAATGCGTCTCCGGTTGTAACGACGTGAGTATCCATTCTGGTCGTAAGACTCGACAAATGCGTCTCCGGTTGTAACGACGTGAGTATCCATTCTGGTCGTAAGACTCGACAAATGCGTCTCCGGTTGTAACGACGTGAGTATCCATTCTGGTCGTAAGACTCGACAAATGCGGCTGGGGTCGTTGCAGAGACGGGACCCATTGCTGGTCGTAAAACACGACAAATGCGGTTGTAGTGGTTTCGAAAAGAGTACTTTGCAAAGAGAAAACCCTATGCTGGTCGTAAGACTCGACACATGCGGTTCCTGTGGTTGGTTTCGAAAAGAGTGGATGATTGTGTGTCATCGCGCCCCGACGGGTTTGGATCGTTCATCGTGCTTTTGTCCACTGGATAGTTGGGAAAGTTCATGTGTTACATTACATATATCTGACTACATACGGCGTGATACACTCACAATGTTACAAGTAGCCTAACAACATGCGTTTATTTAGGTTGGAACCTTAATCTCGTTACAGAACATTCAGTTTAGGAATCTGTAAGAAAATATAAGATAAATGTGATCAAGAACATGGAATCTAGTGTCAGTATAGTATAATGATAGCAATGTTTGGAAAACAGTCGGAAATTCGGAACATTCGCATCGTTATGAGTTTCCATGTAAAATTATTTCGTTCCTCTTTTCCTGAACTTTCATACTTTCATGTTTTCTTCTATATCCTATTCTGCTCAGAACGTGCTTGTCAAATGTAAGGGCTTATGGATGAAATCAGTGGGGATGGACCAAGACCCCTTTCAACTGACTGCCGAGGATGCTCTAATATTCCAACAGTGCAGCTGTCTGTTTTACAGGTCATGGGTATTGAAAAAAATATTGGATTATGTCAGCTGTGGAATGTCTTTCAAATGTGTGGAATTTTGCTAAATAGATTCCTACTGATATTCATAGTTTTAGAACCCTAATTACAGAAATAATAATTGATTTGAACGTATTGTGTGTATTAATGTTTAATATGATCATCAATGTAGGGATCTTTTATTAGAAGCTGTATAAATATAATTTCATCCAGATTAAAGTATAGGTGTTAAGATTCACAGACCTACTGGCGAAGCTGGCTCTAGAAAAAGAGCAAAATCAAATCCGACATCGCTCAAAAATGGCAAGCCCAATGGGACGCTAAAGTACTGTCGGAAATGCTATATGTCCGTTAAAACAAGATAGAATGTTTTAAAGACTGTTGCTATTGGAATGTCGAGTAACTAATGATCTACCTACAAGTGGTTTGAAGTATTTCCGTCACAATGAGTCTTATCGACAATTTTACCAGAGAAACATTGCACAAAAACTTCAAGTTCAGAAACCAAGTCCAATGAGGGCAGTCTGAAGCGGACTTAAGCATGAAAAGTAATAATGTAGTCTCCATAAAACATCAAATAAAAAAAACCAAGTCAATTTGAGAACATTCGAGTTGTCCAGCTTAGAAAATAACAAAGTGACGCTACATTTATTTTGTCAATTCTGCTCCCATGATGCAGGTAGCATTAGCCATAGCCATGGTACACGACATAGAGTATGTAGTGGGATATGTATACACATTACACTTGAGTGAAACAGAGGGAAAACATTTATTAGTTTAGATACGGTATGTTACCGGACTGCCCAAGCTCTGGAACTTTCATTCCAAGTCTATGGTGTGGTAAATAAAACAAAGAAGGTAAGGGTCATCTTAAAAACAAAACCGAGATGTAAAGGATATAAGGCAGCTTTGATACAGGGGTGATTCGGCATGCTGTGTATACGCTTAATGAGCAGAAGGTATCCCTAACCTGTAGTAGAATTCGGGTGGAAGTTAAACTCCACAATTAATGTGTCCCGGACTACATTAATTATTGATTTCGAAACACTGCACGTGGCGATAGATAACCGAGCAGTTTTCAGGGAAAAATATTCCATCCTGTCTATAAGGTCACATTATATCTGACAATCGCAGTCAGGGCTCCCAGATCATTTACCTTGATGAAACCTGGATGAATAATAGTGATTCCTCTGACTGAAAGTGGCTTACGTCAGAAGGACGAAAAGCAGCCATGGTACCATCAGGTAAAGGTAATCCTGTCATTGTTTGGCACGCCGGAACCCATGGCACTTATTAATGGATGTGAGCTAGTGTTCGAGGCGAAAAAAGGAAACTGGTGATTATCATGGCGATGTGTTCATATATTAGTTGGAACACCACCTACAGCTATGAATTAACACAATGCAGGAATATCTGACGTCTTGCAATGTCAACTTCAGACCAACTGAAACGATAGTTCAACTCAAGGAGAAACTTTGCCTAAAATATACACCAGTAAAGTACAAGACATGTCCTGGCGGCACAACACGGTCACGTTTTATGTGCACCAATCAGACATTTTGAGCTCTAATCTATTGAAATTAGCTGGGCTAACTGTAAAGGGTTTGTGGTAAGACACAACAATGCATTCAAACTCACACATGCCAAACGGTTGATCAATGCAGTCTATTCTAGAATTACACCAGAGGTATGGCAAAAGGCTTGAAGATCACGTCAGTACCGCCAACATGGTGGCGTATATATCAGCCTTGTTGCACTGGTTGTCATACCTTTGAGTGATAGTGCAGATTCAGATATGTTATCAGATGAGTGAGATGCTGGCTAAAGAAATCATCTGTAGAACAGCAAATATTTCTTGATTAAAAAATTCCAAACTTCCAATAGTCACTCAGTTTAATAGCTTTAAACTATTCCATCATTTTCCAAGCAAATATAATGCAGTACATATCTTAACGCATGTCTCAATAAAGTACAATAACAGCAATATATTTAGACCATTTGCACCTGTGACAGTGCACAAGCTGGTGTGAGGTCATCAACTCGGGACAGGTAATAGGTAATTACCTCAGGCTACAGGCCAGTTCACACACGCATATTTTGTAAGTTTTTCATCATTTTACCCGTAAAAGTAGCTTTTGAGTCTAATCACAGTGTCAGTTAGGATAGGCTAGATTAGGTACATTTGCGATATTTTGATAGATGCTATTTTCATAGCCCTCTGATTCGTATACATTAAGTGAAACCAGAAAAGTATTTTCTAGCATTTCCGACAGTCCTGCAGTAAATCGTCAGATGGCTGTGCAAAATTCAACCAAAGATCTACCCAAAGCCACACTCATACTCAAATGAAATGAAAACTGAAATAGCCATTGCACGCCTCAGACTCGGTCACAAAAAGCACCCTGACTAGGTTATGGCCATCTTGCAATCAACCTGAATCCATATCTTTGACTTACTACTGTACAGAATGTGTGTGTGTCGTATTGCTATCAGCCTCAATTGCACCAATACAGCACGTAGATATATCCGTATATATTTTCATTGAATGTACAAGAAAACAGAGGCTATCAATCTCATGACATCAAGTAAGCTGGTTGATCTAACCGTTAGCTGTCCTGCTCACAAGACCTTAAATTTCAGCAAGGGCATAATCCGAGACCGCACTCGCAGCCTGGCTGATGAAAGTATTGACGAAACTGTACCTAAACTTCAGTGTTAAGATGTGATTGAAGCCAAACAATGCACATATCGTAAAGAGACGTGTGTTTCCATCACAACTGTAAGTAAGGATACACCTTAGAAAAAGGTTTTATAAATATTTTTCATATACTTAAGTGTGAAAGACAGAGATTTCTAAAGTTTAGGAAAGGTGGTATTTTCACCACAATGGCAGAAAAGTGGTATCTTCACTGCAGCGAAAATAACATTTTGCTGGAACTACCGGTAACGAAGTAGCCGACAAGCGGCATTAGCCGGGCTTCGCAACACTGACATTTCTTAGTCGACAGTGAAGATATTTCACATCCAGTAAAGATTTACTGGTTAGTAGTTCCTATTATACGTTATTTATAAAACAACAACTTTTCCCTATTGTAACAGTTCTGCTTCAAATGCAGTGCGAAGTGACCGAGCTTCCCGGTTTCGTCCGGCGCCATGTTTGTTGTTTAAATGTTGTTGTTTTTATTGCGCCAGTAGGTTAGATTAAATACATCAAACAGAAAATAAGAGGTCGTTAATTCAGACGTTAGGAAAAGAAATCTTAGCAGTACGTAAATTAAAGATAGTATTTGATGGATACTATGATGTACGAGTAGTTATGATAAATTATGTTTTCACACAAATGGCTAAATCTAACACACAGGGATACAGACAGTTCATCTGTCACGTTTCATTTCTGGAGCATACATGTAACTCCTAAACCGTTCATCGTGAAACTTTATGTACACTTCAGGTAAGTGTTTAACTCTGCCTTTTGTCATTCTGGAGTTTGACATTTTTGTAGTTCTTTTCGCGTTTACAATGCAACAAGTTGCTCCAAACTGTATCATATCAGACCGCCATAATATAGCTAGAATATTGCTGGCAGTGTTACTTAACACACAGCATACCTAAAATGGCGGGGATACCGACGACATTGTCTAATTTATCAAAGCAACGTTACTTAATTTTGCGAAATTTCAATGACAACATCTCCCATGTCAGGATTAATCAAGAGAAGTGTGTTTTCAAAATGCATTATTCTCTTTCTACCTATGTATTCCGATACAAATATACCAAAACATTTTATTTATGTTTTCGATATTGAAGCTAACACTATGTTACGATTTTATTGATACTGATTTACTCTTATAGAGAATACTTGACCATTTCTCATAATGTGCAATTTAGGTGTAGAATGTAATAAAAAGGTCTGTCATACACATTTACAAAGTTTAATGAGGCATGAAACCTCTACAGTTACATACAACATTAGAGATGAAGTGAGATGGGGTTAGGGTTTAACAGCTTATACAGCGACGTAAATTCCTCTGTGTGTGTGTATGTGTGTGTGTGTGAGAGAGAGAGAGATAGATAGAGAGAGAGAGAGAGAGAGAGCGTGTGTGTGTGTGAGAGAGAGAGAGAGAGCGTGTGTGTGTGTGTGTGTGTGTGTGTGTGTGTGTGTGTGTGTGTGTGTGTGTGTGTGTGTGTGCTCGTACTAATCCGTACTTTTGTCAGTTAAATAGTTCTAGCCCACTAAGATACCATGCCGCAGTTTAGCATGGATACCCTACTGACTCGAGTCGGCATTCCTTGATTTATCTCCTTAATGTTGGCTGCAGGAACGATAATAACAAGTGCCTTTTTAAACGTATTGTAGTATGGCGAGGCCAGGGGCTCGAACCACCATGGCGAGACGAAGATGACATCAAATACAAATAATAAAAAAACAATGTATGGTCAAAATAGTTAAATTCATCATTGAAGACAAAATAATTATTGATTATAACTTCTCTGCATACCTTGTTTTTTTGTTTTCTGTATAAAAAATCATTACACTGACCTAAAATGTGCACATCTTAAAACTAGTAACTTCAAATAGAGTTAGGTGTCCACTTTTAAAGATAATAGGTTATACTTTTTTTCTTAGAAGGCTGCCAGCTTCTGTAAATAATAGGACCTTACTTCTGCTGCTGCTAGTAACGAAAAATACTAGGAAACTAAGGAGTTCCACATGTGTTACCTAATAAATGTATATACACCCTTTACTAGATAACATGTACTATAGGCCTATGGCCTCTCAGTATTATGAATAAAGACATATAGTACTTCTGCTGTTGATATCATTATTAAAGCACTCGTGATGAAAATAACGTTAATACCACTTACTTGTAGCTGTCGAATATCCTCTGCTATGGGAAGTGAGTTGAGCGCTCTGTGTCACGGTCCAATTGCTGTCTAACAGGCAGACATTGCATGCATGAAACCGAGGCTGATAACTCAATATTATACCAGCTCCTGCACAGTATTTATTTGACGATCTGAAGAGAAGAACGTTTCAACAGGGCTAGCTGTAAACAGGTAAGTTTTTCTCACTAAACACGTTTTATTATGTTCACTAAATCTACTGTTATGATTGCAGAGCACAGCCGTTGGTCAGATGGAGTTTGTGTTTAGACAAACCTGATCTTCATTAAAACTGTCCTTTCATAGAATCTATATTCATAAGATTGTCTTAACATTGACAACCGAGCCAGGGATCATACAAAAGATGTATCTGTGTATATACATGTATATATATATACAAACAGACGAGCCCCGTATATGTATGTATATACATCCCTAAACTCGACCTGCTATATCAATTTGTCATGTACATTAAATATATCAGATGCATTTGTCATCGATTGAGAGTCTTGTAAGGGGACCTTTACCTGCACTCTTTTTTCAATATCTCTTTTTGCTAAATGACGTAATGTGTTCTTTGATTACATGGATGCAATTGTTCGTGGAAGACAATAAGGCCAATTCTGTAATGATGACATATTCATAAAGGTATCATATTCAAGATAGTCAACAGGTTTGCTATTTTGTAGGCGTATGTAGGTCGGTTTTCTTAGCTTGTGGATGAGAGTCAGTTCGACGTTAAGGTTATTTGCTTACAAAGTCTTAAGACGTGCTTCATCCCTGACTACACTTTTCAATTACGATTTATATTTTCATTACCCTGTTCCGATTTGTGGTTTCGATGATGGTGTAAAACTCTTACGCACATGTAATTAAACAAACAGACTTTCATTAACATCCGCTGACTAATATGTTTCCAGGATGTCCAAGGTTGCAGCCAGTCCAGTAACATACAAGAGCATGGGAATGCATGGAAGGAGTGACATGGGTAAGTTGGAATACATTGTTCGAGTGTTTAGTATAGTGGAAGGTAAACCCTCTGCTTCCTTTGAGCACTTGCAAATTACTAAGCACAAAAACAAAGTATGATAATGGCCCCATTGGATGCACGATTTAAGAAAAGGTATTTTTTTAAACATGGTTATGGAGGTTGTCCGATGTCTTCATATAAACAACTTATAAGACTTGTTTCATGTTAGAGTGAGATCCGTAGACGTATGGAGCTTATTGGCAATACTATTTGTATAGTGACGCTAGAATGTGTTAAAACATCTCATGTTTTCAAGAAGCTTTTTTTTCTAATATTTAAGTAACAACATTTTTCCGTCCATCTAGTTTCTTAGATGTGGATAAACAAAAGATATATAAAATATAAAAACATATTTTTTTCTCTTGGAGTTCTAAAGAATAAATCGGTCTTTTTCACTTCTTTAAGCTAATCTGGTGAACTTGTCACCACAGGATTGCAAAACGTGCAGGTGTAATAAGCTAAAAAAAAGGCTAGTTGTCCGCCATTTGAACATCTGATAATATTTATACAAATAGATCCAAATTTACTGTGTCTATAGTTTGACATTTTCAGTGGCCAAGAGGCACTAAAATTCACCGCCCTCTTAGCAAACTCTGCGATAACAGTACATGAGCGATATGGCTATGATATCAACCACAGTTTCTACTAGATGTTCATTATCACACACGAGTCTTCACCTAAACCAAAGTAGTTTTACTTTCTGTGTGTGGGAATTATTGTCCTGGTGTTCGAGTCACCACACATTTGTCATTAAAGGGTTGATGCCAAGCAATTTCCTTCCTAATCAGAGTAATATTGAATGATAGTAATCATTTTTAAATATGTCACCTTTTTGCCGTAACAACATCCTATAGTTGCAACACATGCCTCCTATACCGAGAGGCCAATGTAACATTCAGCATTTATCTTGTAGAGAACATACTGAGAGCAAATACTATCATCATCCCGAGAAGCAATAACGCCGAAAGTCTAGAAGACGAATTCTTCCAAAATGTGATGCGATACAGAGCGAAGGGATCGAAGTTAAAAAAGGATTTCCCCCACCTCGTCATATATCAAGTTTCATCTCGCATTAAAGATGAAGAGGAACTCATTGTTGACACATTACGGGGTAGGTGATTATATTCAAATATATCGGTTGTATGTAGGCGTGCACCTATAACAAGGAGAATAATCCAGTATTGATATATGGAGAAGGAGAACTAAATATATTCAGAAAGAGTTGACATATTTATTTCAAAACAGCCTTAAAGTGTTCATGTTGAGTGCTGATTGCGTTATTTCAAACATTTTGCCTCCTATTCGAGAGAAATACAAACTGTTAAATAAGTTGATCACAAATATAGATTCTGTCACATTTCACCCTCAGGTTTGCCTTCATCAATTCTTATCATTGCGTCAGTCGGAAAAGATTCTGAAGTAGGCATCGACCTTCCAAGCGACTTGGAATCTACCGTCAAACAAACATTAAGGCTGTTTATCAAAAATGGACACATTCTCCCCAATGATATGGACAATGAGTATATGTTTCACCGCGTGTTGTTGCATTGCTGTCATCAGGAGCCTGACTGGCGGGAGTATTTGAAAGAACACTGGAAGAAAATCGCCCTTGTTTGCAGTGTTGTGTGTTTGATAATTGTAGTGGTGTCACTTAATGTACGCTTTGCTTAAATATGGTTGTTTTGGAACCTCCATTTCACATTCTGAAGTGAGGGGGCTGGTATGTCTAGATCATTTCGTTCCAGCTTAAAGCACTGTCATCATAGGAGCTGGACATGCCGTATGTCCTGTCCCCTCCAGGAATATTCAACTGTATATTCCTGAATTTATATCCTTTAAATTCCTTTAAAAATCGCATCCCAAAGATAACCCTGGAAACTATGTATATGGTGTTTATCCTAACTATTCCAATATTGTAGTTATATTTGTATAACTGTACAAAACAACAATGTGTCATCCTGGAATGGAGTATATGGTGCAGTTCCTGGAACACGTTATGATAGAATTTCCTATGAACTAATCCAACTTCCTCGAGTGAAAGAAGAAATCGCTTTACATTGCCAACCTCCAAAATGTTGAACCCTATCTTACCTGATTATTTATGCAAACGTTTATCGCCAACAGTTGCAGAACCAAATCGTTATACATTGCGGGATAATATCATTTGTTTTTACCGTAAACTTTGGCTTGAAAACCCCCCATTAGAATTCACTGTGATGCGGAAAGTTAAGTGCGCAGTTCAATCAACTGACCGTAAAATATGATCGTGTTAACAGTGAACCGCATAGTGGTTTTGATAAGAGTGGGTCAGTGGGTGAGTCGGGAATCGAACCCTTGTCTTCGGCGTGACGAGCGAACGCTTTAACAACTAGGCTGCCCGACCGCTCCGTTTTGATAAAAAGGTTAAAGACTTCATTGTGAAACATGATTACGAACATTGTAAGTGTTGTAAAACTACAGATTTGTTATCTGAAACTGGTTATGAAATAGGAGCTGCTATTAAAGGATTGAAATCTCACAAAGCTCACGGTATAAACGGTTTTCCTCCTAATTGTTTAAAAATAAATGCCATGTACATTTGTGCTTTATATGTATGTGATTTTTTTATTCTGTATTCTGTTTTGATGAATTTCCAAAACATAGGAATGCTTATCCCGCTGTATAAAATGAAATTTCACGGACGGGGAGACCAGAAATGGGCGTCACACATTTTTCTCATGAATTAAAAAAAGTACGGAAGTACGGTTGAGCCAACCTTTCAAAAAATTATAAATCGTCCATCTTCCATTAATGACACGTATCTTTAAAATGTATCTTATTACGTTAAGAGAAACTTACCCATGTAAGTTGAATGAATGACATTCGGCCATGGATTGGACAGCAGACAAACAGTTGAATACGCGCAAGCTGTCTACCTGTCGTTATTGACTGACAGCAGCTGTTCAGGCCTGAAACATGACTGTCGGAGTTCTCGGAACCAAAACCCGTAACGCGCCAACACACCGGATATAGATTTCGTAACGCGATTTTAATTGGACTCGTTAGCCCAGCCAGTATATAACTCTATAATTCCAGCCTAGTTCGGCAATGGTTGAAGCTGAACTTTTCTAGTCCGTTAACTCCCTTGCTTCGGGAAGAAGACTGGACCGGACTGGACCAGGTGCGAAAGGAGTGGACAAAACGCCTTCAAATTGTCTCTGGGAGATTCATTCATGCCACGCCATATAAACGAATGTTTGACCAATTGTGGAGTATAACCCATTATTGATCAAGTCATCTCAAACTTTCATTTTTTCACTACACACCCGTCGTCTTTCTTGGTTGTTTGAATCCTCCTTACACTACACCACCGACATGTGTTGTTGATTGCCATGTTCCATCTGGTCCTTCCTTGCCTTATCCAGCTAATACCACATCTCGATACCTCTTTTTCATTCTGTCATCATTTATTATTTTCGAATATCGCCTACTCTTTAGGATATAATATAAGGTGAGGTGAATGAGGTTTAACTTCGCGTTCAAGATTATTGCACTTATATTGCGACGTGCATGCACGTGTGTGTGTGTGTGCGTGCGTGTGTGTGTGCGTGTGTGTGCGTGCGCGTATGCGCATGTGTGCGTGTGTGCCTGTACTAGTCCGAAATAATGCCGATTTTATAGCTCTAGCCCAATGAGATACCATGTCGCAGTTTAACATGAATACCCCACTCAGACACAGTATGCTGACTCCGAGCCGACCAGTCCTTGTTTTAGCCCCTTAATGCCGAGCGCCAGGCAGGGTAACAACAAGTACCTTGTACCGTCTTTTGGTAAGACGCGGCCGGGAAAAATAAATGTCATGGCAATATGGAAAAAGTTATGTAGAATGAGCAATGTCATACTTACTTACATCAAGACTAATCCGTTTGGGGACGGGGATATTATATAAATATGTGATTTATTCAGTATGGCTTTTTCTGTACATTGAACGTACGTTTGGTAGTGTTTCGTTAAAACTACTATTTTCTCGATCAGGGCTAGACATTATAGACCCATCAACATGGGCAAGTAATATGTAGGTGATTGATAGATGTGTTCACGTGCATTACCACTCTTCTCACAGTAAAGCAGTTCGTGAATGTATTTGTACATACGGTATTAAAACATGTTTGTAGAAGGAACGCTGTCGATTGTTCAAATAAATTAGACCACTCGTTTATCCGATGTTCAATTGTTGATGTCGTCAGTTAAGCCCCAGCCTCGGAGTTTTACCTGGTCAGTTCAACGACTGAACATCGGATCTCCTATCCCCACAACAAGCCACCGTGGTATAGAGAGGTACTTCACGCTGTGGGCTATTTCTGTAACCTTTTCAACCAGGAAAACAGAATGTTGTCCTACTTGATCTCAGGTTTTGACCGATGTACATATTTCTTGTAGCAGAACTAATGTCGGGTGATTAACAGAGTGAAGGTGCGCACTCTATCTCCCCCAATGCCATATAACCGGTTGACGGATTGAATGTACAAGAAAAGAGATTGAGAGTAGTGCGACACCGTCACAGAGATTGAGAGTAGTGCGACAGCGTCACAGAGATTGAGAGTAGTGCGACAGCGTCACAGAGATTGAGAGTAGTGCGACAGCGTCACAGAGATTGAGAGTAGTGCGACAGCGTCCGCACTAAGACCCTGTCATCATTAGGCTCAATTATCCCGAACATTCGTGAAAAAATAATTATGCTTCAGACTATTGGAAAAAAAGAAATTGCCTGCCACTAAAATTGTTTCAGAGTGAAACTTTGATAGTGCAAAAACAGGATGGTGGTACGTATGTTTTATTTCAAAAGCGATAGAGGTTTGCAAAGTATACATACTAAAATAATAATAATAATAATAATAATAATAATAATAATAATAATAATAACGGTACGGTAACATAAAAATCAATATGAATTGCCAAATAATGCTATTCTGTTTTTAAGACAAGTGGTCGGACAAGCGAAGACGCAGACCTTTCACCATGTCCTTCAATTCAGACATAGTTCAGGTGGCCTCCCACAGGCAGGCAGATCATGAACACAATCGTGACGATCATTACGAACATTGCATACACTCGGAACCACATGATGTCAGACATGAGAGCTATTTCACGCCATGAATAGAATGGTGGTTCCTTCGAGAACATTTCGGGGTCCGGCTCCTCGGCCTGGCGCTTGCTCGGATTCTGATTCATTTCAGTGTCCTCGTATGGAACGATTTTCACTTTTGAAGATGAGCTCGCTTTTTGCACGCGTTGATCCTGTCTTTTCCAGCCGGCCATGTTCACGAGGACGGTGGAGACAAAGGCTCTTGCAGATTTCGAGACGGGTGTTTTAGACAGTTTGTGAAATAGGTATATATTGATCACGGTGATGACGGTCGTGCTCGCTCCAACAAACAAGATCAGTGCCAGATATATACCTTAAATAAAAAGAGAAACAAGAGTATTTACCAACCCTAATCAAGAATGAATTATTTATTATTAATTCAACAAATTCTAAAGGAATTTCGCACGTGTTTTTCCGGAAAGAATAGGACCCCAATATCCCATGCTTGTTGAGAGAGCCGACACGGGTTATTAGGAGCAGGTTGAGATTGATTGTGACATCCTGCCCCAGTGGTTGATTCTTTCATTAACTGTTTTGTCGGATTAATTATATACGTATTGCTGACAGTGGTGTTACACAACATTCACTTACTAATGGCAAAATGTTCTTTACTCAGAAATCACCCCCATTATTACACATCTATACTGCTGTCATGTCCAACTTGGAGAGGGCGGATATCCTTTATAACTATGACATCAAGAATTCTAGCATGAAATATTACAGTCCTGAATTGTGACTGTTGTGTCAAGCCCTACCCATTCTATGCTGACCGTGACATTGCTGATGACGGCATCACCAGGAATTAAGTCAATTTGCTTTAAGTACATCTTTCAATTACTGGTTTACTCAGATAAGGCTTCCAAATACCATGTGTGCATCCCTGAATATAATATGCAAGTATGGCATCAATTTGTAGACAGAAAAATTGAGAAAGTCAGTAACATCAACACGACTTTTGACCGCTCCCCCCGGATGTGTACTTTAGAATTTTAGAACGATTAGAAACATGTAGTTTTATCATATTCGAAACACCCACCCACACACCGACACCCACCCAAACCCACACACACACACATACTAGTATATATATATATCCTAAACACCTGATGATATGCAAAATCAATAAATTAAATTATAAAATCATTCGTATATAATATGATAATTATTTTGGGGAGCACACTACTCACACACTCAGAACACAGTAAATGTGTAGTTATCAGGTGCTCATCAAAACCTAATATTGTCTCTTTTGAAACAGCGGCAGGGCGACATTCATGACTTGCCACGGGCCGGTCTTCCGTGTGTGACGTCACGTCAACACGACAAACATATTCGGTTGGTGCATCTACGGAATCGATATCAAACTGCCATGTTATCAGCTCGTACAAACTCTGGGTTGAGATCAATAAGTGGCAGAAACGTTCGCAACCAGTTGAGGAAGCACAACATCAGGCCCCGACCTTCAGCGATACGCGCAGGTTTGCATCCACGTAACCGTCAGACACGCCTAGTTTGGTGTAGACAGCATTTGAGGTTCAGAGGACAAGACTGGGGCAGTACACTGTTAACATGTGAGTCCAGGTTTCATCTGACCAGCTCTGATGGTCGTGCAAGGGCCTACATACGTCAAGGGGGACGTTTTAGCGACGCTTGCTTTACTCAACGGTGTCACTTTGAGGGTAGAAGTGTATTGGTGTGGGGTGGCATATCAACTCATGGGACAACACAACTTATCCTTGTTAGTGGAAATGTGAATGGTGTATGTTACAGGGACGAGATCGGTAGAGATCAGGTTCCTTTAGCAGCAGGATAATACCCGCCCACATGTTGAACGTGTTGTAACAGACTTTTTGAGGCAGCGTAACATTGCTGTACTGCCATAGCCGGCTGTTTCTCCAGACCTCTCCCACATAGAACATGTCAGGGATGATATAGAACGCCGCCGCCTACTACAGGACTAGAGCTAGCAAGTCACGTTAGCTCAGTTGGAACTACCTTCGATTGTCACTTGGAACAACATTCAATTGGTGGTTACGCCCGATATTGACAAAGTTTATTGAGTTGTTACACTATCTCTCTTTAAGCCGTGTCCCTGTCTCCTGGTACCAGGTGCGATTTTGTCCATGTTTTTTTGTGATAAAGCATTGACCAAATATTATGTTGTTATTTTAAATAAAATATCATTTACACCAATATAAATGAAGCACAGTTACTATTTTCCGTGTGTATAGAGTACATCAAACGTCATGGTAATGTCGTGACGGGCACATCAAACCTGTTGCGGGGGTATCTATCTATTCTACACTTACCTAGGACGGAGACGGTGATGGACGTTGGCGGAATGTTGTCTGACACTAACAGCATCAGCACAGCGTACGACAGCAGCACGGTGAGGGCGTAGCTCACCTTCTCCCCCGACTCGAAAGGAAGGATGAAGGTGATGACGCTGAGGATGGAGGTGAGGGCGATGGGGAGGATGATACTCAGGATGTAGTAGGTCACACGCCGCTGTAGACTGAGGGTAAAATCCAGCTGGGAGAACGTCCCCTCGATCTCTACCAGGGTCTTGGAAGTCACTGACGTAGACTGTAAGTGTCATAGAGTGTATGGTGTTACACGTTACTGTAAGTGTCATAGAGTGTATGGTGTTACACGTTACTGTAAGTGTCATAGAGTGTTTGGTGTTACACGTTACTGTAAGTACCATAGAGTGTATGGTGTTACACGTTACTGTAAGTATCATAGAGTGTTTGGTGTCACACGTTACTGTAAGTATCATAGAGTGTATGGTGTCACACGTTACTGTAAGTATCATAGAGTGTATGGTGTCACACGTTACTGTAAGTGTCATAGAGTGTATGGTGTTACACGTTACTGTAAGTGTCATAGAGTGTATGGTGTTACACGTTACTGTAAGTACCATAGAGTGTATGGTGTTACACGTTACTGTAAGTGTCATAGAGTGTATGGTGTTACACGTTACTGTTAGTACCATAGAGTGTATGGTGTTACACGTTACTGTAAGTATCATAGAGTGTTTGGTGTTACACGTTACTGTAAGTGTCATAGAGTGTATGGTGTTACACGTTACTGTAAGTGTCATAGAGTGTATGGTGTTCCACGTTACTGTAAGTATCATAGAGTGTATGGTGTTACACGTTACTGTAAGTGTCATAGAGTGTATGGTGTTACACGTTACTGTTAGTGTCATAGAGTGTATGGTGTTACACGTTACTGTAAGTGTCATAGAGTGTATGGTGTTACACGTTACTGTAAGTGTCATAGAGTGTTTGGTGTTACACGTTACTGTAAGTGTCATAGAGTGTATGGTGTTACACGTTACTGTAAGTACCATAGAGTGTATGGTGTTACACGTTACTGTAAGTACCATAGAGTGTATGGTGTTACACGTTACTGTAAGTATCATAGAGTGTATGGTGTTACACGTTACTGTAAGTGTCATAGAGTGTATGATGTTACACGTTACTGTAAGTACCATAGAGTGTATGGTGTTACACGTTACTGTAAGTACCATAGAGTGTATGGTGTTACACGTTACTGTAAGTATCATAGAGTGTTTGGTGTTACACGTTACTGTAAGTGTCATAGAGTGTATGGTGTTACACGTTACTGTAAGTGTCATAGAGTGTATGGTGTTACACGTTACTGTAAGTTTCATAGAGTGTATGGTGTTACACGTTACTGTAAGTGTCATAGAGTGTATGGTGTTACACGTTACTGTAAGTGTCATAGAGTGTATGGTGTTACACGTTTCTGTAAGTGTCATAGAGTGTTTGGTGTTACACGTTACTGTAAGTATCATAGAGTGTTTGGTGTTACACGTTACTGTAAGTGTCATAGAGTGTTTGGTGTTACACGTTACTGTAAGTATCATAGAGTGTATGGTGTTACACGTTACTGTAAGTGTCATAGAGTGTATGGTGTTACACGTTACTGTAAGTGTCATAGAGTGTATGGTGTTACACGTTACTGTAAGTGTCATAGAGTGTATGGTGTTACACGTTACTGTAAGTGTCATAGAGTGTTTGGTGTTACACGTTACTGTAAGTGTCATAGAGTGTATGGTGTTACACGTTACTGTAAGTACCATAGAGTGTATGGTGTTACACGTTACTGTAAGTACCATAGAGTGTATGGTGTTACACGTTACTGTAAGTATCATAGAGTGTATGGTGTTACACGTTACTGTAAGTGTCATAGAGTGTATGGTGTTACACGTTACTGTAAGTACCATAGAGTGTATGGTGTTACACGTTACTGTAAGTACCATAGAGTGTATGGTGTTACACGTTACTGTAAGTATCATAGAGTGTTTGGTGTTACACGTTACTGTAAGTGTCATAGAGTGTATGGTGTTACACGTTACTGTAAGTGTCATAGAGTGTATGGTGTTACACGTTACTGTAAGTATCATAGAGTGTATGGTGTTACACGTTACTGTAAGTGTCATAGAGTGTATGGTGTTACACGTTACTGTAAGTACCATAGAGTGTATGGTGTTACACGTTACTGTAAGTACCATAGAGTGTATGGTGTTACACGTTACTGTAAGTATCATAGAGTGTATGGTGTTACACGTTACTGTAAGTACCATAGAGTGTATGGTGTTACACGTTACTGTAAGTACCATAGAGTGTATGGTGTTACACGTTACTGTAAGTATCATAGAGTGTATGGTGTTACACGTTACTGTAAGTATCATAGAGTGTATGGTGTTACACGTTACTGTAAGTATCATAGAGTGTATGGTGTTACACGTTACTGTAAGTATCATAGAGTGTATGGTGTCACACGTTACTGTAAGTATCATAGAGTGTATGGTGTCACACGTTACTGTAAGTATCATAGAGTGTTTGGTGTTACACGTTACTGTAAGTGTCATAGAGTGTTTGGTGTTACACGTTACTGTAAGTGTCATAGAGTGTATGGTGTTACACGTTACTGTAAGTGTCATAGAGTGTATGGTGTTACACGTTACTGTAAGTGTCATAGAGTGTATGGTGTTACACGTTACTGTAAGTGCCATAGAGTGTATGGTGTTACACGTTACTGTAAGTGTCATAGAGTGTATGGTGTCACACGTTACTGTAAGTATCATAGAGTGTTTGGTGTTACACGTTACTGTAAGTGTCATAGAGTGTATGGTGTCACACGTTACTGTAAGTACCATAGAGTGTATGGTGTTACACGTTACTGTAAGTGTCATAGAGTGTATGGTGTTACACGTTACTGTAAGTGTCATAGAGTGTATGGTGTTACACGTTACTGTAAGTATCATAGAGTGTATGGTGTTACACGTTACTGTTAATACCATAGAGTGTTTTGTGTCACACGTTACTGTAAGTATCATAGAGTGTACGGAGTTACACGTTACTGTAAGTATCATAGAGTGTACGGAGTTACACGTTACTGTAAGTGTCATAGAGTGTATGGTGTTACACGTTACTGTAAGTGTCATAGAGTGTATGGTGTTACACGTTACTGTAAGTATCATAGAGTGTATGGTGTTACACGTTACTGTAAGTACCATGGAGTGTATGGTGTTACACGTTACTGTAAGTACCATAGAGTGTATGGTGTTACACGTTACTGTAAGTATCATAGAGTGTATGGTGTTACACGTTACTGTAAGTACCATAGAGTGTATGGTGTTACACGTTACTGTAAGTACCATAGAGTGTATGGTGTTACACGTTACTGTAAGTGTCATAGAGTGTATGGTGTTACACGTTACTGTAAGTACCATAGAGTGTATGGTGTCACACGTTACTGTAAGTACCATAGAGTGTATGGTGTTACACGTTACTGTAAGTACCATAGAGTGTATGGTGTTACACGTTACTGTAAGTGTCATAGAGTGTATGGTGTTACACGTTACTGTAAGTACCATAGAGTGTATGGTGTTACACGTTACTGTAAGTGTCATAGAGTGTATGGTGTTACACGTTACTGTAAGTACCATAGAGTGTATGGTGTTACACGTTACTGTAAGTACCATAGAGTGTATGGTGTTACACGTTACTGTAAGTACCATAGAGTGTATGGTGTTACACGTTACTGTAAGTGTCATAGAGTGTATGGTGTTACACGTTACTGTAAGTACCATAGAGTGTATGGTGTTACACGTTACTGTAAGTACCATAGAGTGTATGGTGTTACACGTTACTGTAAGTACCATAGAGTGTATGGTGTTACACGTTACTGTAAGTGTCATAGAGTGTATGGTGTTACACGTTACTGTAAGTACCATAGAGTGTATGGTGTTACACGTTACTGTAAGTATCATAGAGTGTATGGTGTTACACGTTACTGTAAGTGTCATAGAGTGTATGGTGTTACACGTTACTGTAAGTACCATTAAGTGTATGGTGTCACACGTTACTGTAAGTATCATAGAGTGTATGGTGTCACACGTTACTGTAAGTACCATAGAGTGTATGGTGTTACACGTTACTGTAAGTGTCATAGAGTGTTTGGTGTTACACGTTACTGTAAGTGTCATAGAGTGTATGGTGTTACACGTTACTGTTAGTACCATAGAGTGTATGGTGTTACACGTTACTGTTAGTACCATAGAGTGTATGGTGTTACACGTTACTGTAAGTACCATAGAGTGTATGGTGTTACACGTTACTGTAAGTATCATAGAGTGTATGGTGTTACACGTTACTGTAAGTATCATAGAGTGTATGGTGTTACACGTTACTGTAAGTATCATAGAGTGTATGGTGTTACACGTTACTGTAAGTCCCATAGAGTGTATGGTGTTACACGTTACTGTAAGTGTCATAGAGTGTATGGTGTTACACGTTACTGTAAGTATCATAGAGTGTATGGTGTTACACGTTACTGTAAGTACCATAGAGTGTATGGTGTTACACGTTACTGTAAGTGTCATAGAGTGTATGGTGTTACACGTTACTGTAAGTACCATAGAGTGTATGGTGTTACACGTTACTGTAAGTACCATAGAGTGTATGGTGTTACACGTTACTGTAAGTGTCATAGAGTGTATGGTGTTACACGTTACTGTAAGTGTCATAGAGTGTATGGTGTTACACGTTACTGTAAGTGTCATAGAGTGTATGGTGTCACACGTTACTGTAAGTGTCATAGAGTGTATGGTGTTACAAGTTACTGTAAGTACCATAGAGTGTATGGTGTTACACGTTACTGTAAGTATCATAGAGTGTTTGGTGTTACACGTTACTGTAAGTGTCATAGAGTGTATGGTGTTACACGTTACTGTAAGTGTCATAGAGTGTATGGTGTTACACGTTACTGTAAGTACCATAGAGTGTATGGTGTGACACGTTACTGTATGTGTCATAGAGTGTATGGTGTTACACGTTACTGTAAGTACCATAGAGTGTATGGTGTTACACGTTACTGTAAGTGTCATAGAGTGTACGGTGTTACACGTTACTGTAAGTGTCATAGAGTGTATGATGTTACACGTTACTGTAAGTACCATAGAGTGTATGGTGTTACACGTTACTGTAAGTATCATAGAGTGTATGGTGTTACACGTTACTGTAAGTACCATAGAGTGTATGGTGTTACACGTTACTGTAAGTGTCATAGAGTGTATGGTGTTACACGTTACTGTAAGTGTCATAGAGTGTATGGTGTTACACGTTACTGTAAGTACCATAGAGTGTATGGTGTTACACGTTACTGTAAGTATCATAGAGTGTATGGTGTTACACGTTACTGTAAGTGTCATAGAGTGTATGGTGTTATACGTTACTGTAAGTGTCATAGAGTGTATGGTGTTACACGTTACTGTAAGTGTCATAGAGTGTATGGTGTTACACGTTACTGTAAGTATCATAGAGTGTATGGTGTTACACGTTACTGTAAGTGTCATAGAGTGTATGGTGTTACACGTAACTGTAAGTGTCATAGAGTGTATGGTGTTACACGTTACTGTAAGTATCATAGAGTGTATGGTGTTACACGTTACTGTAAGTACCATAGAGTGTATGGTGTTACACGTTACTGTAAGTGTCATAGAGTGTTTGGTGTTACACGTTACTGTAAGTGTCATAGAGTGTATGGTGTTACACGTTACTGTAAGTGTCATAGAGTGTATGGTGTCACACGTTACTGTAAGTGTCATAGAGTGTATGGTGTTACACGTTACTGTAAGCGTCATAGAGTGTATGGTGTTACACGTTACTGTAAGTATCATAGAGTGTTTGGTGTTACACGTTACTGTCCGACTGAGTCATCTGTGGAGTGTCAACACTTCACTTTAAACGCAAGAACGCATACTGTCACTTGTATATACGACCACGTTTTCCAAAACATTGTGAAACTTGAAGAAGTGAACTACAAATACAGACGGCGGATATTTCAGGATTAAAAATAAATGATGAGAAACACAAAAATGGACGCCCTCAGTGTATATTGATATGTTCATGTTCATATGTGATATGTTTAGGTAACGAAAACGGATTGGTTGCTTCAACTTTATATGTGTTGAGCTGAATAGTCATCAGTTCAAAGAAACCTTTGATGATTGTGGGACAGTGTCCTTATAACTGTAAAACAACAATGCGCGGATATAAATATTTTATGTGCGCTTCACAAAACCGTTGCGGACGACTAACGTATGAGTGTGTTTGTCACCACCCGATCCGTTAGGTCGCCTCTTATATTACCAGCATATGTTGTTGGGGTCCATAAATTACTCTACCCGGAAATCCCCACGGATGTGAACGAATGAATGAATTCGATCGAATGAATTAATTCTGTTTCACACAGTTATCACCGGTTTATAAGTAAACCTAAATTCTCTTCAGAGTATGAGTACCGATCACGACCCATGTCTTAACAAAAGCACACATTGACCGACGCCAAAATCGTTTATAATGGATACCCGATAACCATTTAATCTGGGACCAGTTTTCCAGATTCACTATAGTTGCAATCCATGGATTCGCAGGGAGAGGAGATATTTCATTCGAGCAAGTTCAGGGAGGTTCTCCAAATATATAGAGAGCACACATTCATTACTCCATACAACATTATGGAAACGTTGAAAGTAAGGTATTTTGTTTCAGACTTCAGTCAGATTACCGTTAGATCCCATTCTCCATTTTCGCTGAAATCGCCCGAGAAGACCTCAGCTGACAGCTGTGTGAGATTAACTTCGTCAATGTTGTAGCTCCAACTAGTGAGCTCTATTGTGCAGGCCTGGCGGTCGAAGGGGTAGTAGGTGACGTCAATGTCGCAGGACGTAGAGAACAGCCCTGGCGGTTCCCACGTCACCTCGCCAGTGTGCTTGACGCGGATCAGGAGGTCATCGTCCTCAATGACACCGATTGCATTAACTCTGAAAGTGACAACACCATGTGACAAATGCAGTAACAAACACGTACAACTGGAAAATGCAACTGATTCGTCACTGTGCAAATGTGAGAATGGATAACAAAGTATTAGGTACACAAAGCTTAGGCACGTCATCACCTGAAAAGAAAGTCTCTAATATTCCTTTCCTCAAGGGACTTCGAAAGGCCAAGGTATTATGGGGACCCTCAGGATATGCATAATTTAAGAAATGAGAAAAAAACTATTATGAGAAATTATTATGAACGTTATGCGATGTATACACATGAATATGAACTATACTTTGTTCATTTCAAATATTGCAGTACTGGACAACAACACTTCTTCCATAGGGGCGGCGGAATAGCCTAGTGATTAAAGCTTCCGTCCATCACAGACATTGACCTGTCCTCTACATGTCTATCAACAACAGAAAGAATACCAATCAGAGTTAGTCTTACGCATTATCAATGACTAATTCCGGTCGCCAGATCACTTTCTCTGTGTCGAACAAGTACGTCACATTCCCATGGGATGCCGGTGTCCACTGAAGACGTGGATCTGTCCATTTCTGAAACAAGCACGTCAAATGTGCAGTTAGTGGAATTGGTTGTTGTTATAATGAGGCCCGTGAAGATCCGGGGTAGACTAGGTCTTCAACAACCCATGCTTGCCGTAAAAGGCGACTTTGCTTGTCGTAAGAGGCGATTAACCGGATCGGGTGGTCAGGCTCGCTGACTTGGTTGATACATGTTGTCGTATACCAATTGCGTGGATCGATGCTCATGACATCAATCGATTATTTACAGACCGCCGTCATATAGCTGGAATATTGCTGAGTGCGGCGTTAAACAACAAAGAAACAAACAAATGTTATGATGACGATTATTATTATTTGTAGTAGTATTAGTGGTATTATTATTATTATTAGTATTAGTAGTAGTAGTAGTAGTAGTAGTAGTAGGGTTATATATATACTGAACCGCAAAAGAAACGTCACCATGGATAGATATATGAGAAACCTTATTTGTCCAAACACTGTAAACATATTTTGTAGGATATTAAAAAGATGAAACTTCGCAAAACTGATCATCAAGGTTGACATTAATGTGTCAAATGTTCTTAACGTGAAACACAACACTAGTCTCTGAGAAAATGGCATCACAAGTCAGTATCTCGTGTGTCCGCCATGTGCATTGATGACTGCCGTGCAACGTCGATACATGGAATGGATGAGGCGGTTGATGAAGACCATAGGCACTTGTGTCCACACTCTGAGGAACGCCTGACGCAGTTCAGTTGCAGTTGTCGGCCTTGTTCGGATGTCATTCAGCCGTCTTTGAATCTCGTCCCACAGGGGCTCAATAGGATTTAAATCGGGACTGAGGGCAGGCCACTGCATGGTTCTGATGCCATTCTGCTGGAGGGAGTCTCTTGTTGCTCTCACAGTGTGGGCACGGGCGTTAACATGCTGAAACTCGTGGTTGCGGGGACGTGCCAAATGAGGTATGGCGTGTGGTCTCAAGACTCAAGACTACAGGGACGACTTTTCATGCAATGTACTTGGGGTGACGTTTCTTTAGCGGTTCAGTATATCATATATGACTATGGCTAGGTGCTCTACCGCCTAAACATTACTAGCTCTGTTATGCATGCCTGTAGACATGTGAGACTGATCTCCCTTATATCATTGACCATGTGGATGCATACTCAACCCTCAGCAAAATAAACCCTACTATCTTCAAACCATATATACTGTGGTATATTGAGAAGACATAACAGCAGTAGTAGTAGTTGTAGTAGTAGTAGTAGTAGTAGTAGTAGTAGTAGTAGTAGTAGTAGTAGTAGTGGTGGTGGTGGTGGTGGTGGTGGTGGTGGTGGTGGTATTAAGATATTGATATAAAATATGCAGCAAAGAGGGTTTGGGTGATCCTGGCACAGTCAGGCTGGTTAGGCTCATCATCAGCTCAGGGCCCTTTGCCCCCTCAACATGCACCCGAGACAGTGAATGGGACTTCTCCCGGGATGCACTGCCAAGTCGAACCCACTGAGAACTTTTCGCGGAATGTGAAGACTCCCCAACACTGCAGCCTTCTGCATTACCCAGAACGTCACAAAGGCTGTATTCCTGGCAGCAAACCCGTGGACTCTCCTGTCACCGTGGATCATTGTTTCTCATGTCACGGTCCAGTGCCGCTATGTTGCCCGACTTTTTTTCCGGCACCGCTCGGTATTTTCTCCGGCGTTCGCTACTTGACAGTGTGATCATTCAGATATTTCTCATGTATTTGTGGTCATTTTTGCCTCGTCAGTAATTGTACATAGCTGATCTGAAGGCTGTGATCGCTGATCACGAGGGCTTATTTCCGGATGCTCCTGGTACTACCAACGCCATGATCACGTATCCTCACCCCCAGATCCCGACAACACCGGAAGCGCTCGTAAAATCTCCAACATCATCATCATCATCATCATCATCATCAACCTCCAGACTTCGTTAAATCGTTCACGATTGTCTCGCTACTGGAGTGATCAACGGTCGAGTCCAAAGGACATGCCGATATCATTAGAAAAGGACTCAACAATGCGAAGGGATGTTGGAGATCTGTGCTGAGGAGGTCCAGGGTGATTACCTTCCTTTGGTTAGCAAAAAGCTTATAGGATTTAGTGACAACAGAAAAGCAAAGGGCTAAAAGAATCTCCCTGAAATATTCCTGTTCTATTAGAATTGGGTTCCGAAGTCACCACCTGCCCTTGCGAATACATCTCATGTTGACTTGACCAGCAATTCATAAAAGACTTGAGTAAAACCTATCCAGACATACTGCCTGCTCAAGAGCGCTCAGTCGTATGCTCTTTTGAAGAGGATGGTCTTGAGTTTTGATCTAAATGTGTTGACATCTTCAGATCCCCTGACATCAATGGGCAGTGCATTCCATAGAGTTGCACCTGCTTTTTGGAAGGTTCTGTCGACATATGTTTTTCTGCTGGTTGGTGGAACAGCAAGCTGTAGTTTGTTTGCAGATCTCAGTGTTCGACCAGGTTGGTAAAGGGCAGTGAGTTCCTGGAGGTATACTGAGGATAGCCCATGGATCGATTTGTAGACAAACATGATCAGCTTGAACACGATCCTGAGTCTCACAGGTAGCCAGTGCAGCTCTTTCAGGACGGGTGTAATGTGTTCACGCCTTGACTTCCGTGTGATGAGTCTGGCAGCACTGTTTTGCACACGCTGTAGTCTATCCAGATGCTGCTGCTGGATACCATACAGAAGACTATTACAACAGTCAAGTCTTGATGTTACAAAGGCATGGACTAGGCACTTGACTGATTCTGTGTCTACGTATCTTGCTATCTGTCTGATGTTCCTGATGTGAAAGTAAGCTGTCTTGCACATACTGCTTACATGGTTATCCAGACTGAGTGTTGAGTCAATGATCACGCCTAGATTTCGGGCACAAGAGTTTTGCTCAACCGTACAGTCCCCAATTTTTAAACCAGGAAATCGTACTACCAAGAGCTCAGTTTTGTCATCATTAAGTTTGAGAAAGTTGCTTCTCATTATTGATTATTGAGATTGTATATACAATAGCTGATAACAGGAAAGAGCGACACGCCCTAAAAGGCGTCGGTGTAACAATGTGACACCATCTGCATGGAGGTGCAGTGAAGACACCAGCTGATTGACAACAGCCTGGGGAATGTTCCAAATCAATCAAAACATGATTGGCCCAACTGTGCTAGCGTTACCGGTTGGTTCTGGTCCTGTCGTAAGCGTTGGTCAATCTCATCCCAGACATATTTTATAAATACTACCGACACAAAATAAGGGAACTAATGATTTCAATGCAGCTATCGTTGAGGTATAAATTTACATACCGTGGCGTTACACATGTGGGACAAGTACCGTCAAACGGGTGTGGTCGCAATAAGACCTGTGCGTGCCAGACCTTAAAACGACACCTAGACAAGATAATTGTATTACATTCATTGCACTACGCAATAGATTCACATCTGTTCCTGTCGTCAATATAAAGGAAGTCGAACCAGCATCTAACGTTAAAACCGTCTCTATGCAGCCCGCCTAAAAACAAGGCGTCCTGTGAAGGTGTCACTCTACCAGCTTACCATAGGCGACAAAGATTGAGGTGGGTTAGGCAACACGAGGGGCGGCCTGTGCGCCACCGGCGTTTCACCATGATTACAGGCCAAATCATGATTCGGCCACCGATTCACAGATGGCAGAAAACGTTGGCGACGACGTGGCGAGCAGTATTCTAGAGCAACGACTCTTGACCATGACACAAAATCAATTTTACTTTATATAAGTTATTTCACGTCATCTTGCTTTTGATTAAAGGAAATACAATTTGTATCGTCTTGTAGATCTCCTGGTTTATTAACAGAAGCAATATGCTTTTTTGCATTCACAAAACACATTCCGTTAACACGAGTACCCTACATAATCGAAAATATCCGCTCTTTGGATTCTTAAGCTACTAGCACCTAAGGGCATATAGTATTTTATTATCATTGAGCAGTATATACTAACCGTTTCTAAGGAGCTGAACTCTCTAGTATGAAACATGTTTGCAAAGGATGTATATTTGGATATGTCCGTTAACAACAAGGGATTAGAAATGGCTCATAAACTAAAGAGACAAGTAAGCGTGGTATTCGCTTCCTATTTTATAGTGGGAGTGTACTAATTTATGTCTATAATGACTGTGCAGTTTATCCCCTTTCTAGGGTTTATGTCCATGTCACGTGTAAGCCAAAATTCAGTCAACAAATGCCTTCCCTTCAGATCGCACAGGATATAGCAGACACAGTTCCAGGGAATAACAGTTTCAACCTACTTGAACCTAATTTAAAGTAAGAGTTCTTAATCTCCCAGTTTCTACCGAATAAGCCATGTCGACGTTTGTGACTGTGACCCCATGGTGTCTATGCCGTTGCCGTGGCCCAAAATATATCCATAATTCTTGATGACCCTCACAAAAACATTTTGACCAGAACAAATTTTGAGACTTTTTTGAAATACTTTGAGAAAGGTCCTCTGACAGGCCAACAAACCAACTGTGTAATAAAAGGACGAAACTTACAATTGTAAGCCATCCGGTCGTCGTCATGGTTTGTCCTCTGGTATTCTGCAAGACAAGAGTCAGTATTGTTTAAGATTTTAGATTTGTATTTATGTTTTCCCTCAAATATGTTCTTCTGTGTCATTGTGTTGAGATTAGAAAAAAAATTCTTAGGGCTAAATTTACAATCAAGTTTTTACAAATATCCAAATACTTGAGAAAAAACGAACCCGAAAATATATTAACATGTTTATAACTCCCGAACGAATCAGCTCTTCCAGGCTCCACAAGAAAACATGTCGGAGCTATATAGATTGCCTTATAACTACAAAGCAGTGTCCGGGCCCAATGGCGCCTTATAAACAACTACAAAGCAGTGTCCGGGCCCCATGTCGCCTTATAAACAACTACAAAGCAGTATCCGGGCCCGACGTTGCCTTATAAACAACTACAAAGCAGTGTCCGGGTCCCATATTGCCTTATAAACAACTACAAAGCAGTATCCGGGTCCCATGTCGCCTTATAAACAACTACAAAGCAGAATCCGGGTCCCATGTCGCATTATTAACAACTACAAAGCAGTGTCCAGGTCCCATGTCGCCTTATAAACAACTACAAAGCAGTGTCCGGGCCCAATGTTGCCTTGTTAAAAACTCAAAAGCGGTGTCCTGTCCTCAAATTGCCTTATAAACAACTACAAAGCAGTGTCCAGGTCCCATGTCGCCTTATAAACAACTACAAAACAGTGTCCGGGCCCCATGTCGCCTTATAAACAACTACAAAGCAGTATCCGGGTCCCATGTCGCCTTATAAACAACTACAAAGCAGTATCCGAGCCCCATGTCGCCTTATAAACAACTACAAAGCAGTGTCCAGGTCCCATGTCGCCTTATAAACAACTACAAAGCAGTATCCGGGTCCCATGTCGCCTTATAAACAACTACAAAGCAGTGTCCGGGCCCAATGTTGCCTTGTTTAAAACTCAGAAGCGGTGTCCTGTCCTCAAATTGCCTTATAAACAACTGCAAAGCAGTATCCGGATCCCATGTCGCCTTATAAACAACTACAAAGCAGTGTCCGGGCCCAATGGCGCCTTATAAACAACTACAAAGCAGTGTCCGGGTCCCATGTCGCCTTATAAACAACTACAAAGCAGTGTCCGGGCCCCATGTCGCCTTATAAACAACTACAAAGCAGGTTCCGGGTCCCATGTCGCCTTATAAACAACTACAAAGCAGTGTCCGGGCCCCATGTCGCCTTATAAACAACTACAAAGCAGTGTCCGGGTCCCATGTCGCCTTATAAACAACTACAAAGCAGTGTCCGGGTCCCATGTCGCCTTATAAACAACTACAAAGCAGTGTCCGGGTCCAATGTCGCCTTATAAACAACTACAAAGCAGTGTCCGGGCACCATGTCGCCTTATAAACAACTACAAAGCAATATCCGGGCCCCATGTCGCCTTATAAACAACTACAAAGCAGTATCCGGGTCCCATGTCGCCTTATAAACAACTACAAAGCAGTATCCGGGCCCAATGTTGCCTTGTTTAAAACTCAAAAGCGGTGTCCTGTCCTCAAATTGCCTTATAAACAACTACAAAGCAGTATCCGGGTCCCATGTCGCCTTATAAACAACTACAAAGCAGTGTCCGGGCCCAATGGCGCCTTATAAACAACTACAAAGCAGTGTCCGGGTCCCATGTCGCCTTATAAACAACTACAAAGCAGCGTCCGGGCCCCATGTCGCCTTATAAACAACTACAAAGCAGGTTCCGGGTCCCATGTCGCCTTATAAACAACTACAAAGCAGTGTCCGGGCCCAATGTCGCCTTATAAACAACTACAAAGCAGGTTCCGGGTCCCATGTCGCCTTATAAACAACTACAAAGCAGTGTCCGGGCCCCATGTCGCCTTATAAACAACTACAAAGCAGTGTCCGGGTCCAATGTCGCCTTATAAACAACTACAAAGCAGGTGTCCGGGCACCATGTCGCCTTATAAACAACTACAAAGCAATATCCGGGCCCCATGTCGCCTTATAAACAACTACAAAGCAGTGTCCAGGTCCCATGTCGCCTTATAAACAACTACAAAGCAGTGTCCGGGTCCCATGTCGCCTTATAAACAACTACAAAGCAGTATCCGGGTCCCATGTCGCCTTATAAACAACTACAAAGCAGTGTCCAGGTCCCATATTGCCTTATAAACAACTACAAAACAGTGTCCAGGTCCCATGTCGCCTTATAAACAACTACAAAACAGTATACGGGTCCCATGTCGCCTTATAAACAACTACAAAACAGTGTCCAGGGCCCATTGTTGCCTTATAAACAACTACAAAGCAGTGTCCGGTGTTTATAGTGCCTTATAAACAACTACAAAGCAGTGTCCGGGCCCCATGTCGCCTTATAAACAACTACAAAGCAGTATCCGGGCCCCATGTCGCCTTATAAACAACTACAAAGCAGTGTCCGGGCCCCATGTCGCCTTATAAACAACTACAAAGCAGTATCCGGGCACCATGTCGCCTTATAAACAACTACAAAGCAGTGTCCGGGCCCCATGTCGCCTTATAAACAACTACAAAGCAGGTTCCGGGTCCCATGTCGCCTTATAAACAACTACAAAGCAGTGTCCGGGCCCAATGTTGCCTTGTAAAAAACCTAAAAATCAGTGTCCTGTCCTCAAATTGCCTTATAAACAACTACAAAGCAGTGTCCGGGCCCCATGTCGCCCTATAAACAACTACAAAGCAGTATCCGGGTCCCATGTCGCCTTATAAACAACTACAAAGCAGGTTCCGGGCCCAATGTTGCCTTGTTAAAAACTCAAAAGCGGTGTCCTGTCCTCAAATTGCCTTATAAACAACTACAAAGCAGTGTCCAGGTCCCATGTCGCCTTATAAACAACTACAAAACAGTGTCCGGGCCCCATGTCGCCTTATAAACAACTACAAAGCAATATCCGGGTCCCATGTCGCCTTATAAACAACTACAAAGCAGTATCCGAGCCCCATGTCGCCTTATAAACAACTACAAAACAGTGTCCAGGTCCCATGTCGCCTTATAAACAACTACAAAGCAGTATCCGGGTCCCATGTCGCCTTATAAACAACTACAAAGCAGTGTCCGGGCCCAATGTTGCCTTGTTTAAAACTCAAAAGCGGTGTCCTGTCCTCAAATTGCCTTATAAACAACTACAAAGCAGTATCCGGGTCCCATGTCGCCTTATAAACAACTACAAAGCAGTGTCCGGGCCCAATGGCGCCTTATAAACAACTACAAAGCAGTGTCCGGGTCCCATGTCGCCTTATAAACAACTACAAAGCAGTGTCCGGGCCCAATGGCGCCTTATAAACAACTACAAAGCAGAATCCGGGTCCCATGTCGCCTTATAAACAACTACAAAGCAGTGTCCGGGCCCCATGTCGCCTTATAAACAACTACAAAGCAGGTTCCGGGTCCCATGTCGCCTTATAAACAACTACAAAGCAGTGTCCAGGTCCCATGTCGCCTTATAAACAACTACAAAGCAGTGTCCGGGCACCATGTCGCCTTATAAACAACTACAAAGCAATATCCGGGCCCCATGTCGCCTTATAAACAACTACAAAGCAGTATCCGGGTCCCATGTCGCCTTATAAACAACTACAAAGCAGTATCCGGGTCCCATGTCGCCTTATAAACAACTACAAAGCAGTGTCCGGGCCCAATGTTGCCTTGTTTAAAACTCAAAAGCGGTATCCTGTCCTCAAATTGCCTTATAAACAACTACAAAGCAGTATCCGGGTCCCATGTCGCCTTATAAACAACTACAAAGCAGTGTCCGGGCCCAATGGCGCCTTATAAACAACTACAAAGCAGTGTCCGGGTCCCATGTCGCCTTATAAACAACTACAAAGCAGTGTCCGGGCCCCATGTCGCCTTATAAACAACTACAAAGCAGGTTCCGGGTCCCATGTCGCCTTATAAACAACTACAAAGCAGGTTCCGGGCCCAATGTTGCCTTGTTTAAAACTCAAAAGCGGTGTCCTGTCCTCAAATTGCCTTATAAACAACTACAAAGCAGTGTCCAGGTCCCATGTCGCCTTATAAACAACTACAAAGCAGTATCCGGGTCCCATGTCGCCTTATAAACAACTACAAAGCAGGTTCCGGGCCCAATGTTGCCTTGTTAAAAACTCAAAAGCGGTGTCCTGTCCTCAAATTGCCTTATAAACAACTACAAAGCAGTGTCCAGGTCCCATGTCGCCTTATAAACAACTACAAAACAGTGTCCAGGCCCCATGTCGCCTTATAAACAACTACAAAGCAGTATCCGGGTCCCATGTCGCCTTATAAACAACTACAAAGCAGTGTCCGGGCCCAATGGCGCCTTATAAACAACTACAAAGCAGTGTCCGGGTCCCATGTCGCCTTATAAACAACTACAAAGCAGTGTCCGGGCCCAATGGCGCCTTATAAACAACTACAAAGCAGGTTCCGGGTCCCATGTCGCCTTATAAACAACTACAAAGCAGTGTCCGGGCCCCATGTCGCCTTATAAACAACTACAAAGCAGAATCCGGGTCCAATGTCGCCTTATAAACAACTACAAAGCAGTGTCCGGGTCCCATGTCGCCTTATAAACAACTACAAAGCAGTGTCCGGGTCCAATGTCGCCTTATAAACAACTACAAAGCAGTGTCCGGGCACCATGTCGCCTTATAAACAACTACAAAGCAGTGTCCGGGCCCCATGTCGCCTTATAAACAACTACAAAGCAGGTTCCGGGTCCCATGTCGCCTTATAAACAACTACAAAGCAGGTTCCGGGCCCAATGTTGCCTTGTTTAAAACTCAAAAGCGGTGTCCTGTCCTCAAATTGCCTTATAAACAACTACAAAGCAGTGTCCAGGTCCCATGTCGCCTTATAAACAACTACAAAGCAGTATCCGGGTCCCATGTCGCCTTATAAACAACTACAAAGCAGGTTCCGGGCCCAATGTTGCCTTGTTAAAAACTCAAAAGCGGTGTCCTGTCCTCAAATTGCCTTATAAACAACTACAAAGCAGTGTCCAGGTCCCATGTCGCCTTATAAACAACTACAAAACAGTGTCCAGGCCCCATGTCGCCTTATAAACAACTACAAAGCAGTATCCGGGTCCCATGTCGCCTTATAAACAACTACAAAGCAGTGTCCGGGCCCAATGGCGCCTTATAAACAACTACAAAGCAGTGTCCGGGTCCCATGTCGCCTTATAAACAACTACAAAGCAGTGTCCGGGCCCAATGGCGCCTTATAAACAACTACAAAGCAGTGTCCGGGCCCAATGGCGCCTTATAAACAACTACAAAGCAGAATCCGGGTCCCATGTCGCCTTATAAACAACTACAAAGCAGTGTCCGGGCCCCATGTCGCCTTATAAACAACTACAAAGCAGGTTCCGGGTCCCATGTCGCCTTATAAACAACTACAAAGCAGTGTCCAGGTCCCATGTCGCCTTATAAACAACTACAAAGCAGTGTCCGGGCACCATGTCGCCTTATAAACAACTACAAAGCAATATCCGGGCCCCATGTCGCCTTATAAACAACTACAAAGCAGTATCCGGGTCCCATGTCGCCTTATAAACAACTACAAAGCAGTATCCGGGTCCCATGTCGCCTTATAAACAACTACAAAGCAGTGTCCGGGCCCAATGTTGCCTTGTTTAAAACTCAAAAGCGGTATCCTGTCCTCAAATTGCCTTATAAACAACTACAAAGCAGTATCCGGGTCCCATGTCGCCTTATAAACAACTACAAAGCAGTGTCCGGGCCCAATGGCGCCTTATAAACAACTACAAAGCAGTGTCCGGGTCCCATGTCGCCTTATAAACAACTACAAAGCAGTGTCCGGGCCCCATGTCGCCTTATAAACAACTACAAAGCAGGTTCCGGGTCCCATGTCGCCTTATAAACAACTACAAAGCAGGTTCCGGGCCCAATGTTGCCTTGTTTAAAACTCAAAAGCGGTGTCCTGTCCTCAAATTGCCTTATAAACAACTACAAAGCAGTGTCCAGGTCCCATGTCGCCTTATAAACAACTACAAAGCAGTATCCGGGTCCCATGTCGCCTTATAAACAACTACAAAGCAGGTTCCGGGCCCAATGTTGCCTTGTTAAAAACTCAAAAGCGGTGTCCTGTCCTCAAATTGCCTTATAAACAACTACAAAGCAGTGTCCAGGTCCCATGTCGCCTTATAAACAACTACAAAACAGTGTCCAGGCCCCATGTCGCCTTATAAACAACTACAAAGCAGTATCCGGGTCCCATGTCGCCTTATAAACAACTACAAAGCAGTGTCCGGGCCCAATGGCGCCTTATAAACAACTACAAAGCAGTGTCCGGGTCCCATGTCGCCTTATAAACAACTACAAAGCAGTGTCCGGGCCCAATGGCGCCTTATAAACAACTACAAAGCAGGTTCCGGGTCCCATGTCGCCTTATAAACAACTACAAAGCAGTGTCCGGGCCCCATGTCGCCTTATAAACAACTACAAAGCAGAATCCGGGTCCAATGTCGCCTTATAAACAACTACAAAGCAGTGTCCGGGTCCCATGTCGCCTTATAAACAACTACAAAGCAGTGTCCGGGTCCAATGTCGCCTTATAAACAACTACAAAGCAGTGTCCGGGCACCATGTCGCCTTATAAACAACTACAAAGCAGTGTCCGGGCCCCATGTCGCCTTATAAACAACTACAAAGCAGGTTCCGGGTCCCATGTCGCCTTATAAACAACTACAAAGCAGGTTCCGGGCCCAATGTTGCCTTGTTTAAAACTCAAAAGCGGTGTCCTGTCCTCAAATTGCCTTATAAACAACTACAAAGCAGTGTCCAGGTCCCATGTCGCCTTATAAACAACTACAAAGCAGTATCCGGGTCCCATGTCGCCTTATAAACAACTACAAAGCAGGTTCCGGGCCCAATGTTGCCTTGTTAAAAACTCAAAAGCGGTGTCCTGTCCTCAAATTGCCTTATAAACAACTACAAAGCAGTGTCCAGGTCCCATGTCGCCTTATAAACAACTACAAAACAGTGTCCAGGCCCCATGTCGCCTTATAAACAACTACAAAGCAGTATCCGGGTCCCATGTCGCCTTATAAACAACTACAAAGCAGTGTCCGGGCCCAATGGCGCCTTATAAACAACTACAAAGCAGTGTCCGGGTCCCATGTCGCCTTATAAACAACTACAAAGCAGTGTCCGGGCCCAATGGCGCCTTATAAACAACTACAAAGCAGGTTCCGGGTCCCATGTCGCCTTATAAACAACTACAAAGCAGTGTCCGGGCCCCATGTCGCCTTATAAACAACTACAAAGCAGAATCCGGGTCCAATGTCGCCTTATAAACAACTACAAAGCAGTGTCCGGGTCCCATGTCGCCTTATAAACAACTACAAAGCAGTGTCCGGGTCCAATGTCGCCTTATAAACAACTACAAAGCAGTGTCCGGGCACCATGTCGCCTTATAAACAACTACAAAGCAATATCCGGGCCCCATGTCGCCTTATAAACAACTACAAAGCAGTATCCGGGTCCCATGTCGCCTTATAAACAACTACAAAGCAGTGTCCGGGCCCAATGTTGCCTTGTTTAAAACTCAAAAGCGGTGTCCTGTCCTCAAATTGCCTTATAAACAACTACAAAGCAGTATCCGGGTCCCATGTCGCCTTATAAACAACTACAAAGCAGTGTCCGGGCCCCATGTCGCCTTATAAACAACTACAAAGCAGTGTCCGGGTCCCATGTCGCCTTATAAACAACTACAAAGCAGTGTCCGGGCCCCATGTCGCCTTATAAACAACTACAAAGCAGGTTCCGGGTCCCATGTCGCCTTATAAACAACTACAAAGCAGTGTCCGGGCCCAATGTCGCCTTATAAACAACTACAAAGCAGGTTCCGGGTCCCATGTCGCCTTATAAACAACTACAAAGCAGTGTCCGGGCCCCATGTCGCCTTATAAACAACTACAAAGCAGTGTCCGGGTCCAATGTCGCCTTATAAACAACTACAAAGCAGTGTCCGGGCACCATGTCGCCTTATAAACAACTACAAAGCAATATCCGGGCCCCATGTCGCCTTATAAACAACTACAAAGCAGTGTCCAGGTCCCATGTCGCCTTATAAACAACTACAAAGCAGTGTCCGGGTCCTATGTCGCCTTATAAACAACTACAAAGCAGTATCCGGGTCCCATGTCGCCTTATAAACAACTACAAAGCAGTGTCCAGGTCCCATATTGCCTTATAAACAACTACAAAACAGTGTCCAGGTCCCATGTCGCCTATAAACAACTACAAAACAGTATACGGGTCCCATGTCGCCTTATAAACAACTACAAAACAGTGTCCAGGGCCCATTGTTGCCTTATAATTAACTACAAAGCAGTGTCCGGTGTTTATAGTGCCTTATAAACAACTACAAAGCAGTGTCCGGGCCCCATGTCGCCTTATAAACAACTACAAAGCAGTATCCGGGCACCATGTCGCCTTATAAACAACTACAAAGCAGTGTCCGGGCCCCATGTCGCCTTATAAACAACTACAAAGCAGTATCCGGGTCCCATGTCGCCTTATAAACAACTACAAAGCAGTGTCCGGGCCCAATGTTGCCTTCTAAAAAACCTAAAAATCAGTGTCCTGTCCTCAAATTGCCTTATAAACAACTACAAAGCAGTGTCCGGGGTTTATAGTGCCTTATATACAACAACAAGGTAGTGTCCGATAAAGGATGCCCACATGCGTAAAAAGCAGCCCTAAATTGTAGGGGTTCCACTTCACATTATATGCAACATATACCATTTCATACTTTGTAACTTTTATCTCATATATTTATGTTTTACGACAAACATTTATACATGATGTTTGTCACGAGTGTAAAGGGTTTTATAAATGTCATGAGATTCAAACTCTACTGGAACAGATGGCGCATGTTTTCTGTATGTCACACCAATCTAACACCTTTCAAATAATTGTAGTCTCCCTGTCCTCCGTCTTTACATATCGTTGAGAATACATGATAGGTATTTGGGTTTTTTCAAATATTAATTAATTGATTGATTTCTAAACGAGTTTCTGTCTTTGTTTGTTACCATAGGCATATTATCATCAAACTGCTTCAGCATCACACTATCCCAAATATGGGGAAATGAACGTAAATGCATATTACTGTTGTGGAATCTTACCAGGTCGTTAATGGTGAGTAGGTTAAATCGTATCTGTGTTTTGACCTGCCTGGAGGGTCTCACAATGTGGCTGTAGTTGCTGCCTGGTCCGAGCTTGACCATCCGGAGGTCGTACTCATCCTGAGAGAAGGACTGTTGGGACGTCACTACAGATGCACAGTACACCACTGAAAGGGATAAGCAATGATCAGTTTACCTTTTAAAACAATTCACTTACGTCAGATTTGACTACACGTGTATTCTATTGTAATTACCGAAAACAAACGACACAAGAACGCAACGGAAAACCATTGTCATGACACCACATGACACCATTAGCCACTATGACGAAGTGTTGCAGGCATGGTACAGTGGACCACGTTCGACACCAAATGGCTCTGTTTCAATGAATGCTGACCCGTTTTAAACGATGAACAGTATCGGTCTACCAAAGCAATACACGTACACTTCACACTACTTCCCTGAAAAGAAACAAACCGTGTAAAGATAAAAGAACTTTTTCCGGAATGCTTTGGACGAGGACATTGAAACTGGTGTATCAAGATATTCTCGGACATTAAGATAAGCCTGTCGTCGTGTGCACGATAACAATTGGCATCTGTGAGTCAAAGGTCGGGGGTATTTTCCTGCATAGCGTTGAAACAAGAGCCTTAATCTACACGTATGGTGCTGTAGTTGTAATTATATGTTCAGCTTAGTCAGGACATCAGTTCCATACATTTACTTATACCATGCCTATCTAGTCACCCAATGGCGAGTCCGGGTTAGAATTATCCCCCAGTACTCAATACTAAATGTAGCAGGTGGTCAGACTCGATGACGTGTTTATATTGCGTGTCATCTTACCCATACTAATCACAGGTTTGTCTGGTTCATCCTCCATTATGAAAAGCTTATGCATTCTGCAACTGGAATTGAGTGTGCAAACAACAAACTCACTCAGTGCTACCAACACACTCACTCAGTGCTACCAACACACTCACTCAGTGCTACCATGACACTCACTCAGTGCTACCAACACACTCACTCAGTGCTACCATTACACTCACTCAGTGCTACCAACACACTCACTCAGTGCTACCAACACACTCACTCAGTGCTACCAACACACTCACTCAGTGCTACCAACACGCTCACTCAGTGCTACCAACACACTCACTCAGTGCTACCATTACACTCACTCAGTGCTACCAACACACTCACTCAGTGCTACCATTACACTCACTCAGTGCTACCATTACACTCACTCAGTGCTACCACTACACTCACTCTGTGCTACCATGACACTCACTCAGTGCTACCATCACACTAACTCAGTGCTAACAACACACTCACTCAGTGCTACCATTACACTCACTCAGTGCTACCGTTACACTCACTCAGTGCTACCGTTACACTCACTCAGTGCTACCATTACACTAACTCAGTGCTACCGTTACACTCACTCAGTGCTACCGTTACACTCACTCAGTGCTACCATTACACTCACTCAGTGCTACCATTACTCTCACTCAGTGCTTCCGTTACACTCACTCAGTGCTACCATTACACTCACTCAGTGCTACCATTACACTCACTCAGTGCTACCACTACACTCACTCTGTGCTACCATGACACTCACTCAGTGCTACCATTACACTCACTCAGTGCTACCATTACTCTCACTCAGTGCTTCCGTTACACTCACTCAGTGCTGCCATTACACTCACTCAGTGCTACCATTACACTCACTCAGTGCTACCGTTACACTCACTCAGTGCTACCGTTACACTCACTCAGTGCTACCATTACACTCACTCAGTGCTACCGTTACACTCACTCAGTGCTACCGTTACACTCACTCAGTGCTACCATTACACTCACTCAGTGCTACCATTACACTCACTCGGTGCTACCGTTACACTAACTCAGTGCTACCAACACACTCACTCAGTGCTACCGTTACACTCACTCAGTGCTACCATTACACTCACTCAGAGCTACCGTTACACTCACTCAGTGCTACCGTTACACTCACTCAGTGCTACCATGACACTCACTCAGTGCTACCATTACACTCACTCAGTGCTACCGTTACAGTTACTCAGTGCTACCGTTACACTCACTCAGTGCTACCAACACACTCACTCAGTGCTGCCATTACACTCACTCAGTGCTACCGTTACACTCACTCAGTGCTACCATGACACTCACTCAGTGCTACCATTACACTCACTCAGTGCTACCATTACACTCACTCAGTGCTACCATTACACTCACTCAGTGCTACCATTACACTCACTCAGTGCTACCATTACACTCACTCAGTGCAAACAACACACTCACTCAGTGCTACCATTACACTCACTCAGTGCTACCATTACACTCACTCAGTGCTACCATTACACTCACTCAGTGCTACCAACACACTCACTCAGTGCTACCAACACATTCACTCAGTGCAGTCACTCAGAGATGCGACATAGGGCAAGAACTGGACCCTGAAATCAGGGTAGAGAGTATGTCTTCAGCAACCCATGCTTGCCGTAAGAGGCGACTATCCTTGTCCTAAAAGGTGACTAACGGGATCGGGTGGTCAGGCTCGCTGACTTATTTGTTGCATGTCATCGTATCCCAATAGCGTAGATCGATGCTCACTATATTGTCTGGTCCGGACTCGATCATTTGCAGACCGCCGTCATATAGCTGGAATATTGCTGAGCGCGGCGATAACCAACAAAGAAACAAGCAAACATATCAAACGAAAAGACTTATTCCCCAGCGTGCATTCATCATTATTGTGTATGAAAATCCTCCCTTGTACCCTCCCCGGGGTGCATAATGATTCACAATGTAGCTATTTCAGCATGTATTAGGGCTTGGATTTGGCACATCATAAATATGCACATTATCATATTTTATAAAATGCAAAAAAACTAACTGTAATATGAGAATGTGGATTGTACCTTTTCGTACAGAAGATCCCTGTCAAATGGGCAATACATCTGGTGATGCTGAAGGATGTTCTGTCAGTGCAGTAGATCGTCCAACATTGCCCGATACACTGGGAGAGTGTTTTGTGGCGTGGGATGTTTTGTCAACAGTTACGGCTCATAAAAAGTAAATATTCAAATGAATATCTTTAAATTTACGCCATGATGGTGTGAACAAATTCCATCGTTAATTTCATGACGTGGTTTTTTTTATAATTGCAAGATTTGTTTCATCTATTACACATTCCAACACCATAACACCATGTTATCCCCTCAACCCTACATTCATGCCTTCTATCGCAACGAAGAAATACCAACAACTTCCAGGGCACATTATCGCAACCTGTTCAAGATGCATATCGAACACTAACGGGTAACACTCCCGCCAGGTGGCGATGTGGATAGTTGGCTCTTCTATCTATAGCTTCATTTCACACGGTTCATGGAGTTGCCTAAAGTTTGGTATTAACGCGGGCCGAATACATTCGCCAGGTTGAAAGGAATTAGTAATCTGTAGGTTAAATACGCATCAACATTAAAAGCAGGATGATTACGCTGTGTCTTCATTCTGGCAAAGAACAGTTATTTTTAAGACAACAATTATTCTTCATTTTGTTAACAGCATATCCATGTTAATCATTGGGGATGCATGTGTGGTATTTCAGGGGAAATTGGTCACTATTGTTGACAACAGCTTACTGAACATGCAATTGTATTACCCAGTTAGTACGAAGTTTAAATATTTGATATTCATCCCAGTGTTTTGCATTAACTCGAACATTGTTTATCAAATTACTGTAAATATAATTAATGTTTATAATTTGTATTTACCTGTTAAACATCTGAAGCGTATATGTTATATGGTATTTGGTATGTTAAAGTGGTATTTATAATTCATCGGTTGGAGATATCATTGTTAAATATAAAATATAGCTGTATTACACCTTGAGTGGCCCGTGGAGATCCGAGGTAAAATACGTCTTCAGCAACCCATGCCTGCTGTAGATGCTCATGTTGTCAATCACTGGATTGTCTGGTCCAGACTCGATTATTAACAGACCGCCGTCATATAGCTGGAGTGCGGCGTTAAACAACAAACAAACAAATCACATTTAGCATTAGTGAGTGAGTGAATGAGTTTGGTTTTATGCCGTTTTAGCAATTAACATTAACATCATGAGCATTAACATCATTAGCGGGTGTGACTATGTTTAGCATCATCTGATCAATCGAATTGGAGCGTCGGTAGCATTGTGTAACCGTACACAACGTTGACTCTACTCCCAGGTGAATGATTAAATCACTACTATAATTCTCTCGAAACACCAGGGATGTGTGCAACTCAAAACTCTCTTTATTTTGACAAATTTCACAAACAGTTGTGGTTTAGAAGTTACCGTCCTTACGTCTTGCAAGGCAAACAGCTTAGTCTAGATCTTCATTTGATGATGTGTACGAATACTTTCACACTGGAAGAGTGAGCCCTATAGCCCATTAAGGCTTACTTTGTGTAACAAGTTATTTCCTAAAAACTATCAAACGTTTAACTTGCGTCACATTAGACTGCCGTTACTTACTTAATAAAGTCCAATGAAAAGCTATGAAATTGTATTCCACGTGATCGAGTCCACGTACACTTCATTGTACAAGTTGCAGAGATGTTATTACCTTATTCTGTAGGAAGGAAGGGTTAGTCCCACGTTGCCGGTCTGGTAATCCGAAGTAATCCGGATTAACGGCAGCGCATGGGTTGTTTGCCGACTGTAGTATTTTTTTTAGCATGCTCTTGACCGTTACAAAAAAAACAATACCTTGATGCTGTCTCACATCTATCTGCGTAATGATCTTAATACATTGAACATGAATTAAAAGAATTTGTATTGACGTATATATGTATAATTGTATATCATGTCAAGAATGTGTATTGATGTATATATTAATAAATGTTTATCATGTGAAGAATTTGTATTGATGTATACATGTATACATTGTATATCATGTCAAGACTGTGTAATGGTGTATATATTAATAAATGTTTATCATGTCAAGAATTTGTATTGATGTATACATAGAGGTTATCACGCGAGTGTGTTTGGGCATGGTAAATATCCTGTATTAGGAATAAACATTGTATTTATCCAAACTCTCACAAACGTTACCTAAACATTGCAAGTTATCCCGGAATGTGCGCATTA